CAATCAACTGATGTACATGTTCCTGAGCCTATCGGGCTCTAATCATACACTAGAAACTGTGTATGGAGTCTGCTTTCACCACCTCACTTCCTAATGCATTCCATTTGTCAATCACTCTGACACTAAAAAAGTTCTTTCTAATATCTCTGTGGCTCATTTGGGCACTCAGTTTCCACCTGTATCCCCTAGTGCGTGTGCCCCTTGTGTTAAATAGTCTGTATTTATCTACCCTATCAATTCCTTTGAGAATCTTGAATGTGGTGATCCTTCCCCCCCCCCACCTAACTCTTCTGTCTTCCTGCGAACCAGTGTCGTGTATACTTACCTAATCGTGCTCGCGGGGGTTGAGCTCTGGCTCTTTGGTCCCGCCTCTCAACTCTTGTATCGTGTGTGTGGGGGGGGGGGCGGTGGTGGTGGTCGGGGGATATTACACTTCCAACTCCTCCCTACCCAAAAATAGTGTAAATCAAATTAACTTGATATAATGTCACCTGACCTTAATCTAATTAATCTTAATTCGCTGAGAAAGTCTACGAACTTCTGGTGACTTGCCACAATGCTCTTGGTATGAGTTAAGGGAGGGAAGGGGGGGGGGAGACCTTTGCAGTTGTGGGCACCTTTGCAATTGTTACACAGCGCTGCTACAGAAGTTGTCTCGTCTTGTCTAACAACCTGAGGTTCATATTTACGCTCAAGTCATAAGAAATGGCGGTAATTTTGGCATAGAATTTAATTTTTTCCCCATGCCCCGTTCAGTGCTCGACGTGAAACACACAATTTTGAGATGAGTGCAGACCTTTCTCGAGACCCTGTGTGTGTGTGTGTGTGTGTGTGTGTGTGTGTGTGTGTGTGTGTGTGTGTGTGTGTGTGTGTGTGTGTGTGTGGTGGGTGTGTGTGGTGGGTGTGTGTGGTGGGTGTGTGTGGTGTGTGTGTGTGTGTGTGTGTGTGTGTGTGTGTGTGTGGTGGGTGTGTGTGGTGGGTGTGTGTGGTGGGTGTGTGTGGTGTGTGTGTGTGTGTGGTGGGTGTGTGTGGTTGTGTGTGTGTGTGTGTGTGTGTGTGTGTGTGTGTGTGTGTGTGTGTGTGTGGTTGTGTGTGTGGTTGTGTGTGTGTGTGTGTGTGTGTGTGTGTGTGTGGAGCGATTATTACCAGGAGAGCCAGAGGTGGTCCAGGGGATAATGGCGAGCAGCGACGTGTCCACTTCCACCTTACAAATGAAGCACATTGGCCCTCGCGTAACGACATTAGGAGTGGGACGAGTGGCCAGGCAGTTTAATTTGACGCGACACGGAGGCGACAGGTGTGGCGGGGCCAGTGTAGCATAGCCAGAGTCACAACCCTGGGTAAGGAGAATGGAGGAGGATAGAGAGTTTTCTCATCTTCAAGAGAAAACTGGATAATTTTCTTCAAGGAGTGCCGGACCAACCAGGCTGTGGTGGGTATGTGGGCCTGCGGGCCGCTCCAAGCAACAGCCTGGAGGACAAGTCAAGCCTGGCCTCTACGGTCTTGGGGAGTAGAACAACTCCCAGAACCCCATCAAGCAGGTGTCCACCTGGCCTCAGGCCGGGCTTGGGGAGTAGAAGAACTCCCAGAACCCCATCAAACAGGTGTCCACCTGGCCTCAGGCCGGGCTTGGGGAGTAGAAGAACTCCCAGAACCCCATCAAACAGGTGTCCACCTGGCCTCAGGCCGGGCATGGGGAGTAGAACAACTCCCAGAACCCCCATCAAGCAAGCATCAAGCAGAGGAGATGGGAGGGAATAATTGATGTCAAAAGCTCTGGAGAAGTAGAGTGATTGATTAAGGAAGCGATGTACGTTGTGGTGACTAAAGGGAATGGAAGCAAGTGGGAGAGAGAAAGGGGGGGGGGGGCAGGAGGCCCATTACAAGGCCTGAGGGAGGGAGGCGCAGTGGACCAAACAAACTGTTGTCATGGCGACGGGCGGTGACGCACCCTCCCCAGGGACCACCTCCTCCTCCCCTCTCCAACACCCAGGTAATGAGAGGGCGGGGGGGGGGGGTCTAGTGTATCCCTCCTCACACTCGGGTGCCTCATAATTACAGTACTCGTCCCTAATCATATAGATTTATTAATGTGGACTGTTGCGAGGAATTGGTGCGACTTTTAATATGTGGCTCCCGAGGGAGTGTCGCAGAAATGTCACTGTATCAATAATTCATGAAGAAAATACCTAAATCGAGGTACTAAATTAGCCTAGCCTAGCCTTGCTTAGCCTAGCTTAGCTTAGCTTAGCCTAGGACCCATGAATAGAAAACGGAGCATCACGTCAATTTTACGAGCTGCTGTGATATTTGGTTCATCATTTTTCGGGTCTTTGTGGATTTATACGTCGGAAATGTGATATACTATTCGAGAGTACGGGTTGCTGGGCGATTATCCTTTTTTTGTTTAAAGCAAATGTAAAAGGTCTAACATAGAGCTAGTTCAAAGCCCTGGCACAGCCCCCCTCCCTCATTGACATTTGCTGCACCTCCTACCCTCAGCCTCGCCACATCTCCCTCCCTCTCCCTCTCGTGTATAAAGGCCAACCTGTGTGGTATTCTCAGAATGTTCGGTAATATGTTTATTGTTTGTGATGTGTGTGTATGTATGTATTAACACGATGTACTGAATGGGGTGAGAATAGCTTGAGCTACCTCATCCCTTTGTGTGTATTTTACCTCAATAAACTTATTTCAATTTCAACCTGTGTGGGATATGAAGTGGTTTTTAACCATATTTTACATGTATGTTGAATGGGTAGTAGTGGAGAGCACACGTGCAGTTCTTAAAGCACTGGAAACACCAGCAAGACTTGAGAGTAGATCATGTTTTGTCATCTACTATTAAAGTCTAATAGTCTCTGAAAGTCTACATACTCTCTTCTGGATGTATTTTTTCACTGGTATATTAAATAGTTTAAAAGCCATTTATAAAATGTTAATACTAGTTGTATGCATACTAATTCTCATGTACTGTAAGTACTCACCTAGTGAGTTCATGTGCGCGCGCGCGCGCGCGCGCGCGCGCACACCCCACACACACACACACACACACACACACACACACACACACACACACACACACACACACACACCACACACACACACACACACACACACACACACACACACACACACACACACACACACACACACACACACACACACACACACACACACACACACACACACACACACACACACACACACACACACACACACACACACACACACACACACACACACACACACACACACACACACACACACACACACACACACACACACACACACACACACACACACACACACACACACACACACACACACACACACACACACACACACACACACACACACACACACACACACACACACACACACACACACACACACACACACACACACACCACACACACACACACACACACACACACACACACACACACACACACACACACACACACACACACACACACACACACACACACACACACACACACACACACACACACGTACGTACGTACGTACGTGTGTGTGTGTGTCTGTCTGTCTGTCTGTCTGTCTGTCTGTCCCTACCAGCCGCTCACTCCCTCCCTCCGTCCCTACCAGCCCCTCACTCCCTCACTCCCTCCCTCCGTCCCTTCCAGCCCCTCACTCCCTCCCTCCGTCCCTTCCAGCCCCTCACTCCCTCCCTCCGTCCCTTCCAGCCCCTCACTCCCTCCCTCCGTCCCTTCCAGCCCCTCACTCCCTCCCTCCGTCCCTTCCAGCCCCTCACTCCCTCCCTTCCGTCCCTACCAGCCCCTCACTCCCTCCCTCCCGTCCCTACCAGCCCCTCACTCCCTCCGTCCCTTCCAGCCCCTCACTCCCTCCCTCCCGTCCCTTCCAGCACCACCTACAGTATCTTTCCTTCCTGCCCCTCACCCTCCTTCCCCACACTTTGGAGATGTGTGTGTGGGTTAGCTTCACCACTTTGGTTTTGGTTGATATCTTCCAGGAAGTAGTGCTATTGTGTTGAGGGCAGCGTCATCTTGTTGCCACACTCACATGTTAGCAAATTCCACCAGCATGACCATTTTCCATGTCTTTACACTCAAAGATTTGTATTTACAGTATTTTGTTAGTGTATCGGTATCTTAAACAATTTAAAGTTGCATTTCAAAATGTAATTTTTACATGGAATCTTTTTATTTTGTACATTTCTGTTTCATGCATTTAAATTGGCCACCAGTGAAAATACTGTAGTTATTTGTATACCCATAGATTGTGTGTTGTACAGTACAGTATTATGCTGTAACATTGTCCGCCTAGTCTATTGAACCCCCCTAACAATTGGTTCCATTTAATAGCTTGAACTTATTTTCCCACTCCCCTCTCTACATTTTTGTAACAATGCTTGTGACTATACAAATGAAATTTGGTTTGGGAAGCAGTAGGCCAGAGAGGTCAGGGGTCACATGTAATATAAATGTTAAATTCTTTCTCATATTAACTTCAATTTCATCTGATGCTTTCCTCTGCAGTTTGGTACCAATGCTCCAGAAGAGGAAGGTCAGCTGTGTTAGGGATCAAGGAATTATAGGTCAATACCAATTATTGTAAACTGAATGCTTATGCTGATTACCTTCCTTACCCTATGATGATTTCGGGGCTCAACGTTCCCGTGGCCCGGTCCTTGACCAGGCCTCCTGGTTGCTGGACTGGTCAACCAGGCTGTTGGGCGCAACTGCTCACAGCCTGGCGTATGAATCGCAGCCTGGTTGATCAGGTATCCAGCTTCAGCTACATCAGGTGCATTGACTTAACTTGGTACATGTACTGTGTGCTCTAAGCTGTACTCTTGGCAAAAGGAACAAAGGATATGCTACAGTTTTATTTGTCTTATATAAATCTGGATTTGTAACTGTTGTGTGCTTTATTTCCAATTGAATTTCACTTTGTTGCAAGCTTTTTCAGTTTGTTGAATGAAAGTGCTGTAATGATAAATTCTCTTGTTTCAGGTGTACCCTGGCCGTGACATCACCAACATTGTTGAATCATCACACTACTACAAAGTGCCCAACTTTTGCCGCGTTGGTCATGCCAAGTGCAAAGCTGCAGCATGGGTCAAGCCTTACCGCTGTCTGGGTGAGTCATTGTTTAAAGTTCTTGGTGTGTAATACATTGCACACTTGCTGCACAAACATATGATTCACTTTCTGGAAAGGGTAAAGTATCATAATTTATTTTCTTACTTTTTTTTCCTTTGGTAAAAAATTTGTCTGAGGTACACAGATCCTTGTATTTTGGATATTACTGTACAGTATTGGAATGTTATTCTAATCTTTAAGCTACTGTATTGACGATTAAGATCATCAAGGCATTGAGGGGACCTTTGACAAGCTGCCGGCTTCCTGTCCTCATCGAAGCCACTAGGGTTAGTGCCCCTCAGGTAAATCGGTTAACAAATTTCCACAACTTAATGGCTTAACAATGGGCTAACCACAATCATTACTCATTTACTTAGTATTTCTCCAACATATTGCTGATATTTCCTCTCATTTCATGTGTGGTTGGTTAGGTTGTATATTTTCTCCCACATTATTGTGACTTACACCGTTTATGAAATATATATTTTTTTTGTCCCCTAACTCCCCTTGCCACTTTGGGGGGGGGGGGGGGTATAGGGTTTTTATGTAGCTTCAGGGCACCGATTCCCCCAGCCACAGGGCACGGCGAGACGGCTCCCCTAAGCATACCTAATACCCTAACAACCCTTAGTGTCAGTGAATTTATGATGCATATAATGACAAGCTTATGAATTTAGATTAATTGATCTTTAATTAAAATGTGGGTAATATAAATTGAAGATGTATGACCATTGAGGCAGCACGGACAGTTATCATCGACTGGTTCCATACTAGAGATTACTCTGGACAAGCTTCACTTGGAATGGCTTGCAATTTACAACTTGTCATCCAAAAATGATCAGTTAGTATTTATAGTTACTGTGAATGAAATTACAAAATATGGACTGATATGCCAAAAAAAACCTCCATTTTGTAATTTTAATTTTTGTAGATGACCCATGAAAAAAGGCTTACAGTCAAAACTGACTTTTCTTAAGCTGAGTATAGTACATATGTGAACTAAATTAGGCTTAGGATTGCCTGGTTTAATGCTAGAATACTTTTGGTTAGGTTTACAGTTACTTATTTCACCTTTTGCTCTATGGCTCTTTAGAATCCTATCCACAGTAGCTGCAAGTTCTATAATTTGTTGGCAGATGGGTTGCCATTATGCTAGCAAGCAGCAGCATTCGATATTCTCCTCATATGAGCTTACTGGTCATCCCCCGTAATCCCAAACCAGCTATTATTGTATCTGAATGCAGCATATGGCTCGTATCTGAATATTTGTTATAGACTACATTTATTTCCATAATGCTGCACTGTGGATTGGTCCTGCACTGATCCTTGGGACTTGAAATACTCTATATTCATGACCCCAAATGAACGTCTTGTAACCACAGTCTTACACAGGAAAATTAAAGAAGTGTAAGCACTTTGGATGCAAATGACCATATTTTTTGAAGTGTACCATACTTCAGATATATAGAAATTTTATTAAGTTTTTCTTTTAATTAAATGTTTTTATCATAGTCTAGGCCTGTAACCATTACATGACATTTATTTACTTTTTTATTCATTTATTTATTTACAAGTAGAAACAATGGGTTTGCGAGAGTACATAACATTGGTGCTTTTACATTCTTGCAAAGCCACTAACATGCATAATGTTTGACATTGCTGTATACCATGTAGAAAGGTATTGTTGCATGTGATAAGGGTTTGAGCCCCTTCCAGTAGGTAGGTACAAAGCAGCATGTATTACATTGCATGGGAAGTTTTATTTTATGCAAGATAACTAATGAGTGCTTTAATGTTCAGTCCTCTCAAAACAAGTTGACTATTCTAGACTGCTTCACTGTACGTGTACACACTGTAAACACAACTAGATGTAAATATCCAGGGGTGCCGGTGGCTGTGTGGATAGCACGCTGGACATGTAATCCTGTGGCCCGGGTTAGATTCCCAGCGCCGGTGAGAAACAATGGGCAGAGTTTCTTTCACCCTAATGCCCCTGTTACCTAGCAGTAAATAGGTACCTGGGAGTTAGACAGGTGTTACGGGCTGCTTTCTGTGTGTGTGTGTGTGTGGGGAAAAAAATTAGTAGTTAGTAACAGTTGATTGATTGTAGGCGATTATTATTATAATTGCTATATAATTATTATAATTACTCTGATTATTCAATCAGAAGTGGGCTGAAAGAGCAGAGCTCAACCCCTGCAAGCACAACTAGGTGAATACAGTTCTTCTTCAGTAGTTATGTAGTTACCATGATAAAATCTGTAATTGCAAGTTTATCTCCACCTGTACTATATAATCATTGTCAAAATTAGACGCTTTATATTTAATAAAATTAGGCTATGTACAATTTTTTTCTTCACATATTTCATATGTATTTTTACCAATAAAGATTATCAGGTTGTACTGTAAATGTCATAAATAAGATGTTTTTTCATTATATCTCTATTTTAAGAGACCAGCCATGTTTATGACTTCTTAAAGGTTAAACAAATATTTATCGGCAAAAGTTCATAGGTAATTACAAGACAATAGGAAAGATTCTAAGTGTAGTTACAGCTACACTCGTGGTGTCCCGTCTTCCCAGCACTCTTTGTCATATAACACTTTGAAACTACTGTACTGACGGTTTTGGCCTCCACTACCACCTCGCCTAACTTGTTCCAACCGTCTACCACTGCTTGCGTAATTGAATTTTCTTATGTTTCTTCGGCATCTTTGTTTAGTTAAACTCGATGGCCTCTTGTTCTTGAAGTTCCAGGTCTCAGGAAATCTTCCCTATCAATTGTATCTATTTGTATCTGTTACTATTTTGTATGTAGTGATCATGTCGCCTCTTTTTCTTCTATCTTCTTGTTGAAGTATATTTAATGCCTCTAACCTCTCTTCGTAGTTCTTGTCCTTCAGCTCTGGGAGCCACTTCATGGCATGTCTTTGCACCTTTTCCAGTTTGTTGATATGCTAAGAAGAACTCTCACAATACAGGGAGGTGGTTTGGTTTTGACCTGATGACCTCCAGGACACCAGCGGCCACTCCTACTCTATGGGTCACTAATCTTCCTAATTCTAACTCCCACTTCCTGTGTATGGTGTCCCATACCAAACAATAGCAAAAATTACTCTAGCTGCTTATACCAAAAATAAATGTACAGTAAATTAAATGCTTATTGTCTTGGACTTAAATCCAGGGGTGATAGTTGTAAGTAGCTTCCTCTGTCTGCTTAGATTGGTTAGGTTTTTTATTGTATTTCTGGACTACTACACGCAGTTGCTCCTTAAGGCAAGATTGCACCAAGTCGTAATGGTGCATTGGGATGCATGGTGAATTTTCAACCCATCCCAAAATGGCACTTAGAAGTATAATCTCCAATACACTCAAAGCTCTTACAAACACTGTGGCATCACAATCCTCATGGTAGTGTTTTCTTTGGTCATCTTTCAACCCGTCCTCAGACCAAGTCCATTCCATCCAGCGGTCAACCCCAAAGACACATTCATAAATTTTAACATGCTGTTCATTCAAAACAGTAATTTTCTCAAATGTAAATTAATATTATTATATATTTGCATATTGTGCCATTGGTTAGGTTAGGTATTTAGGTTCTGTTGGCGATTATTTGTATTTGTAGTATGTGTGTGGGTGACACATTTACAGCATTGTGGTTCGTATAAAAGTCGGTCAGCGAAGCACTTGTTCCGGTAGTGTTCGGACGTCATGAGTTGAGTTGTGTGTAAACCGTAAACTTGATGGTATGAAGTACCTGAATCATTGGAATTACTTTATCGACTCCTGTATTTTTGACCAGACCACACACTAGAAGTTGAAGGGACGACGACGTTTCGGTCCGTCCTGGACCATTCTCAAGTCGACTCCTGTATTCTTGAAGATATCCTCATAATCCATCCCAAATTTGCCCATGTGACTATAGTCATCCTGCAAGATGGGTATTTTAGTATAGCAGTGATGCCTCATAACAAACTATCTAACCCTTCATATAGTCTAGGGTTGGTGCATAAATGTGATGTGCCCATGTGTGTTAATAACAAAATAATAATAATAATACTCCTAGGATGCAGCACCTGCACCACCACAGGGTCTCGGGATTTGAGCACCCTCGCATTCTTCCTCGCTGGTTTGCATGTTAGTTCTCTGGCAGAAATTGATCGGTGATGAACATGCAGAGGTGATCTTATGCAGAGAATATATTCAGAGAAAGGTTTAATAATTAAGAGAAGAGAGGAAGGACAGAACTCCCAGAGGTATCAACCAGGAAGGACAGGAGGGGAGGTAGGGGGTAGTGTGTGGATAGACATCATGGCAATGTAAAGGACAAAGCCAGGTAGAAGGGGGGGTTTATAATGGAGTAAATGTGTTTGTATGTGTGGTATATAGCAATTCACCAATGCATTGTACACCTGGTTTTATGATGTGGTCAATTGCTGCTGTGGATGACTTCCTGAAGTGTGTTGGAGCTTCATCAGTGGTGCTGTAGTTTGTAATGTGAAGGATATAATGACTGAATGAAATTGGTAATATTTTATTATTCAATATCTACAGTGTAACATTATTTGACTATACAATATTAGTCACCTATTTTAATTTGGGCTGACATCTCCCCATTAAAGTAATGGGGTGATGATAATACAGCATATATGTACTCACCTAGTTGTGCTGGCAGGGGTTGAGCTTTGGCTCTTTGGTCCCGTCTCTCGACCGTCAGTCAACTAAAGTACAGATTCCTGAGCCTACTGGGCTCTATCATATCTACATTTGAAACTGTGTATGGAGTCAGCCTCCACCACATCACTGCCTAATGCATTCCATCTGTTAACTACTGACACTGAAAAAGTTCTTTTTAACGTCAGTCTCCCTTGTGGCACCCCACTTATCACATTTCTCCATTCAGATTCGTTTCCATTTAGCACGACCCATTTTCTTTCCTTCAACCATTGTTTTATCCATTCTAATATTTTACCATTTATTTCTTGGGCCTGTAATTTCCTTGCCAATCTTTCATGTGGTACCTTATCAAAAGCTTTAGCAATTGCTTATACCTGTAATTGGTCACTGTAGACTGAAAATGCTGTCAATGCCTTTGTTTGTCTTTGCTGAAGAAAATATTTCCTTTGAAATTCATACTTAAGGGTTAAACTTTAAAGTGCTATATAAATATGATTTATTACTGATCTTTCAAATTCCATGCATATAATTTTAACTGATGCCATCGGTGACCTTAAAATTTTTAATTTCAGAAGGATCATTCCAGTCTGATGCTTTGTTGGTACCTGAAGGTTGCCTCTTTGATCACATCCACAACCAGTCTCGATGTTGGGAGTTTGATCGGTGGAACACCACGGCGGACCGAGCTTGTGGGGCTCGCAGAATGACCCTCAAGTCCTTTGCCATGCTCCTTCCTTGTGGCATTGATGTTTTCTCTGGTGTGGAATTTGTGTGCTGCCCCAAAAATTACAAGAGTCATGGCAAGGCCCGGCCCATGGAGGTAGAGGAACCTGTTGCTCTTCCTCAAATGGACCATCGTGCTCACCAAGCCATATCTGCCACTCCTACACCCAAGATGGCCACCACAACTTCACAGGTATTGAGGCTTAAATATAGTGTGCCCTTTATAGTGAATAATTTTCAACATTTTCTTCATCCTGTTACAGAAAACTTCAATAGAATGTTCTACACTGATGCTGTACTGCATACATACTAGTCATAGGCACAAGTAAACTGGTTGTCTGTCTCGTAGCTGCAGCTTCACGATGCTCTGTAGTATGGTAACTCACAAGTCAGAAGGTTTAAACTAATGTTAGGCTCTGAATTAGAAATAACTAATTTAGCACACTCGAAGCAATAATAGAATTACACAATAGAAAGAAATAAACTTAATCTATACTTTTTGATTGAGTGCATTCATATATTGCTCCAGCTCCTGTGCATTTATATACAGCATGTCAAATTTTGGTGTACTGTACCAATACATTTTAATATGTATTGTTGCGTTTATATATGTCGAGGTACTAAATGTAGCAGATTAGGCCATTTTGTCGATAAAAGTTGGTTCTTGATGTAAGATTTCACTGAAAGGTTTACAAATGTTTTTCTTTAGTTAGGGTTTGCACGTTATAATGAGTAGACTTTCAACACATCTGAATATTGCTGTTATTGCTGTTGCATTTCATGTTTCGGCATTATATTGGAATTTAGGAGTTTTATGTGAATAATTTTTTTTTATCAAGTGTGGATAATAAGGTACAATATCACAAATGGCTAAGCATATTTTCCATTTTATTGATGGGCTGCTTACTTAAGATATAGGCACCATACAACTGCTGCAGATTCCAATTTTGGCCTCACAAATGTCATGAACCATTTCTTTCGTATTTCATCATCCATTTATTTAAAAGACGATTCTGAAGTTGGACAGTGAAGCATATTCTCTTCACTAAATGTCCTTTGTGTTCATCTAGTGACAGCCTATTATCCAGAACAGAAATTACAATTAAAATTATCTGTGAAAATAATTATTTTACAGTAGGGGCTGTATTTGCGAAAGTGGAAAAAATGGACTTTTGGAGGCCTCTGGAACACATCCATATTTTCCTCCGTTAAAGTTAAATTCACTTTGCATGAAGTTATCCAGGGACACATTCCATTCACAGGTGTGTGTGTGTGTGTGTGTGTGTGTGTGTGTGTGTGTGTGTGTGTGTGTGTGTGTGTAATTACCGAAGTGTAGTTACAGGATGAGAGCTACGCTCGTGGTGTCCCGTCTTCCCAGCACTCTTTGTCATATAACGCTTTGAAACTACTGACGGTCTTGGCCTCCACCACCTTCTCACTTAACTTGTTCCAACCGTCTACCACTCTATTTGCGAAGGTGAATTTTCTTATATTTCTTCGGCATCTGTGTGTGTGTGTGTGTGTGTGTGTGTGTGTGTGTGTGTGTGTGTGTGTGTGTGTGTGTGTGTGTGTGTGTGTGTGTGTGTGTGTGTGTACTGTGTGTTCATGACTGTGTGTACGTGTATTAAAATGCTTTTTTAAATTTTTCACAGGAGGTTGGTACGCGAGATGAGTACTTCAGTAGATTTGACCCCCATGAGGAACATGATGCTTTCCGTCGTGCTGAACAGCGACTAGAAGAACGTCATCGTGAAAAAGTGTCCAAGGTAGATGCCCTTTATCTTTCTTTTCCCTATTCTTTTAGGACTGAATGAAATGCTTTTCATTTGCAAAACCTGATGGTGAAAATTATATCATTAGTGAAGTACTTTGGTGAAAAATCAAGGCTGATAGTCAAGTTGTAATGATTGATAGTTTCTCTTGTTTGTACAATCAAAAGATCATTCTGTTATGTAAAACTTGTCCTCATTATCATATCCTGCTAGATAACCTCTGTCAATGTACCATTATTTTTTAAGCCTCAAGATTAAATTACAGACTGATAGTACTAACATCACACATCATAAAAATCTTTGAAAGAGTGCTAAGAAATAGGATCACAAAATACATGGAATCACAGCATCTCCATAACCCTGGACAACATGGTTTCAGAACAGGGTGCTCTTGCCTATCACAGTTGCTGGACCACTGGACTGCTGTAATTTTCACATATTTCGCAAAAGCCTTCGATAAATGTGACCATGGTGTTGTTGCACACAAAATGTGTTCAAAAGGAATTACTGGAAAAATAGGCAGATGGATCTACAATTTCCTGACTAACTGAACCCAGTGTGTAATAGTCAACAAAATAAAATCCAACCATCAATCATGAAGAGCTCAGTCCCCCAGGCTACTGTGCTTGCTTCAGTACTTTTTCTCATTCTCATATTGGACATAGACAAGGACACAAACTATAGTACCGTATCATCCTTTGCAGATGACACTATGATTTTTATGAGAGTAGACAACATAGAGGACACAGCAAACCTCCATTCAGATGTAAATCAGGCCTTTCATTGGGCTACAAAAAATTATATGATATTTAATGAAGATTAGTTCCAGCTCCTGCGCTACAGAAAAAATCGTAACATAATGAAAGAGCAGTGTAAAGGATTTGGGTGTACTCATGTCGGAAGACCTTACCTTTTAAAAAAAAAAATAAAGTAGCCGTCACAACTGCAAGAAAAGACAGGTTGGATAACAAGAACCTTTCAAACAAGAGATGCTATACCAATGATGATACTTTTCAAGATGTTAGTACTCTCTAGCGAGGAATACTGCTGCACAATGACAGCCCATTTTAATAATTATCACTTTCCTGCCCCCTACACTTGGATGTACGGGCGGTTTATTTAAGCGCTTGTGGGATCGCGTCGTACATTTACGGTCCGTGTTATAGTGGGTATATACTACTCGATCGACTTGGGGTTTGTATGAATATGTTTGCCATTAAAATTCCGTGCATTGTATTGTAACTTAGAGGAGAGACTATTGAGTTGGTGACACAACGAGGGTAATCGCCCACTTCACACACTCTTGTGTTGGCCACGATCATGATTCTACATTTATATGCATATGTCTGTGTAGAGAATTTTATTGCGAGTTCAGTGATATAAAATTTAACGCTGTAGGACTAATGTGGAGCTGACAACAAACAAAAGAGTATGAACATTTTGTAGCTGTTTGGGCGTATGGCGAGACGGCGAGTGATCTACGTTTTTATTTATTTCGTGGTGGAATAGCTAATGCTTTGGTTACATTTTATACATATGATCTTGTAGAGAATTTTATTGCCAACACATTGATACCAAAAGGAAATACGTAGCTCGAGAATTGGTGTCAGGAGAGTGAAAAGATTACACACTGTTTGGTGTTTACGCTCATGAGAAAAAAACGCTGCGCGCACAATGCACAGAGTTTTTTCGCGGGTACCGGGTGCATCAAAGTGTTAAAGCTGGAAAAATTGCAGACCTGGAGAGCATGCAGAGATCTTTTACTGCTAGAATCCACTCTTTAAAGCATCTAAACTGTTGGGACCGACTAAAATGCCTAAATATGTATTCTCTAGAGCACAGGCGGGAGAAATGCATAATAATTTACAGGTGGAAAATATTAGAGGGGCTGGTCCCAAATCTGCACATAGAAACATCACATGAGACCAGAAGGCATGACAGGATGTGCAGAATAGCAGAGGTGCAATAGGCACTCAAGAGAGAATTCTATCAACATCAGGCCTGAGATTTTTCAACACACTTCCACTATACATAAGGGACATAACTGGCCGACTCCTCAGTGTCCAAGAGAGAACTTGATAAACATCTCCAAAGGATACCTGATCAACCAGGCTGTGATTCATACGTCAGGCTGCGAGCAGCCACATCCAATAGCCTAGTTGACCAGGCCAGCAACCAAGAGGTCTGGTCAGGGAATGGGCCGCAGAGACGTTGAGCCCAGAAATCATCGCAAGGTAACAGCAAGGTAATCCATGAAAAGTTTAAATGCCAGTTGGCATCCTTATCATCATCATCAGTTTTCAACACTGACTTGTCATAATGCATGATACGCAGGTACAGAGGTGGTAATCTTCGTCTAAATTTCTAAGCTTCTTGTTCCATTTTGACAAGCTTAGCTCTGTAAGTATCAAGCATTGCCAAGTTAACTCGTATCATTTTAAATCATGTAGGCGATTAGGGTGCAGATTGTATTTAGAATAGTATATCCAACTTAAATATTTCCTTAACTTTCAGATCATGAAGGAGTGGTCTGACTTGGAGGAGCGTTATCAGGACCTGCGGGCCAAGGATCCTCATGGTGCCGAAGAGTTCAAGCATCGCATGACACAGCGATTCCAGCAGACTGTTGAAGCCGTAGAAGCCGAGAATGAAGCTGAACGACATCAGCTGACAGCACTTCATCAACAACGGATTGTAGCTCACATCAATGAGATGAAGCGAGAAGCCATGACATGTTACACCCGTGCCCTAGCTGAGAAACAGCCAAATGCAAGTTTTATTAATTTTGAACTGTTGCACTCGAGGAGTATTCCCAAGGTTTTTTGGTATTGTTTGGTACACTATTGTTTTTTCTGGGAGGGACCCTACACGAGCTCCCTGAGCTTATCTTTGGTACCACCAAGCTTTAGACCATCACATCAGACCTCCAAGATCCATCATTACTTATTGGATGCTAAGACCAGAATCATTCACATGTATAAATTTTTTTTTTTTTTAGAGTACATGCTATTTGACATACATGTACAGTACTATTGTATATAGTTTGAAGGCAAAATGTGGATGCATTATGACTGACACAATAGGTATGATACTATCACCTCATTATACAATACTGTATTTACTTAATGTCTCAAGTTACTATGGAGTAACCCATAATTAAATCCTAGTGCGAGCCTGTGTAGAGTTATATACCACAGAAAGCACAGCTGTTCTCACCAATGATGGCCTGTCTTCCTCCAGACTCACCGGGTTCAAAAGTGTCTACAGAAGCTGCTTCGTGCCCTCAACAAGGATCGCCATCACACTGTCTCCCACTATAAGCACTTGCTCAACTCTGACTATGAGGCTGCAGACCGTGAGCGTGATTCTACTTTACAACACCTAAGTGACTTGGAGCGCATGGTCAACCAGTCTCTCAACATGCTGGCCAGGTGAGTGATCAAAATGGGTTTTACAGAGTGAATTGCTCAAGAAAGCAATGTTTTAGCATTGTATAATACAATGAAAGACCATATATCTTGCAATCAAATTGGAAGCTGCTCAGCCTGATTTGAAATATTACAAATGTTCAGTAGCATTGACATCCACATTTAAGTCTTAGAATATCTTTGCTGGCTGAGTAGCTGTTAGCTTTAACAATGTCCAGAACACTATCCACCAGAATTTGAATATTGATTAACAGATGTGTCGAAAGTTATGAGAATAAAATTCCTGTACTACTGTAATGTACAACTTTGCCACAACCATGAATGTATCCTTGTTCTTCCTGTATGTTGTTCAGGCTACATAACTTTGTTATATAGGGGTTAAATATATATATATACATTCTGTTATTTGCATACTCCATCTCAGTACATCACTAAAAGGTCATTATTAAAAGTGGAGGTTGCAAGTATGTGACCATGAACCATTGCCTAGAGTTCCTGGCTAGTAGAGAATGTAGCATGTTAATCTCCCAGTACAGTCCATCCTCATTATCCTAGTATCCATATTCTCTGTTTTTTTTGTTTTTTTTTTGTGGGTTGACTCATTAATTTATAAGTAATGATTAGCTTCATGTATTTAGCATTTTGGATGATAATTGACTTTTTTTTTTTTTTTTTTAGACACCCAGACCTGAATGCTAAAATTGGACGTTTGATGCGCGAGTATTCAGCAGCACTTCGCAGCAAATACTCAACGCCTCCTGAGCTGTCTACTCGCTCTCCAAAGCCTCTTACTAGTGGTTAGTTCTTGAGTATTGAATTTTAATTGTCAATTTGATTTGTTTTCTCTTGTAGGGTGGATATCACACGGGCTTGAATGTAAATAGTATTGATGTACACGCCTACCAACAGAACTCGCCAAACACATTGTTTATAGTGCTCTTTGTTCTTCAATCACTTGTTACTGTAAAATAACTGAAGTTACAGTTCTCCCTAACACACCCACATCTCCTTAAATGAGAGCAAAAATGAAGCAGAAAAATACTTTCTACAAGGTGTTAATTGGAGGGCCTGTAAAATAGAACATATCGGACAGCTAGGAAGGAGAGTTGCGGAAAACAGGAGGAAGCATGTTCCTATAATACAGTACATGTATATAAATAGATGAGGTGAAAAATAAAATTGGAGTTAAAAAAAAAAATGATAAAACCAAAAATACTTGACATCATAACTCTGGCAGAGAAACTTTTAAATAATTTGATATTCCCAAGGGAATATCACATCTCAGTTTGGAGATGTGATAGAAAAAACAGAAATGATGATGTCACTGCACTAGTGAAAAATAAAGAAAAATAAAAGAATTAATCCTCAACAACCCATGGGATGTAGATATAGTTTCACTGGATATCTGCCTCCTTGCTTAATTTGTACTTGCAAGTGCCAGTGGTTTCACTCGGCAGTCCAAGATTGGAGGTGTGTGACTGTCCTCTTCCAGTCTTATTGTTGCAGTGTCCCTTCCTATGTGCAACAGTCATGCATACCCTTAGGTGATTGGATGTGCAGGTGCTTTTTCTCTGACTCATTGCATGCATATAAATAAAAACAATGAAATATAACTATATGAGAATGTGTACCATTCATAAATGGATGTACATATATGATGAGCAGAACAAGTTATTGGGCTTCTCTGGAATGTAGAGTACAGTTGGAAACACTTGTTCTCTGATATTGCGGCCATTGGCACCTCCATACTACTATTACACATGCTGTTGTGTCCTTTCGGTACTTGTGTTCTCGTCGTGCCTATGCTTTTCTGCTGAAGAATGTTGACCAGACCACACACTAGAAGGTGAAGGGAGGATGACGTTTCGGTCCGTCCTGGACCATTCTCAAGTCGATTGTCTGACTTGAGAATGGTCCAGGACGGACCGAAACGTCGTCATCCCTTCACCTTCTAGTGTGTGGTCTGGTCAACACATATGGAAGGTAATTAAAGGCCGTTGGGTTTTCCCATTTAATTACATGAACTAGACTCTGACAAGGAATAACACATTAACTTACTCGCTGTGGTTAAATCGGCTTCCCATACCCATAAACCCACTAAACCTCCCCGGTCACCACTTGAACTCGTAACCTTGGCTTAAGTCCCTAATATACTGAATCTTCACTACCACGCTACACACCCGATTAGTCTTCCATTCAATACTCGCATATTGCAGACTTGACTTGGTCAACAAGATCACATAGAGTTCCCACATATTGTCAGTTCCACATCGTTGCTGCCACAGATGGGGATAAGGAGGACTTGCCTGAACCACTACTCCCAACAGACTGTTCCAGTCAGCCATAGCTTCAACCATTACAGCCCTCATTCCCAAGGAGGGTATATAATCCAATTGACAGTAGGTCACCTTCTTCCTAGAAACCTGAGGTCATTACAGCCCTCATCCCAAGGAGGGTATATAATTCAATTGACAGTAGGTCACCTTCTTCCTAGGAACCTGAGGTCACCCTTTATCCTCTCTTGGCTGGTACTTACGTCTTGGGCAGCTGCTGTTCTAATCCCTTGACCTTACCTCGATGTGTGAACACAGCCTGGAAAACTACATGTACTTCTACTCGTCATATGTTTAGTATTGTAGTAATGATTCACTAGCTAATATTCCCTCCTAACATGTGGATTACAACACACACATGCATATGTACATGTGTTTTCTCTGCCCTTTTTTTTCCACTGCAAGTTTCATTGTGGTCTCTTTGTCTTAGTGCCCCATCTTTTGTCAGGGTTTTGGGAATTATTCAAGGGTTCTTCCGGAGAGTTAACACATTCATGCCAGTTATGGAGAGTCGTGGCAAAGATTCCTTCAAAGGTGTCTTTGTTTCCGGCTGTAGCCATTTGTCTTGGATGGGGTTGCTGTTTATTTTGCTGATGTCTGATTGTCTGGTTCTCTGGCATCTTGCGGGGATCTCTGCTCTTTCCCATGTCCTTCTGTTGAGGAAGCCCATGATGTTGAGAGGTTCCAAGGTGGACTCTTGGTGTTTTAGACCCTTCATGGTTCTGGGTATCTGGTCCTTTGAGTCTCTTGCTCCAGTGCAGTTGATCTTGTTTTCCAAGAGAATTTCCCTCCATATCATCATTATTCCTCAGCTGCGGCATGGATAGGTTTACTTTGGTTCTTGTTCAAAATCAGAACTGTGCTTCGAGGGAGGGTCCACTCGCTTTTGGGCTTGGATCTGCATCTTTGTTTTTGCTGCAATTTGGGGTCTTGTTTTCTCTTTTCTGCGACCTGGTAGACATTCCCCTCCGTTTCTTGGAGGGTTAGTGCCCTTCTATCATGTGGCACTTGGGGCCTGGTGCTATACCTGACTGAGGTTATTAATTTGTTTGTCCAAATTCTAACATTACCAAAGGTACAATAAACATTTAAATAACACCTAATTATTATCATCAAATGTTTGTATTCTTAATTTATAATTAAGCTATTAATTCACATTAATGTACTAATACATTTGATAGTATTTTCTGGGGGGAGCCCCGTCGGCTCCCCGGAGCTTTACCGGCTGATATGCTAATGTCAGACTTTGGCATCAGTCATGTGTATGGAGTTCTAGGGCCTACCGGGGACCACGAGCCAGAACCTGGCCCCCTCAGAGAGGCAAGGGGAGCAATGGCCTATAGAAACCCCCGTGTGGTTGGAAGCATTCTATGTCTGCCATCGACCGGGTCAAGCATCCAGAAAGGTAAGCATTCCAAAACAAACCCCTATTCTGGTGAAAATTGCTACCTAAGCCGAACTAGTGAATAGAACTCTTCAACAGAAAACACGGAAACTAGTATGACGTCATACGTCACCGCGCCGCTGTCTGCGCAGCTCCCCCCTCCCCGGGAGGGGGAAGGGGGAGCCCCAGACCTCCCACGCCGGCTATCCACCCATCAGTTCTTCGGCTGATGCTATAGGCAATGGTTATGTGCTCCGGCTCCAGTGGTTGTTTCAGCACTGTACCTAGAGTGTGGTGTCTGTTTTCTAGGTGGTGCGTGAGCCGGGTGTGATTCTTCAGTACTCGGGCTGCATGCGCCTAGGGTTCCCTTCCCTAGGTGCCCTGTAAGTACTGCCCTTGGGGCTTGGGGCCACCTTCCACAAGTTCCTTGGGTCCTGCCCCTGCTTGGCCGTTTACCGCTTGGTTTTCGGCCGCTCTTTGTGTGCTCGGGTGTTCTGTCTCCCTTGTTCGCCTTAGAGTAAGGGGCAGTGTTTGCACTGGTGGGGCGCGGGGTACTGTGCAGCTTGTCTTTACCAATCATAGCGGCCGGCTCTGTTCCGCTTGGGTACGCTGTCCTCTTGCGGGGTTTTCTTTTTCTTTTGTTTCTATACCTGGTGGGGGGGTCTGCCTTCGTTCTTGCCCCTTGTGTCCCTTGTGTTCTGAGTATTTCTGGTGGTACCCCCTGCTAGGTCCCCGTGAGTGTACACGTCCCGGGGGTTCAGCTCTTAGAAAGTTGTTTGGTAGCTTGGGTGCCGGTTAGCAGTACCCTGCCTGGGATTACCTGAGCGCGAGTCCTCTTAAAGTAAACGCTCGGGACCCTGGGAAACCCCTGGGGGCGCGCGGGTCCGATGGATGTGGCCCCTGAGCCCCCCCCTCGCTTCCAGCGAGTTTGAGGGTTGCTCTCACCTTTTGTCTCTGGGTGACTCTCTGTTTTGCCTCCGTCTGCTGCCTGTGGGGTCGGTGACACCTTCGACCCGGTGTCCTGCGAGTTTGGTTGCTCGTTGTGGCTCGGTTACCCAGTTGTGCTAACAAAGCGGGTGCGGGCAGCAGGGGCGTTGCACTTGAGCCTTGGTGGTGGCAACGTTCTCGTGGTTTCCTCCCCGGGAGCCCCGGGGCTGCCCCGTTGTATTTCGTTTTTCCCCTGGTTCACCCTTCCTGCCTGCATCCGGTTCCTTACCGTCTGTAGGTTCAGGGTGGGGTGTTTGGTGGTGTTGAGACTCGGGCAGTCTCGGGGAATTCCCCTTCCGGGGTAGTGACGGGGGCATTTGGGCCTGTTCCTCCAGCCGTGTTGTATGAGTCTGCCAGTGGGCTCCCTTCCTTAGTGTTTTCACGGCTGCCCCGGTTTTCTGGTACGGCCGGGGCTTTGGGGGAACGGCTCGGCCCCGGGGCCTGTCGTGTAGGTTCCCGGGGCTGGGGAGGGGCTGACTTGGGGGGCCTTGGCCCCGTTAGACCCCGTGGGGGGTTTTATCCCCCTCTAGGCGGGGCTTGTGGTTACGCGGAGTGGGGTTTTTCCTCCCCACTCGCCGTACGTGCTGTTGGACGTCGGCCCCTCCCCGGGCTCGGTTCCTTGGCCTTTGAGTCGGTTGGTTCCGTCCTGTGGGTGGATGTTTCCTCCCCCGCTTTTTGGGACGGTGTTTTTGTCATGTTTCCCCGTTCGATGGGGTTCTGCGTGACTTTTGATCTCGGGTGCGCCTGCGCCTTCGTGTGCCTTCGGGACTAGTGTTGGCTTCTGTGTTCTCGAGGGTACGGGAAGGTTTTTCGCTACTTCCCGCATTATTGGAACGTCTGTCGGCTCCTAGTACTTGTCGCCCTGTTGGGCTACTTGTCGCCCTGTTGGGCTACTTGTCGCCCTGTTGGGCTACTTGTCGCCCTGTTGGGCTACTTGTCGCCCGGTTGGGCTACTTGTCGCCCGGTTGGGCTACTTGTCGGCCGTTTGGGCTACTTGTCGCCCGTTTGGGCTACTTGTCGCCCGTTTGGGCTACTTGTCGCCCGTTTGGGTTCCCTTTTTTTGGGCTCTTTGCTTCTTTGGCCGGTTTTCTTGTTCCTGCTTCCTCTTTTGGCTCTTTTTCTCGTGCAATAGTCCTGGCTGGCGCCTTCCCGCAGGGAGGGTGTGCGGTTCGGCCAGCGTGTTATGCGCATGCGCCGTGGAGTTTGTTTTGGTCTGGGCGATGGTTCAGTGCTGGGGTTTTGCGCCCTTTTTTGCTACAGTGCTTCGCCTCTCGTTCTTCTCCCTGGCTGCGGTATGTGCCCCTTTGCGCCAGGGGTGTCCTGGTTCCCAGTTGTGGGGAGGACACCGCGGTTTTCTGTGTCATGGGTGTGGACCGCCTCCTTCGCCTCTCCCTGTTCTCCTGCGGGTCCGGCTCTGGCGTCTTCACCTGGCGGTGCTCCCAAGTTCTTCTGGGCACGGTTGAGTCGTGTCAAGTTCGAGCCACCATTCGCCAGGTGAGTTTCTGCGGTCTGGCGTCTTTTGGCCGGGCGCTGGATGCGGCGGTGTTCATATACCTGTCTTTATTTAGGTATAATTTTGTACGACTGAGACCGTTCGCACACCAGTGACTGTCCCTTTATCACCCACTCCTGTCCCCCTCCTGTGCATGTCCAACCCTTGCTACAGTCGTTCAGGGGACCCTCCTTTTTTAATGTTGTGAGGTGTGGGGGTTGTAGGGTTGGTTCTGTACTCACCTGGTGAGGCTCCTGGCTGTGCTTGCAGGATTTGAGCTCTGGCTCTTGGGTCCCGCCTATCTGGTAGAACTTGCGGGATAGTACCAGTGGAGTGCAGTGGTGCTATTGGCACTTTTGGGGAACACTGTATTACCATCAGTGGTCTGTGCTTGTTACACGACCTACTTGCGAGCATAAGCCTTCTTGCTGGTTCGTCCGTGGACTTCCAGGGCGCACTGGCCTGTTTTCGTATGGCAGTTCCGGCCCGTCCTGGTTGTGGGGGTATGTGGGCCGGTGGACTGCTCCTAGCAGCTGCCTGGTGGGCCATCCTCTGGCCGGTCTGGCCTGACCTTGGGCCGGGCTTGAGGTGTAAAAGAGCTCCCAGTACCTCATCCAGCAGGTATCGAGCGGGGTTTCTCCGCCGTCGGTCGCCTGGTGCAGGTTTCTGGGCCTGCAGGGTTTTGTCGTGTCTCCGTTGGCCCTGTCTGGGGTCTGCCTGCTCCGTTCTCTGCCTTTGCAGAGGGGAGTTGCTATTTACATGTTGCATGTTGCAGTGGTGCCTGTTGCTGCTGCTGCTGCACGTGAGCATTGGTACCGTGTTTCACGGTGGCGTGTCCTTGTTCCTGTGTCCGGTTGTGGAGTGGCGCTTTGCTGCTGTTTTGTGCCTGGGGATTGCGTGGGGTTTTTGTCCCTGCCTGATTGTCCACCCCTGGTTGTTCTCCTGGTTTTTTTTTTTTTTTTTTTTTTGTGCTTCTGCTCTTTCTTCCTGCCTCTTCTGCAGCAGGAATGTTCTGCGTGTGTTCTTAGGCGTTGGTCAGCCTGTGTCCTGTGATGTGCTTCTTTGTCTCGGTCTGTTGCAGTTGTTCGGGCCCCTTGGTTCGGGTCCTGTTCTGGCGGCGACCCTTCCGCCTTCTTTGGTTTTCCTAGCTTGCCCTGCCGGTTGTTGTTGTTGTTTATTTTTTTTTTGGGGGGGTTCTTGCGATGTCTCGCGTCGGACCCGTCGTTTCTGAACTCCTGGCGGGCTTGCATGCTTCGGAGTTTTTCTGTTCGGCAGACGTTCCATCTCCTTGTGCCGCCTGGGTTTCGGTGGTCGCGCCCGAGATCTTCTCGCGGCTCCGCCTTTTTCCTGGGCTCGGGGGGGCCTTGTCGGGGCTGCTTATGTTCTGCCTCGTGGTCTCGCCTCCGGTTGGTGGTCGGGTGGCTTCGTGGTAGGTGTCCCACCTGCGTGCTTCTTGGCGGCAGTATGGGGTATTTTGGCGGTCCTTCCTTTTCCTGTCCCTTCTTCGGTGGGTCCTTCTTGTTGGCTTGGTTTACTCTCGGCTTGGTTTTCTAGTGGGGGTTGGGGGCCGTCGTCTTGCCACATACTGTCGCCTCTTTTCGTGCGGCGCAGGCGGAGCCGCTTCAGCTTGCTTTCGGTCTTGGTGTTGCTTCTGCACCGTTAGTCAGCTGTCTTGTGCGTCATTTCACCTCCGGCCTGTTCGTGCGCCGCTTGCACCATCCTGGTCTCTGGTCAGCGTGCTCCGTCTTCTCCTCGGTTGGTAGTGCCCCTTCGGTTCCGGTGTGTTTTTTCGTCGGCTCTTTCCTTTGGGCCTTTGCCTCTGGGGGTCGGTTCGCTGTGTTTTCTTGCTCCTTCGGTTTTAGCGTTTTGGTTGTTTGATGGCAGCAGTCTCCATCTTTTCTGGCGCGGGGTGGGGCTGCTGCATTCTGGAGGGGTCCAGGGTTTGTTGGTGCTTTGTTGGTCGGGCCGGGGTTTTTTGCTATAATATTTTTTCTATGTTGAACTTGTAAACCTTTTCAAATGAATGTGTTACTTTGTTACTTCAGATGTTAAGAGTGAGGAACAAGCTGCAGATGAGAACAGTAGTGAGGTAGAAGATGAGGGCGAAGAAGATGATAAGAATGGCACTGATGATGATAATAGCAATACTACAAATAATGAGGAGCCCCACGATGTTGCGGACGATGACGATGACGACGACGATGAGGTGTGTGCAATTTGCCGAGACGAACTGATTTTTAAAGCACTGTATCCAATAGGAAATAGTTTACTATTAATCCTTGTTAGATATTTATCCATTTAGGCTGGTTGGTACAGTGATGGCCTTGATTCTTGCAGGGTCAACAATCAGTTCCCGTTAGCCCAAGCGGTTAGGGACCATTTTTACTCTCCATCATTCTCTAGTATAGCTTCTTGTTACCTATGCTCTCTCCAAGTACACTATTATAGTCACACTAGTCTTGTATTTTCTCCTCATAATACCTTGACCCTTGATAGAAATGATTATTTAAGATTACAACAAAATAATTTCAGGACTACTCTGACTCCGGAGAGACTTACCCGGATCAGGCAGAGTTGAGCAGTATGACACAGCCCAGCCAAAACCAGGAAATGGAAAGTGAATCTGTCAGTCAGGAACCTGTGGAGTTGGAAACCCCTACAGTAGACGCCAGCATGAGGGTAGCATCCCCGGTCCCCAATACTTCTTCGCGGCCTGAGCCAGTATTGTTTCAACATGCTGATGATGTTCAGGTTGCACATGCTCAGCACCATCAAATTTCACACTCACAGGCTGTAAGTAACTGTTTTGCCTATGGTTCTGTGATGAAGATTGTGTATAGGATACATTTGAAGGATTCAGACTCCACATTAAATGTATGAAACCTATACCCCTACACTACCCATACAGAACCCATAACCCACACTACACATATGAAACCCATACCCCACACTACATGTATGAAATGAATTGGGTTCTGTTCCATATTGTTCATACGATCAAGGTTTTTTTATACAATATTTTGAATTGGATTATTTAACAATCGGCAAATTTAAAATTTGTTTTTTAAAAATAACTTGAAACATTCCACTGGATTTTAATGAAAGTTCATGCATAGTTGTCAACTATATATTATCTTGAGGTTATCTTGAGATGATTTCGGGGCTTTAGTGTCCCCGCGGCCCGGTCCTCGACCAGGGCTCCACCCCCAGGAAGCAGCCCGTGACAGCTAACTAACACCCAGGTACCTATTTACTGCTAGGTAACAGGGGCATTCAGAGTGAAAGAAACTTTGCCCATTTGTTTCTGCCTGGTGCGGGAATCGAACCCGCGCCACAGAATTACGAGTCCTGCGCGCTATCCACCAGGCTACGAGGCCACCTCTATTGGAAATGATTTATTTATTTTGATTGATACAATAACATGAGTAAGTGACCATAAACATCAGAAGGCTGCATCCATCTATTGAATCCATCTGCCGACCCATCACGGTCTGACTGCCATGGCTTACACCATTCTGTTTATCATTAAATTCTCGGGAGAGCTTAATTGTTGTCAAATTTCAGCCATGATTGTTTAAAAAGGTCCTATTGAACAATTAAATTTGATGGCAAGTTTAATGCAGGGAGATGCTCAAAGGTGACTAATGCATGTTTTATTTAAGGTTTTTGTTTATAATTATGTTGTTATATGCAATTTTTACGTTAAAAAGGTCTTTTGGGGACTGTTGGAGGGGGCTGGAAATTGCTAAATTATGAAATTAAATTATGCAAGTTAAGCTAAATGTTAACTGCAAAAATACTATTTAGTGTGGTTAAGAGAGTTCATATTTTCATCATCCTTAATATACTGTATTATAAGACTTTTTACAAACATTAAATTTTTTGTTTCTAGGCAATGTATAATGTATTATAGCTTTGTAAATTTATAATGTATTATAACTTTGTAAAAGTAGTACATAAATGTTTATCATGACTGTTTATTTTAGAGCTACAGCGTGACTCGTGAATCATCAGGAAGCGAGAGCCGTGGTGTGTATTTCACGCTCGCTTTCGCTGGTGTTGCACTCATGATGGCAATGGTCGTGGGCATAGTTGTCCTACGACGCAGGAACACCACCAACCCCCACAATCAAGTAAGATTAATATATTTAAATTATATTATAACCTTGGTTTTTCTTTGTAGACAAATTTAAGATGAAATTGCCTTTAGCACTAATTAGTTGTAATGTAGGTCTTGTATAAAATATTAAAGGCTCCTGTGGTGCAGTGATCATCACAATTCACAGTCAGGAAGTCCCAGTTTCGATCATCACTCGGGATGGAGACGTTTAGGCACAGTCTCTTTCATCTGATGCCTCTCTTCAGTTAGCAGTTAATAGGTGTTTGGGAGTTGTATCCTGGGGAAGGCAAGTTATGGCCTAGAAGGACCTTGATAAGCCTAACAAGCTTCCTGTTCCCTACAGTGGGGAAACCAACACCATTAAAACCCATGATACCAATTAGCTGGAAAATAAATATTAATTGTTTTCCGAGATTCTTTGCAAGCGATACTTTTTACCATGCATTATATTTTTCTATTTGATAACCAATATTATTCCTACAAGAAAATATTTATTCTAGTGGATAAAGGAAAAAATTTTTGTTAGGCTGTATGTTCTGGTGCATATTTCTGTTTATCATAATGCACTCTTTAAGATAAAGATGCCATATTTTGATGTTGCACACTCCTTTGCATTTTGTCTTCAGCTATGTGATTTGTCTCAATTTTAGTTTCCAGGTGTGCTTTTGCCCATGTGTGGGCCAAAGCTCAAAAAGACATTCCCCACGAGACCAAAAAAGCCATTTCTTTGTAACATAGTCACTCGTATATTTCAGGACCTTGCTAAAGTAGCACGAGGAGCAAATCCTTCATCACAATTACATAGCACTCTTTGTTTAAGACACTAAATTCATGTTAAATCATATCGAGTCATATTGCAGGAAATATTTGATCGGTGTTTGAAGGTTTACCGATTAATTATCTTTGTTTCATTCCATTTCAAGATCCTGTAAGACCTTATGGCAACATCATCGTATTTCTGGCTTGTTCCCTTTTCCATTTACATACATTCATATTTATTGAATATCTTGGTGAATAATATTTCTTTTCAGGGGTTTATGGAAGTAGACCAGGCCATCACCCCAGAAGAAAGGCATGTAGCCAACATGCAGGTTAATGGTTATGAAAACCCCACCTATAAATACTTTGAAGAAAAATAAACAAGTGAAGGAGGGAAGTTAACAGCCCACATAAATAAGCGGGGAACCATTCGTCCGTTTTCCCAACGTCAGACACCTGTTGACTTGAAAGCATTAATTATAGAATGAGAACTTGCAAGCGAAACCGTAAACTAGGTTGCTTCAAGAGTCATTTACTTAAGAAATGGTAAATGGAGATCTTGGGTAAATGGTGGCAAACAAGCTAAGCTCACAGGTGCTGATGGTATGCATTGTCATTTCAGAATCATCAGTTGTCAATACAATTCAATACAATTAAAAACTAAATTGGGTATGTGTAATTCTAGGCTTAATTATAGAGACTGTTCAAAACCAGAGACCTCTCATTTATCATAGAACATAAGAAACAATCACGAATTTGTGTAATGTGGATTTCAAATACGAAACGCTGAGTTGCAATGTTATATTTTCATATTTTTAGTGATGTAAGTAGACTAATATTTCTCCTTAAATTATAGCTTTTTATAACATTCCATGGAGTTGGCAATTTTTGATTCTGAGGTGCACAGTTGTGAAAGTCACGTGAAACTCAAGCCTTAAGTCATTGGTTTTTAGTCACCAATATTGCACTTATCCAGGATCAGTAAACTTGACTCATAATTTATTCAGTTTTTATTCTAATTTAACATTTTGTGTAGATATTACATATGAAATGAGCATTGCAAGACAAATGTGTGAGAAGATGGTGGTTGCCTGTGTCCTGGGTAAGAGACGTGTTGGTGTTATACTTCAGTGTAGATGATGCATCATGTCCAACATAGAAAACAATAATTTGTTATGATAGGAAGCTAAATAGGTTTTATCATGCTTTTATCATAGACTAATCTTCTGGAAGTTTATTGGCCACTGCAGTTGTAAATTATCATAAATATTGTGACAGAGTTAGGTGTCCTGGAGGTAGGATGTGTTCCATATAGCTGCACTCACATGCGTTGCATCGTATATATATATATATATATATATATATACTCTGGTGTGGTGTTAGGTGCAAGTTTACACTTAATCTTTGATGCCAGTTACCTTTTATGCTAATGTAAATTAGAACTGTCAATCAATTTTCTACGATAATCACCAATGACTTTAGTGCACCAGAGTTGTATAAATGACAGTGAGGCAGTTCATGGAGCAGCATCTGAAGCCCAGAATTCCTGATGTCGTTGCTTACACGGGTTGGTTGCTTAGCGAGAGCGATCCTCTCCAGGAGGTTCTTGACCTTGGCACCAAGAATTGAGTGGTCTCTAACACATTATTTTTATGCAGTCAGCTGACCTTTTTATTTTTCTCATTAATTGATAGGACAAAATTATATTTTTGTCATTTCCCTCTCATCAAGGTGCCGTTTAGACTTTTGATTTGACTTTATCAAGCCCAAGGTAGATCTCTAGATCTGTAAGATTTTTTTACATATACATATATATATATATAAATATATTTTTGATCCATTATTTAGTTTTAAATATGGTTATTTGTCTTCTAATTGATCATCATGATACAAATTTAAGCTCCAGTGAATTGCAGATGTCACAGAGTTGGTTTTGTGTGTATAGCGAGGATTTTTTAAGTTTTAAAGTGAACTTGTACTTTATACCTCTCGTCAACTCCATATTTATGAAAGTAAATATCTAGTGCACTATTGTAATTGTATAAGGCTATATTTCGTGGAATGTGGAAAGTTTGAAAAAAACAAATTCAATTGGTTATTACCTCTTACGGTAGTAACTTTTATCAGTGGAGGACACAAATATCCAATTATAGTACTTTTCTCCGTATGTGTGTACGTACATGTAAGTGTTGCCGTACGTACACATAAGTGTCGCTGCTTGCCTTCAGTAAGCTGTTGTGGAAATATAGACAGGTTTCCCTAACACAATCTTCTGCTCATACTTTACGTGTAAATTGAGTCTTGGGATTGGTTGTAAAGAGGTTTGGTATCGACAGTCAAATAATGAAGCCTTTGTGCCGCTATACATAAAGCTGGAAACAGATGGTCATGTCATGTAGGGGCAAAACCCTGTAGACTTTGAGAACCATTCTGAGTGACTGCCACAGATACAAGACAACTTGACTTCTCACTATACATAAAATTGCATACCTCTAATGCCATTTCTTAATTGTGTTTCAATTAGCCATTCCTTTTTTGTGATACTTATAGTGTATCAAGAGCTAAAGATTCTTGCATCATTCCTTATTTGTTCCCCAGACTCTGTTCTATAGTATATATGCTATAGTTTGTTGTTTAATTATATAGGAGCAGTACATAAGAGCTAACTTACCCTACCACTCACAGCATATACCTTAGATATATATTGAGCATGTACATATGAGTGGTGCAGGGTTTTGTGTCGTATCATAGAGTTGTATCATTTTATACTACGTGACTTTTCTCTAGTTCCAGTTTCTCATCATGGCGCACGATCTCCCACAGCAATTCATTTTATCATCAAATTTTATTATGTGCCATTAAAAAACTAAAAAGTTGTAGGCTTGGGTTTAATCATTACTTAATTTCCTTTGAGGGGATCAGATTTCTTTATATCAAAGGAAGTCTATTTTTCAATTTTGTTTAGTATTATCAGTTTGAATTCATTGACCATGTCTTAGCATATTCCTATTGCTTTAATTTGCTCATCGCCAAGGAGAAATCATCATAGTAGGACTTACTTGCTAGGCTGTAAAATGGAGTCACAATTAGATCTAGTAAGTATCGACATTTATCGTGAATGAGAGTAAGTGCTTCTTCTTTGTGGAAGTCAAGTGTGCAAAAGCTGAAGAGTAGCTACTGCTACCAAGTATTTCGAGTGTCGGGTCGTGTTCCATGCATGTGGGGGCATTGGTTTTAGAAAACATATTGAAATAATATCTTTTTATGATATTTAAACATAAATTTGTAGGGCTTTGGGCTCATTGATGTTCAATTGAGCTTAAAACCTTAGAAATATACTTCAAAATGAAGATTGATTAAAGTTGAAAACTATTGAAAGTTTCCTCTCATATTGTGGAATGCGTCTTTAGTGTTCTCTAACCACTGTAGCTTAAGAGTCTGTATGTCTCACACACTAGCAGGTTAAGTGACTTCTCTCTCACTCTCATCTCCCTGGTTTATTATAGAACTGGTTAAAAAGGCAGCTATTTACGATCTTTGATGTGTTTGCATATTATGCTCGGAATTTATGTATTAAATCAAATTGTACTTTTGTGTAATCATGTAAGACATGTCATACCATGGGAGCTGAGATTATACTTGATCTGAAATATATGTACCGAAAAAAGGTAAAATGTCTTTCATTTATTCAGCAGAATCTGTTCGAATGAGTAATAAGGATATGGTAAATATAGTAGCTTCCCACTTTTCTACTGTAGCAAATTTGATGAAAATGGTCATTTTGGACAATAACCCAAAATGTTTTAGTGTGTTAAGTTTCATTTAATTCTAGTAGTGTGCTAGAGTCAGTATCTAAGAAATATGTATGAAACTGTATAAATATAAATCCTTACGCCTTAGTCATATAGAGAGATGTTTGTCTAGTATTGTTTTAAATTTGTTTTATAGTGTACACTACCACTCAAATTTATAACTTTGGAGTTGGGCATCTCATGAATTGCCCCACCTAATTAATTAAAATGTGGCAAACACATTTCCAGAATAAATTCTAGTACTGTTTGCTGGTATAAAAATATTTAAGTGGTATATATTTATTTTATTTATTTTGTACGATATCATGTTTTTAATGAATTTGCAGACCTGATGGGCACTGTTTGGGAAAGATACTATTGTCAAACATCTACCAACAGAATATTCAACAGTGTGCACTTTAAAATGGTCAACCAGTGGAAAACCAATAACCTACCTCTTCATGTTGCCACTTTGATGTGAGAAGGCACTTGTGCGCCGTTCAAGAAAGATTTAGATTGGTTTCTGCTCCCTTCTCCTGCTTGCTGGAGTGATGTGCATCTGAGGATCTCAATGTGATACCCAGTACTGGTAGGTTTCCTGTTTGGGTTATTGGATCATTTACTGGAGGGGCTGCTCACTGTGGTGTCTTGGTTCAGGGCACAAAAGAGCAAAGTTTTCACACTAACATGTGAACTGCAGTTCATTAAAAATACTTTGCTCTGTTAAAAATGGGAAACATTATGGAAGGAGTATCCTGTTTGTGTCAGTTTGCACTTGTCCCCCTCACTTTCCTGGTACATGGGATCCCAATGCCTCAGGAGCTTACTTTCCTTTTCCTCTGCCTTAATTGTGTGTAGACTTAACTCACTCTCACCACAAGACTAGCATGACCAGGCCCAAGTGTCTTGCCTGTTTGGTCGGATTCAATATCCAGGGTACCCACATTCTTGGTTTAGAACCCTTCTGTTTTTTTCAATTGTGTGTTTCACATTGCAAGTTCCCATGTTTTGTGAGATGTTGTGGGTTCCTGGTATGAGACATCATAGGAAATAAACTCTGGCAAACACATTTAACCACTAATAGGAGCACTCTAAAAGGTAGAAAGTAAGTATAATGAAACCAGTTATTCCACCCTGTTTCTCTTCCTTACGCCCGAGTTCTGGAGGTTTAGTCGAGACTTAAATGTGATGGTGGCAGCTTCATAGGACTCCTGTTTAACTAGAGCTGCCATCTGGTGGTTAGAGAGATTAGTGGAGAGGTGGTATTTTGGGGAATTTGGATCGGTTCAGCCAACCAATTTGTTAGGTATTCATTCATACCAACATTTTCTCTTGGGTGTTTTAAGATTTTGTGGCCATTTTCCTAACTTTTTTGGCAGGGTTTCCTGTGTGGAGTCTAATGACTTCCTCCATGCCTCTTTGTTGGAGCAGGATTCTGTTATCTGCTGTTGGTAAGTTGAGATGGTCACAGATGCATGTGGTGCTGGATTTGGCCATGTGTAGAAGTGTGGAAACTATAGGAAGCTACTCAGGGCACCAAAAATGGATATTTCATTGTGCTTGATGCTCTTTTTCTGGAAGTGCTTCTATTGGTGGCTCCGTAGTCTATATACCAATACTATATACGTAGTCTAAGTACCATAGAGGTACGTAAGTACATAAGTACCAAACACATACCCATAAAGGTACCATACTCAATCCCATATAAGTGTCATACATATGCCCATATAAGAACAATACATATGCCCATTGAGGTACCATACAAAAGCTCTTATAAGTAACATACATATGCCCGAAAAGGTACCATACTTATGCCCTTATAAGAACAATACATATGTTCTTATAAGTATCATACATATACCCTTATAACTACCATACATATGCCCTTATAAGTACCATAAATGCCCATATAAGTACCATTCATATGCCAATATAGGTACCATACAAATGCCTTTATAAGTAGCATACATATGCCCATATACGCACCATGCATAGTAGTCTCTAAATACATGAGGAATATTGATATAATGTTATTTTGATTATCCATTTATTATTTAGCTCATTTTGATTATTATTACATTTTTTAAAACTCATTTTCCATAGTAATTTGTTGAGAAAACACGATGATAGGTTTGATATTTGAGGTGGCTGTATCTCAGTAAATATGGCTGTATAGGCGTTAATATTTAAAATTAGCAAAGAAAGACTTTATAGAAAGAAAGGTAAATTGCTGTGGTAAACACAATGGTACCATTTTCAAAACGATTCTATGGCTGGTTTTGATTTTGAGTTTTGTGAAAAATGACATTTCGCAAGGGCTCGGATTCTTTGCAGGCGGCGGGCTGTATGTACTCCATCTTTGTCTTCGTCCGCTGGTCAAGTTTTTATTACTTGATTTAATCATTGTCTATCTTCTATATCTATAAAATACGGATGACTGTCTGTGTAAGGTAAAAGGTACACAAGTACCATAGAGGTACGTAAGTACATAAGTACCAAACACATACTTATAAGAACATATGTATTGTTCTTATAAGGGCATAAGTATGGTACCTTTTTGGGCATATGTATGTTACTTATAAGAGCTTTTGTATGGTACCTCAATGGGCATATGTATTGTTCTTATATGGGCATATGTATGACACTTATATGGGATTGAGTATGGTACCTTTATGGGTATGTGTTTGGTACTTATGTACTTACGTACCTCTATGGTACTTGCGTACCTCTATGGTACTTGCGTACCTTTTACCTTACACAGACAGTCATCTGTATTTTATAGATATAGAAGATAGACAATGATTAAATCAAGTAATAAAAACTTGACCAGCGGACGAAGACAAAGATGGGGTACATACAGCCCGCCGCCTGCAAAGAATCCGAGCCCTTGCGAAATCGTCATTTTTCACAAAACTCAAAATCAAAACCAGCCATAGAATCGTTTTGAAAATGGTACCATTGTGTTTACCACAGCAATTTACCTTTCTTTCTATAAAGTCTTTCTTTGCTAATTTTAAATATTAACGCCTATACAGCCATATTTACTGAGATACAGCCACCTCAAATATCAAACCTATCATCGTGTTTTCTCAACAAATTACTATGGAAAATGAGTTTTAAAAAATGTAATAATAATCAAAATGAGCTAAATAATAAATGGATAATCAAAATAACATTATATCAATATTCCTCATGTATTTAGAGACTACTATGCATGGTGCGTATATGGGCATATGTATGCTACTTATAAAGGCATTTGTATGGTACCTATATTGGCATATGAATGGTACTTATATGGGCATTTATGGTACTTATAAGGGCATATGTATGGTAGTTATAAGGGTATATGTATGATACTTATAAGAACATATGTATTGTTCTTATAAGGGCATAAGTATGGTACCTTTTCGGGCATATGTATGTTACTTATAAGAGCTTTTGTATGGTACCTCAATGGGCATATGTATTGTTCTTATATGGGCATATGTATGACACTTATATGGGATTGAGTATGGTACCTTTATGGGTATGTGTTTGGTACTTATGTACTTACGTACATAAGTACCAAACACATACCCATAAATAAGTAAATATGGCTGTATAGGCGTTCAAAGCTCCATCCAATTCAATCTACACCAGGCCCTTGAGAGTCATTACAAGCCAACTGGGAACCAGAGGCCAAAACCTGGTCCCTTCTAAAATGGCACAAGGAACAGGAGAGCCTAGCTCACCCTAAACAAGAAAAGGCTACCAGATAGGTGGGCAAACCAAAACATATGAGACAGCAAGGTAGACAATGCATAGAAAATGAGACAGCAGAGTGCTTTGATGTCTTGGGGTTTCCCCGAGACGAATAGACGAACTTGTCTTGAAGCAGTTTTCTTGTTACATATGTGCACCACGAGGGGAATGCACACCTCCCTCATCAATCATTTAGGCTTGAACCTTAATCATTTTGCGTGGTGTGCATGTTTATGACATCCGTGTTATGCTTCATTCTCGCTCCAGTGCTCTTCAAATCTTGATTTTTTTTTCAGGTAATTGTTGCCCATCCTGTACACATTTTTTTTTCTGCAGAGGCTATTTGCTTGTGTATTTATTCTGTATTTTAGTGTTTGCTTCACGATGCATGTATGTTTATGCCTCGCTTCTCGTGGGATTTTGATTACCTGTTCACTTTGAACTGACATGCCTAGGATGATGAATACTAGATACTGTCTGGTGTTGCCTTTGCCTAGCAAGAATTGCCTTCTCTTCTGGGTTCAGGTGACTTTCTCAGAGAGGCTGTCATCGCTGTGACAGTAGATTTTTTTGGCACCTTTTCAGTCTTTCTCTCTGTAGGTTGGTCTTGGTTTTTGTACCTGTGGTATAAACATTTGTCTATTGTTTATGAATAAGCTTCTCATGCCAAATATTGGTAACTCATATCGCATTGCTTTGGCAGAGCCACTGCTGCTGGCATTCGGTGTTGACTTTGTCAGCCTCGTTTCACTAGTTGTCTTGAGCATTTTTGTCACCTCCAGCCTGCTTATACTCCTGAGCTGTCTTGGTCTTTGGACAAGGTTTTGATTTTACTATCCTCTCGCAGTTTTCTGTTGGCTCTTTGGTTAGGGATTGTTTCTTCAAGACATTGTTTTTGTTGGCAGGCTGGGAAGCTTAATGCTCTCTTCCGGAAGTTAGTGGCGGGGGGAAGGTTGCTCCTTTGGTCTTGGTGGTCATTATTTTTGCTTACAGCCCTCTCCTTACTTTCTTACTAAGAATGAAACTGCTGGTTTCTGGAGGATTCTTTTGGTGATTGATGCACAGGTGGTTCAGCCAGGAGGAATGTATTGCTCAGTGAATCCAGTGTAGCCGTTTGCCGTTACCCAGTACCTTTGTACCACTAGCAGTGTGCAGGGCAATGCTATGGTTGTGGAGCCAGTGGGCTTGGTTCCTTGTTCCATAGCCCTTTTATCTCTGGTTTCTGCATTGTCATGACTTTGCCTACAGTTTACCCTTGGGCCCCAAGATGTTCATAAAACAGACAAAGATAAGAGCTAAATAGGCCAAGATGGAGAGACAAAGAGAGGGGGGGGGGCAGGGACAAACACACAGACAGTATGGACTAATAGATGGATAGACAGATGAATAGGTGGATGGACAGATAGATGGATAGAAAGCGAAACGAATAGATTAGATGCACAGATGGATAGATGATACACAGGATCTATCCATATATCTATAGATGGATAGAAAGATGAGCAGGTGGATGGATGGATAGAAAGTGAGATTGATAGATGATGCATAGATGGATTGATAAATATATATTGATAGATGGACAGATAGATGTATGGATACAGGGATAGATAGATGTAGAGATGGACGGATAGAAAAATAGGTGGATACATACATGGACAGACACAGACAACACCGGTTACTCCCCCCCCCTCTCACAAGTATGATATATGTGGGGCAGGTGACAGTAAGATTGGAGCTTCTAGTAAAATGATTAGTCCACCTTCTTAAGACGAGTGCTGTATACACATATTAGAGCTTGATCTTGGGAATTTCTGGGAGGTGCATTTACCTGTCAGTAATTAGCTTTCTGGTACTGGTACTTTTATCTGTTCAGGTTTTCATTCAATCTTGAGTAAATAAAAACTTAGAACTGTTTATTGTCGTGGTATTTTATTAGATATACAATCTAATTCAGCTTCAACATTTCATGCATATTAAACCTTGTTTAGATCACGGCTTGTGACAAGCATTTCTGAAGTGCTTGCAAGGCTCCCCCAATGGCCAACAACAGTGCACCAACATGATTTAAATTTGAGAATGTTAAGAGTTACACTCTTGCAGACTTCATTTACTCGGCTCTCGGCAGACTTTAAAAGCATTCACAAGATACATGGATTGAGCATAACAGTGCAGATAAGGAGGAATACTTTGTATTCTATAAGACTTATATAATTTGATAATTAAAATATGAAGTACTGTAGTGTATTGAGGATATGAAGCAGCATGTCCTGGAGCCAGCAGGCCAGGTGCCATCCTCCAAAGCTAGTCTACATGTAGCATCACTTCCACATCAGCCATTAGAGCAGAATTAAGCAGGGACTCGGTTATCTGATTGGTCATTAAGAAGGCTGCTTTGCAAATAAATGGAGACCAGTCTTCTAATTATCAAAGAAATCTATCAAATATGACATCCACACACTTCACCAGAATAGGCCATTCACTCTGTCAAGTAACTAAGTAAATTACACCATTGGTATATTAGAATCATTTCTTCTCGCCAGTCATTCTCTCACAGCAACTTGTACATAATACTTTTTAGAGGCTAATGAAGCATATATTCCCATTACCTCCGTATATATATCTAAAATAATAATAATTTACGAGCATCACTTAACACATCATTCACACATAAGGAGAGCTAAGAGATTTCTGCCAACATTATGTGTAGTTCTTCATTGAGTCTCTTGTGTCTTCTCTTTTCTACAGCGTACATTTCATCACATCGTTCAGACTGAGCTTTTAACATATAATTATTCTTTTTTATGGTACTCGTTTTGGATTCATGTGCTTGAGTTCGTTCTTTAAGTTTGGATAATCTAGTCTCATATTCTGCCTCTTCATCATCTGATTCACTTTCTTCGTGTTCAGAGTCACTCCACACAGGTTCTTCAAGAGTGGACAAATCTTCCAGGTTTTCCTCCTCCTCCTCCTCCTCTTCTTCTTCTTCCTCCTCCCCATCAGCATTGAGCTTCTTCTTCTTTCTTTTCTTTAGTTTCTTAGGTTTTTGATTTGATTCACCAAACCACCATCCAGGATCTCCTTCATTCTCTTTTGACATATCTTTCTCCTCCTCCTCCTCTTCCTCCTCCTCTTCATTCTCATCATCACTCTCACCTTCATTTTCCTCATCATCTGCATCATCTTTGAGTGTTTTAATCATTTCATCTACTTCCTCTTTCGTTTTCAAATAGTTTTGTCGCTCAGTTCTCATATCTCGGAAATACTGCTTTATTCTTTCTCTCAGATTCTCTCTCTCATTTCGCACATTCTTTTCTTTTTCTTTTATATGATCAAGTTTATTTATCCATAGCTTGAGCTCTCTCTCTTGCTTTTTTGCTGAATTCTCTGCTCTTCTTTCTGCTGCTGCCTCCTCGTCCTCACCCTCTAATTCTTTGTCTTCTAATTCATCATCTTCCTCCTCTTCTTCAGATTCCTCCTCCTCCTCTTCAGATTCCTCCTCCTCCTCCTCCTTGCAGCTCTCCATTTTGTTGAATGATGAGGCAAAACTTCTGCGTGACCCTGACTTTGAGGGCATTGGGAACGGTTTCATTTCTTCCTCCTCTTCTGCTGCTGGTGACGGTGGGGGAGGCTCCAAAAAATCAATAGGTTCCGTTTGTATCCCCACTGTCTCGATGTCTGGTAACTCAATGCACTGTTCCTTCTGTAGAGCTTTGTACTTTTTCTCGTAATAATTGCCCCTCAGTTCCCATTCCGCTGCACAGTTTTCTGATACAATGAGCTTCTGTGTAACTTCGTCATACTTGTTTAGGTAATCGTCGGCCTGTTTCTTATGGAAATCTACTTGGCTCTTTAGGTTATTAATTTCAGTTTCTAATGTATCAAGCTCAGAGAAGTCCATCACGTCATCTTCACGCATTCGCAATTTACTCATAGATTTTTCAAGCTTTGGAACAATTTCGTCTGCCTCGTCGTTGGTCATGGGCTTGGGGTCAGTCATCCCAGCTTCCTTGAGTTGCCGTTTTAGTTTCTTTACCTCTGCCTGAAGACCCTCAATGTCAATTTTAAATATTTTGTTTTCTCTTTCTATCTTTTTCCGTTTCTTTATTTCATCTTCCAACTGCCCCTTGGTGGCCTGGAGATCGTCTCGCATCTTGTCAATGTCTTCCTCTTCATCAGATGAAGAGGGCATGTTTTCTATGGGGTCTGGGTGCTTCTTTAACTCCTCCGTTGTGATCTGACGACGTAGCTTCCGTAGACCTGAGTAAAGTTGAAAATAAAGTGGACATTTAATTAAAAGGGTAAAACATTTCTTAATATAATAATTCTTAGCCCAGCACTCACCTATCACATACCACCACCAAATTATTTTGGTCATGACCACTTGTCAAATTTAGTGAAATCTATTCTCCCTGTCTCTTCCCAATCTCCAGTCTCCCTCTTTTTCTCCCCCAATGTGTTTTTGCAGGCTAAGAACTTTTTACTGCACCTCATTTTAAACCTTAAGTGTACCAGAGAAAAATTGGATATCTTCAAATCATTTCATATCCAGATCCCCAATTACTGCTGGATATACAGTGATGAACAGTGAAGAAACAGTGCAGTCATCATGCCCTGCAGTTGAATTATAATTAGGTTCACTCACCTTCCTTCCTTCTTTATATCTGTGCATTTCCCTTTCCCTTCCCTCCCTCCCTCCCTCCCTCCTATTTTCCTGCTCTCTCCCACCCTGCATTTCCATTCCTTCCTTCTACTTCCACACTCACCCAAGGATTTAAAGTCAGGCTTGCTCCTGTCGTTTGTCCTGGTCTTGCGCAGTTTGACACCTCTGTGGATCTCGTGCAACAGCTCATTGTGTGCGAGAGGCTTCTCTGACTCATAAACAAACTGCCGAAAAGAGATTCATTTAGTACAGGGAATGGTGGTCAATGTTCATTTAGTGCAGGGAATGGGGGTTGAGGTTCATTTAGTGCAAGGAGTGGTCACTGATGCTGGAATGTCTTGCGCAAGTGCTTGTACACAATAACACACTACAGCAATACAGTATAAGCTCGGATGTGATGGCATAATAGTGAATCCAGTAGGTATGTTAATATGGATGTTTATCCTGGTTTAAATTTAAATAAGAATTTGTAATGGACATAAATTTAACATACTAGTGGCTTGTATTGTTTATGATTGTCACAGAACGATTTGTTCCAAGTTCGTGTTATTCACAAGAAACGTGTATACATCAAAACTGATGTATGCACTCTTTAGGGAGTGAATTACCTGAATTTACCTGAGGGCCGCTAATACTAGTGGCCTCAATAAGGACAGGAAGCTGGCGGCTTATCAAATGTCCCCCTCCCGGCCCCCCTCCCCCCATTTGCCCTCGTGATCTTTTCCAGCTGTATTTTAAAACCCATCAAAGTTTTGCTGTTTATGGCTTCGAATTGCTTACCAAGCTAATGGCAACCATCATTTTGAAAGAGTGAATGTGTATTGAGGAGCAGAATTACTGCCTTGGATAATGACCTGCAATTAGCACTGTCCATGAAGTGAGGTGGTTATATGTGGTGTCACATGACCAGCCATATGATGCAATATTGGTCCCAATGGCAACATGTCTACTACTATTAAGAATCCTCAATGGTTCTTAGCTTGTGCAGGCAAGGCAAGGACCATTAGATTTATTTGGTGAAATAGTTCCTGGCCACTAGTGCGAACCTCAGTTCCTTGTCAACCATTAAGGTGCATACATCTCTCATCTCTAAGCAAAAAAGACAGTTTATGCTATGTGGACAGCATCAACATTAACACAGTAATAACATAAATTGGGAAGTCACTGTTCTCACAAATCAGTAGACAGAGTAGAGTAGTAGACAAATGGAAGGCAAGAGGAAGGGACGTGGTGGAGGCTGACTCCACACACAGCGTCAAGCGTAGATATGATAGAGCCCAGTAGGCTCAGGAACATGCACATTAGTCGACCGAGAGGCGGGACCAAAAAGCCAGAGCTCAACCCCCGCAAACACAACTAGGTAAGTACAGAGAATCCAATGTATATGGAAGGGCTAAGCCAGGCACTGCAAGACGGGTAAGGAATGAGTGACCCAGATAAGACTATGAAAAACGGGGCTGTGACACCCCTTGTAACAAATAACACAGATGAACAAGGAAGGCCCCAGGAAGAAGCACAGAAGGGCCAAACAAAATGCCACAACCAACCCCCAACACACATCCACAGTATGAAAACTGCAGCAAAACGTCACCTCATAACATCCCGACACAGTAACATTTACCTCATAACATTTACCCCCTACCATTGTATCCCGTAACATGGTGGAGGTGGGGCCCCCCTTGATTGACTCAAGCATGGGTTGAACATGCATACGAGCGGGACTGGATGGGTATAAATAGGAGCTGCCTCATATACCCCAATAGGCCAACTGCAGTCATCTGTGTTCTGATGGTCGTATATTCGTATACGCATCAGCCTCAAAACTGAAGGGTGGATGGCCGGGGCGGTGGTCTGGGGCTCCTCCTTCCCCCTCCCGGGGAGGGGGGAGCTGCGCAGACAGCAGGGCGGCGACGTGTGATGTCATGCTCGTTTGCTCGTTTATTTTTGGAGAGTTCTATCCACTTGTTCGGCTTTTGGTAGCAATATTTTCACCAAGAATAGGGGTTTGTTTTGGGATGCTTACCTTCCTGGGTGCCTGACCCGGTTGATGACAGACATAGAATGCTTCCAACCACACGGGGTTTCTATAGACCATTGCTCCCCATGCCTCTCTGAGAGGGCCAGGTTCTGGCTCGTGGTCCCCGGTAGGCCCACAGAACTCCCTACACATGACTTGTGCCAAAGTCTGACATTAGCATATTGGCCTGGAAAGCTCCAAGGAGTCAACGGGGCTCCCCCCCCCCCAGAAATAGTGTGTAAAGCAGATATATCCCATCCACATCCTTTATGGCTGTCATCATGATTCGCTTGGTTGCAGTTGGTAATAGAAGATATTGGACAGTGATATGGCATGAATTAAATTCCATTTGATTTGTTGAACACATTATGGTTTGACAATGTACAATATTATATGATAAACTAATATGAAAGTAGCTCTGACAAGATGAAAACAATCCCTCCCTCACAGATGTCCCATTTCTAAAATGAACATCACTCAACAGTTTTGATTAATTCTTTAAACAACAGGCTTCCTAATTCCACATCAACGTATATACTGGCAAATTAAATTCTCAAACATAATGCCAAGCAACCTATTTGAGAAACCCATTTTATAGTTTGGCATTACATATATTGTAAAGATCACCCACTAGCTTCATTTTTTCTTTAGGTTAAAGGCCATTGTATAATTAAACTTTAAAATGTAGTATATGTATTATTTGATAAAAAATTTACACAATACCTGGGTCCCCACATTTGACTCACTATCTGCTTGGTTCACTAGGGTGAGTGGAATTAAGGACCATCACCCAGAATATCATCTGTACTGATGAAGGCTGAGCAGGCTCATGGAGTAGTAGAACTCCTGAAATCCTCTCCAGGTATGCTCCAAGTATACTAAAATAGGCACAAAAACCAAGACCACACCATATTGTCACCTTTGTCCACCTGGTACATACAATCCACACCATATATCACCACCTTTGTCCGACCATTACATACAACCATACCATGTCATCACTATTGTCCAACCAGTACATACAACCACACCATATCATCACTATTGTCCAACCAGTACATACAATCACACCTTATCATAATTATTGTCTGACCAGTACATACAACCACACCATATCACCACCATTGTTCAACCAGTACATACAACCACACCATATCACCACTATTGTCCAACCAGTACATACAAGCCACTGACCTTGCCACCCTTGCCCCTGGACTTGGGCAACATGGGCTGGGATCTGTCCGTTTTCTCGAATGGTGACAAGTGTCTGAGCTTGGTGCCACCCTGTGGGAGAGGAAGCAGATCAGTAATGACAAAGTATTCATTACATGTATACATGCATACATAAACACACACCAGTGAAAAAAAAAGTAACAGAGGACCCTTTAAAATATGGACCTGTATCATTGACAAGTGTGGCAGTCAAAACACTAGACAAAATAAATAAATAAAAAATCAGTAGAATACCTGAAAAGAAATGACAAGTCAGTCTTTCAAACAGGAAGATCGTGAGTAAGAAATCTACTTAGTTTTTATAACAGAACCACAAAGATCTTAAAGGAAAGAGATGGCTGGGTTGGCTAAATTTATCTGGACCTAAAAAAAAAATTGAAAAAAAATGAAAAAAGGCTTTTGACATTTTGACAACACAAGAGGTTGCTCTCGAAGCTAATACATTCTAGAGGGGTGACAGGAAGACGAAAAATTTTCTGACAAAAATGAGGGGAAAGTAATCAGAGCCAATGTATTAGACCAGAGAAATGTTATTAGTGGAATACCACAGGTTGGTGTTCCAATAGTAACATGGGTGTACTGTGTGTTCTAGCACACACAACACACTCATCCTGTTGAGCAACATAACACACACTAGTAAGAACCTCACCTCAATATTTCTGAGGAGTGTGTTCCAATCAGGCCGGGATCTGGAGGCCTTCCTGATCTGTTCCAACATACGCTTCCTTGCCTCTGACATTGGTTTTGGTGGTGCCATTCCTGGCATGGGCGGTGGGGGTGGTGCTCCTGGCATGGGTGGTGGAGGTGGTGCTCCTGGTATGGGTGGTGGCGGCGGTGGTCCAGTACCAACATGCTGAGGGTTTCAAGATAAATATATAGTTTGTTGTAGTGAGTTGTCAAGACCTGTCTGTTTATCTGTGTGTGTCCATGTATATATACGTATATACATACATGCATGTATGTATGTATAATTACCTAAGTGTAGCTTCAGGACGGGAGCTATGCTCGTGGTGTCCAGTCTTCCCGGTACTCTTGTCACATGATGCTTTCAAACTACCAACGGTTTTGCCCTCAACTACCACCTCGCTTAACTTTTTCCAACCGTCTACCACTTTGGAAAAGTGTGTGTATATTTTTAAGCAAAGGTTTAACGCTTGAGAATTATAATCAAACAACACTTAAAAATGTTAATTACTCCAAATAATATGCTGTATATCATGATTATTATTTGAAGTACTGTACAGTATTGTGTATAATAAACTTAAGCAGTTATGTCTTTGGTTAATAATTAATTAAGATACCTAAACAAAATGATAAACTGTACATATAATAGCAACAAGGAGGGTGTCGAGTTTCCCCATGGGTATCCTTCTGGGTGGGGATATGGCTGCCCCAGTGGGTACCCTTGGGGGAAGAGGGGGTACCTGCCCACATGGGAACCCTTCGAGCCAAAAATATCTGCAAATCTCCAGCTTCTGAGTCCTACCATGGTGTCATACTGGGTTGGTCTTGTAAGTAGATAATCAGTTTCTTCTATCTACCTCTACTTCAAGGTAAGCGACAAGCTCAATAGAAACGTATCGGTAACTGTTAAGCCAAAAGCACACAGGATGGGTTCCGAGCTTGGAGGAGTTAGCTACTCTTGGGCAGCAAAACATCCAACTTAAGAATATTAGTGTGAGATGTCATGTCTCAAAAAAAAAAATTGACAGCCGACATTTAGACACAGACATTAATGCCCAATAAGTATGAATGATCACCGAATTATATTGAATGCAATTAATTTTTGTTTAATAACCTGACTGCAAGTGCTAATTTCAATGTTTTCATCACTACAGTGATAATCGTCTTACTGTCAAGTATTCAGTAATTTAAGGAGCAAATGGACTAGAGTAACTGGATACTTAAGTTGTGAAAAATGGTCCAGGATTAAAGTAAACTGCATACAGTATATACACCATAAAATTGGGTACGTGTCTCGGCATATATATCGCCTGCAATACTGTATTGCTGATAAGACTAAGCCATAAGATAACATATATGTTAATGATTACTGCATATTGCAAACTTTTAATAGAGTTTATAATACTGTATTTGTAGTAATTTATATTTTATACATTCAAGGAATTTATATAGTCATATTTAATAAATTTTATATAGCAGATACAGCTGGATAAACTACTTATCACCATCTATGACAGATGTGTTTTTGGTAGCAAGGATGCAGATGCTTGGCTAAACTAGTTTGCGTTGATGCAAGGATTGTTGTGCAGCATGCATGTTGATGCAGATACAGTTACTTAACAATCCCAGTTATTTTACTTATGCAAGTGGTAGTTTTCTCCTTACTTTTGGAGGTGGAGGAGGAGGAGGCAGTGGTGGTGGTTTGGCTGTGCTCACCTTCTGGAAATAACACACACACAAATTCAGTATATTAAGGGTCAATTCATACTCCAAGAATACCAAAGATCATGATCGCTCCTCCTCAGGTACCATCATAAACACTCTTGAGGTTCCAGTGATGCATGCAGAGCAACAGGGAACTTCACCCCAGGATAACTCCAAAAATTATGGAAGTGATATCGAGAGGAATATTATCTGGTCACTGTGAAGAACTGGGAAAGAGAAAACATTGGAGAGCATGTCCGTGCAAACCTTCATGATGTAACACAGAAGTGCAACGCTATAAACAGTTATTGACTATGCAAAGGGAAACGTGCATGGCATCATTTGGAAGTCAAACCAACTTCTGTAATCAGAAATATTAGTGATGGGAATATAGACACATTCAAGTTTACTCTCAACTTGGTGTTTCACGACACTGTAGGAGAGAGAATGCACTAGCCTAGGTCAACATCAAAGAATCATCAGAGGTAGTGAATGACTGAGTCTTCTGATTAATGTGGAAGACCTACAGGATAGATCTTGTGGGAGAGGAAGAGGGAAAATGTGGGATAGGGAACCATAAGACCGAACCAGAGCACATACCAAGTCGATAGGCGTCTCCCACCAGGGCGTGGCGTACTTTGCCTGTAGAGCACACCAAGTGTGGCTTTACTCACCAATAAAAAATCATAAAATTCTATTATTATGATTTAAGAAAAATCAACTTTCAAAATATTTATCCAAAGCAAAATTATGATGATGATAATATCTGTACTGTACTTAAAAATCAACATTTAGAGAAACGTTTAAGATGTGTGGAAGCAAGCGACATCTCACCTGCTTCACTCTGGACAGTCTCACAGGTGTTGGCTCCGCCCGCTGAGTAATAGCAAAATAAATTACCAGGTAATATAACTACAAAATCAATTACATAATAGGTACTACTCGTATCTAAAAAGAATGTGATTAATGCAGCAGATTTTTAATTAACTTAATCAAAAAATAGTAAAAACCCAAAAGATGTACTGATCTTATACATGCTAAAACTACTTTAAAACATCAAAACATTAAAAAATAAAAGTTTAAAGCAAGGTCATGAAAAGTGAATTTGCAATGTAAAATTTGTTATAGAAAATGTTCAGCTTAGCTACTCATAAGTTTCAATAATGTCTAAAGTTTTAAAGATAGAACAAAAACAAGTGGGACACATGACAATCACAGAGTATAAACTATACAAAATAACAAAATGCTGGCTTTATGAAAAAACTGAAACTCTTAATAAATTATATTCAAACTATATAAAGCAACAGACAATATAAAAAGATTTGAGAAAAAGAGAAAGAGACGGCAAGCAGGCAACACTTGGACGAAGCTCACAGATAATGATGATAAGACATAAATCTGGGAACTTGACATTGACTTTATTTACCAAGGAGTATTCAAACAAGATATAATCTTAAGACACTCATACATTAAATGGTCATCAACATAGAAAGTATGTCTTGAGACAGGGTCACACATCCATACCGTGTCCCATTTCTCCCACCATGCTTCTGTCGACTCCCTCTTGTCCTGAAAATCAACAGTTTGTTACCCCTTCCGTAAAAGTTTGGACACCACAATCATCTACAGCCAATAGGTTTTAATACTAATATCCAGTCATAACCTATGACCCCTAAAAATTGACAACCATTAGTTTATGCTGTTGTTTCTAAAGGCAGGCTGTGATAAGAGAAAAACTAATGTAACTACAGTAATCTACAGATAATCTCTGAGTGCAAGCTTTGCAAAAGTTAAAACTATAAACTATTTTCAACTTCACATTTAATAACATGTCCCATATATATTTGGAATGAATACAGTGCTCAGTAATTCAAAATGGGCACTCTGGTATGCAATTTGTTCATTACCAGGAGGTTACCTTACCATATGATCTATCACATCTTTCTTGAAAATGGGAGAGCCTGGACTCCATGCCTGCAGACACCGAAAAACACATGAATACGAACACAAGACAGATGTTTACTGAATAAGGGTTAACTTAATAGTTTAATTAACAGCTAAAATATTGGAAGCAGGAAATGGCAAATTAAAATAATGCAAATTCTAAAGATTTGCACATTAATTGCAAAATAATAAGATAATGGTTTCATAAACAATAACTGTATAATTAAGCAACACAGCAAAAAACAGGTTTAACAGAAGAGGAAGATTCTTATGATTAGGAGACAATGGGAAAAATACTGGGAGAAGGGGAGTTAACACTGATGATGAATGGATAAGATCAGGAGATAGGTATATGGGATAAGTTTTAAAATAAGGCAGAGATTAGTATTAAAAATGCCTGTGATAAGTGTAGGGATAAATCTGAGACAAGCATGGGGAAAAGTTTGGGATATATGTGTGGAAAAATATGGGATAAATGTTGGCTTGGGATGAGTGCAGGAAGGAATGGAATAGGAAGAGCCTCACCCTAGAGTCCTCCGGCTGTTCCCACCATGGCAAAGGACTCAAGCTGGCCTGTAGGGAGGGAGGAAGCTGTTCGTCATTGTTGCTGCAAAGCTTTGCTTGCAGAAGTCACTCCATAATCAGCCCTTGTTAATGTGTATGATGCAATGTCCATCAATGTAAATTGCTAAAAACAAATGAGAGCATTTGTTTTGAAGTTCTTGGGAACCATAACACAATGAATAATAGACAGCAACTTAGGTGTTCAATGAGCCGATTTCTCAAATCATTTAAGGTATTGGCTGGACTGCAAAATGCAGCAAGACTTACACTAACACACAACAGAATAACTGTTGTCGACATGTTGGCCAACATCACAAGCAGGGTCTTCAGCACAGTAGATCATATTAAATGGTACCGATGAGGATTACAAACCTTGACCCAGAATTATTGGCTTGCTGATTAGATTCAGTGAGTGGTATTAAACAGAGAAGCATATGACTGAATGAGCATTTCAAGCGACCAAAGGGTTCCTCTAGGCTATTTTCCTGGATTCAACCTTTTCATAATCTATATAACATGACCTTGAAACACACTGAACATTAAAAGTCTCTGATTACGGTGATGAGACACAGTTGAGAAAAAAAAAGATGCTTCAATTGAGGAACATCACATTCAAGTGCAGCTTCAAGAAAATTTATGATAGAGACTGGCACGTTTATGAAATGATTCCAAGCATCATTAGGAAGATTTCTGAGCCGCACTTGGAAGATAAGCGTGTCATTGTAGTGACCAGCTCAGAGCTATCCATAGCACTGTGAGAAGAGTGAACTGTTCCAACTATAAAGAATTCATCCTTTGACATTTATGTTTAAGGATGTGTGTGTGTGTATTCACCTAGTTGTGCTTGCGGGGGTTGAGCTCTACTCTTTCGGCCCGCCTCTCAACTGTCAATCAACTGTTACTACTATTTTTTTTTCCTCCACATCACACACCCCCCAGAAAGCAGCCCGTGACAGCTGACTAACTCCCAGGTACCTATTTACTGCTAGGTAACAGGGGCATTAGAGTGAAAGAAACTCTGCCCATCGTTTCTCACCGGCGCCCGGAATTGAACCCAGGACCACAGGATATCACGCGTCCAGCGTGCTGTCCGTTCAGCCACCGTCCCTAAGTGAGTGAGTGAGTGTGTGTGGGTGTTGATTGTTTTTGTTGACTGTTGCTTGGTGATCAGCATGGTACAACATCAGAACATAAAACAACAAAAATATTGATTATATAACTTAAAATAAATGAAAAACAGGATGACAGATTAATGAAAGGAAATTAGTGCATGAAATTATAGTGAAAAATTTAAGCTTTATTATAAAGCCATTAATTGTGTAAAGCAAAAATTTAAATCTCATAGAAGCTTGAATGAAATTATGCATAATAAAAAGGCAGAAGCAGAAAAATAAATATTAAGAAATAATCCTAATAACTGGAAATAAATCTATATAACTTTACAAGGTAAGAGAAGTACAAAGGATCACACCAAGAGAAGTACACAAGCTCATGTCAAGAGAAGTACAAAGGATCACGCCAAGAGAAGTACACAGGATCATGTCAAGAGAAGTACAAAGGATCACGCCAAGAGAAGCACACAGGCTCATGTCAAGAGAAGTATAAAGGATCACACCAAGAGAAGTACACAGGATCACGCCAAGAAAAGTACACCGGGCCATGAGAAAAATATGCACAATCTTGACAAGAAGTAAAATTTTGGTAATGCAAACAAGAAGGTAACTGAGGAAAGGGGACAAGAGTAGTCTTGGAGGAGTGATGAATTAGTCACATAAGTAACAAGACCCGTGGTCACACCATGGGAACAGACGAGCAGTAGGAAGTGCACTCAAGGATCAAGTTATCCCGCACGTGAGATCTGACAAATCGCAAAAATCATATGTGAAGGCAAGAGGTTGGGCATGCATGAAGCAAGGACCTCACCCTTGTTTCCTGAGGCTTGTCCCACCAAGGCTGGCAGACGGGAGGACTCTTGCACACCTGCGCTGGTGGAAAAAGCTTGTATATATTGATGACCATATATTATTATTTGGTTCCCTGTTGCCGGGAACTGGAAGCCAGTTAGGATTTCATATTCAGGGGACAGGAAGCCTGGTAAGATTCTGTTGTATGGGACAGGAAGCCTGTAAGGCTTCTAGATGTTTTCCTAGCCAATGACTAGGACACAACCCCACCCCAAACAGTTTACTAACTCATGAGTACCTATTTACTACTAGGTGCACAAAGGCATCGGGGTGTAAAGACACGGCCAAACATCTCTCTCTCTACCCGGCTACCCGGGAATCAAACCCATGAACAATCGGTAGTTTCGTTACTATATTGTTAAAGTAGTGTCAGTACAGTACTAATGTTTAATGATCTTTTGTAGTTTTATGCAGTACATTGCAATGAAAAAATAATGCTTGATGTTTAGGTAGATTGTGTGTGTGTGTGTGTGTGTGTGTGTGTGTGTTGTGTGTGTGTGTGTGTGTGTGTGTGTAATTACCTAAGTGTAATTACCTAAGTGTAGTTACAGGATGAGAGCTACGCTCGTGGTGTCCCGTCTTCCCAGCACTCTTTGTCATATAACGCTTTGAAACTACTGACGGTCTTGGCCTCCACCACCTTCTCACTTAACTTGTTCCAACCGTCTACCACTCTATTTGCGAAGGTGAATTTTCTTATATTTCTTCGGCATCTGTGTTTAGCTAGTTTAAATCTATGACCTCTTGTTCTTGAAGTTCCAGGTCTCAGGAAGTCTTCCCTGTCGATTTTATCAATTCCTGTTACTATTTTGTACGTAGTGATCATATCACCTCTTTTTCTTCTGTCTTCTAGTTTTGGCATATTTAATGCTTCTAACCTCTCCTCGTAGCTCTTGCCCTTCAGTTCTGGGAGCCACTTAGTAGCATGTCTTTGCACCTTTTCCAGTTTGTTGATGTGCTTCTTAAGATATGGGCACCACACAACAGCTGCATATTCTAGCTTTGGCCTAACAAAAGTCATGAACAATTTCTTTAGTATATCGCCATCCATGTATTTAAATGCAATTCTGAAGTTAGAAAGCATTGCATAGGCTCCTTGCACAATATTCTTTATGTGGTCCTCAGGTGATAGTTTTCTATCTAGAACCACTCCTAGATCTCTTTCTTTATCAGAATTCTTTAAAGATTTCTCACATAATATATAGGTTGTGTGGGGTCTATGTTCTCCTATTCCACATTCCATAACATGACATTTATTAACATTAAATTCCATTTGCCAAGTGGTGCTCCATATACTTATTTTGTCCAGGTCTTCTTGAAGGGCATGACAATCATCTAAATTTCTTATCCTTCCTATTATCTTAGCATCATCAGCAAACATGTTCATATAATTCTGTATACCAACTGGTAGATCATTTATGTACACAATAAACATCACTGGTGCAAGAACTGAACCCTGTGGTACTCCACTTGTGACATTTCTCCATTCCGATACATTGCCTCTGATTACTGCCCTCATTTTTCTATCAGTCAGAAAATTTTTCATCCATGATAGAAGCTTACCTGTCACCCCTCCAATATTTTCCAGTTTCCAGAACAACCTCTTATGTGGAACTCTGTCGAAAGCCTTTTTTAGGTCCAGATAGATGCAGTCAACCCAGCCATCTCTTTCCTGTAATATCTCTGTGGCCCGATCATAGAAACTGAGTAAATTCGATACACAGGATCTTCCTGATCGAAAACCATACTGTCTGTCTGATATTATATCATTTCTCTCCAGGTGTTCTACCCATTTAGTTTTGATTAGCTTTTCCAATACTTTCACTATTACACTTGTCAATGATACAGGTCTATAATTGAGGGGGTCTTCCCTGCTGCCACTTTTGTAGATTGGAACTATGTTAGCCTGTTTCCACACGTCTGCTACGATTCCTGTACACAGGGATGCCTGAAAGATCAGGTGAAGTGGAATGCTGAGCTCAGATGCACATTCTCTCAGAACCCATGGTGAAACGCCATCTGGGCCAGCTGCTTTGTTCCTCCCGAGCTCCTTTAGCATATTTTCCACTTCATCTCTAGACACCTCTATCCGCTCTATGTTGTTCTCTGGAATTATTGTGTCTGGTTCTCTGAAGATTTCATTTTGTACAAACACACTTTGGAACTTTTCATTTAATGTTTCACACATTTCCTTTTCATTTTCCGTGAATCTGTTTCCCATTTTCAACCTCTGGATATTATCCTTTACCTGCAATTTGTTGTTTATGAATTTGTAGAATAGGCCCGGTTCTGTTTTACATTTATCTGCTATCCCTTTTTCAAAATTTCTTTCTGCCTCTCTCCTTACTGCTGTATAATTGTTTCTCGCATCTTTGTATCGCTGGTATGTTTGGGGGTTTGGCCTCTTCCTATACTGATTCCATTTTTGTGTCTTTTGGTCTCTTGCCCTCTCACAATTTCTGTCGAACCAATCCTGTTTTCTGGTCCTGCATCTCTGTTTTGGTATGAATGTTTGTGTGCCTTCCTCGTATAGTTTTAAAAATTTGGCATACATTTCATTTACTTCCCTGCCTAGCAACAATTCTGTCCAATTACACTCATTAAAAAAATTTCGAAGTTCCCCATAGTTGCCTCTCTTTAAATCGAGTTTATCAACTGTTTCAATGTCCCCATTTTCTTCTAGATGATATCTTAAAGCATATTTAATGTCTAACAGGACGTGATCACTCTTTCCCAAGGGAGGAAGGTACTGGATGTCAAAAATCTCTTCTTCTTTCCTGGTGTGTGTGTGTGTGTGTGTGTGTGTGTGTGTGTGTGTGTGTGTCTGCATGTACAGTACAGTATACATTTATTTAACAAAAGCATATAGATTGAAGTCCAGTATACTGTTAGAATTATTATTATTATTTTTTTAAAGCAACTAAACTGAATGCCTGATGACTTCATTACTTAGCGTTAGATTTTAGGCCTATCAATCTTTGTAGGGTTATTAAGGCATATCAACCTCTGGAGGGTTATTAAGGCATATCAGCCTCTGGAGGGCTCATAAGGTCATCACAAGGGATTACTCATCCTCCAACAAGCATACTTTAGTCCCAAACATAGTTCAGGACTAAACTCGGTTACAGTGAATGTGTACCCTATGCTGAATGATCCTGCACCTGAGAGCTGAGGGACACATCTACATGTAGCGAACATGAAGTAATGTTTGACAAGTATGACGTGTCACTGGACTATGTCTACAGAGATACATGTGTGTAGCTCCGTTATGTACAACTAGTAATAACATGCGTTACCAGCATAAGATAATATAAAAAAAAAATAAAATTGTTCCACCTGGCTGGTGTGGGTTGACTGGAAATGTTATTAAACTGACCAGTTTAGCAAGTACAAGATGGCAGGAATATATATATGCCAGAAGAGATACCACTCGGTGTATATACACTCAGTTTACTTTTGTCTTGGACTAATACGTTCAAAGCTAAAGTATAATTGGTGGCTGGTCAGTAAGCCTTTGTAGTGTCCATAATAACCCTCCCGTGGTTGATAGGCCAAAAGCCCAACACGAAACCAAGTCTAAAACAGCATGTTGATAGTTCATGTGCAAGCATCACACTAGAAAAAGTAAAAACTTAAAACATTGTGGAAACTTAGCTACAGTACAATGAAGCTAAAACGGCAATTACATCAGCATAAGCAAATTAATATTATTCCTTTCAGCCTCTCTATTACATAAAAACAATAATTGAACAAATAAAGGTGAATCTATTAATAATATTAGTATGGGTGAAATAATTTAATAATTGAAAGAGTATAGTAGATCCAGGGAAAGTATTGTTATACAGAGGCTAATAAAACTATTGCTATACAAAGGCAATTTGAGCAAAGTTTTGGTACATGAAGGCTACTAGGGATAAAAATAGCACATCTAATGGGAGAAAATGACTAGAAATATTAGAAGATATGAATGGTAGCAGTGAGCGGCACGTTGATGAACAGGTGATAACAATTTCTTGCCGAGATTTATACGAGAGAAAAGACTGATTGTATACAAGTGGAAGAAGTGGTGAGCAGTGCTTAAGAGCCTCAAGACCTGAGAGCCTCAAGACCCAGGTCAGGATTCGGAAAACTTACATGTCAACATACAAGGTCTGCACCGCTTACATCGACCATGGCGGCTTAGTCGGTATTCACTACGCACATTACGAACTCTAAAAGTGCTATGAAGTCGTCCATAATAATATTAGATTGAAGATGACCTCGTAGCACTTAGAAGAGCTCAGTGTTTAGTATATACAAACTGAGAAACCATGATTGGGGTAAAAGGTTCGGATCTGTTAAGTGGACACATGAGAAGTCCAGATCTCGTAAGTACTGAATCCTGGCCCAGTACAGTATAGTAAGAGGTAATTTTGGCTTGAGAGTATACTATAAGGTTGAGAAAATCTGATAAATAAAACTTTCATGGACACGGATAATCTCACCCTGGTGTCTTCGGTAGGCTCGGGGTTCTCCCACCACGGCAGCGGGCTGCTTGAACCCTGCACGGAGGAGAGAAGATGCTCATACAAAGATTTAAATGCCAATAACTGTCAAGGATAGCTGTAACCATTGTACTAGATGGTGTTTTCTGTATGTTTAGCCATCTTATGTTTGGAGTTTTCCCGTGTGATTTGGTAGTGGCTCTTTGGCATGCACTGATATTGCTATTAGGAATATGGGCACCTGTACGGTCTAAAGGTATTCCAACCCAGTTTGATTTCTGATTTTATATAAACTTCACTTCTTTTGGCAAGACCTCCTCGACCAAATGTACATACAGTAATTATTTCCCTCTTGCAGTTTTGGATTTTCTCTCTTACAGGTTGGGAATATGAATACATATTAATCTTTGTTAAGTTCATCCTACCCCCATTACTTGATTGTTATTTCTTGTTGACAAGTTTGTAGTTTTGACAGAGTGGGACTTGAATATATCGACTCAAATATGAAGATGGTTTAAGCATTTTTCAAACTGTTCTCAAACTTTATGCACCACAATTTTGACATTGCCAATCACAGCATCCATATTTTCACTGTTTAAAGCCTTGTAATATTAACTCTTCCTAGGATTCATATTGGCCTCAATAGGTTACATTAGGTTGTCTTTGTTCGAACACTTCTTAGGCCAAAAAAAAACAAGCTTCACATTTGACCCTTGTCAGATTGTGAGAATGAGCTGTATATTTGTCCCTGTTGCTTTCCAACTGAGCAACAGGAAGATGTCTTCAGACACTGTTATAATCATAATCTTGCTATGTTAATCGCATAATCTTGCTATGTTAAGAGTTACAGTGCTACCAGTAAAATTAGCATCGTTTCACATGTCCCAACATTACGTAACATTGATATGGTTTCCCATTATTGAGGTCCACCACAGGCAAATGACTGACCTTCCTCAGAATGCAGCCCCACAACAGGTGCCTAACTCCTGGGTATCTATTTACTGCAGGTGAACTAAGGCATCAGGAGACCTTGCCCAGGATGCAACCCTCATCAGGTGCCTAACTCCCAGATACATATTTACTGGTTTAAGGAAACTATCCCAAAGTTTCGACCTGCCTGAGAATCAAACTCGAATCCATTCAGTTGTAAGCCGACTGCACTACCCACTGTGCTACAGGTTTTTGCCACTCACTATTTAACTTGCAGTGTGTTGTGTGAATTAGGGTTACAGCAGTGTTGTGAGTGTGTGAGTTAGGGGTTACAGCAGTGTTGTGAATGTGAGAGTTAGGGGTTACAGCAGTGTTGTGAGTGTGTGAGTTAGGGGTTACAGCAGTGTTGTGAATGTGAGAGTTAGGGTTACAGTAGAGCATGTTACCAAAATGATGGCTGTGAAAAGCTTAAAATAAGAAAAAAATAAAAATAAGTTGAAAATATATAAGTAAGCAAATCAAAGCAAAATATTAATACTGAAAATGTAAGTTACATTAAGCTATCTACATTAAGCAAAAATAATAAAAATATAAATTCAAATTATATAAGCAGAAGTGAATAATATTTAATAGCTTTGAACTTGAGTAATGTATATAACTATGAGAAAACAGGGTTAAAGAATATAAATATGAGGGAGAGCAGGGGTAGAGATCAAATTAAACAAAATTACTAATGGATAAAAGTATAGCAGAGATAAAGCAAGAAACAGTGATTAGAAACTATGGGGAGAAAATACTAAATGAAGAACATGATCAGAGCCATTTTCTAGAGAACCTGGGTCTGTGGGCCGCTCCAAGCAACAGCCTGTTGGACCAAACTCACTAATCAAGTCTGGCCCCTAACCAGGCTTGGGGAGTAAAAGAAATCCCAGAACCCCATCCAGGTACCTGGTCTAGAGACCCAGTATCAACACAGTGGTGATAGAGGCTTTAGGCCAGAGACCAAGTGATAAGAGCATAGGCTTACAGGAGAGAAAACATGGCTAAGGCTATAAAGCCAAGGGCAAGGGAAGAAGCACCTTTGTCTGCGGGTCCTCGCTGACTGGCTGTTCCCACCACTTGATACCCGAGTCATTCTGGAAAGTCAGGTTCAAAATAAATCAGAACACCATAAATACACATGCCTGAAAATTAATATTTTTCTTCCATTAATAGTAACTATTTAAGGCACTTGGATAAGTAAGCATAATAGGTATTTCATCAGTACACTGTGTACACAGCAGTGTGATATTGAAAGTATCTTCACGTTACGAGAGACAGGAAGTGACAGCATGTCAGTGCACTCTGGGTAAGACGCAGAAAGAAGAAGCACCTTGTTCTGTGAACTTTCAGCCGGTTGTTCCCACCACATAACCTCGGTCTCTTTCTGCAAATGATGCAAATTCTGTAAATTTTACAAATTCATTGTAATACTTTAAATCATGGGTACATGATCATTAACATTCAAGCAGGGGTACAACTTGACCCCTTAATGTGCTTTGTTATTAACATATCTGCTTTTTTTTAATGGTGTACTAATTCCAAGTTCTTACACGTGAATGGTTGCGAATATTGTGTTACTCAGGGGTGGAGGGAGGAGTTAACTCGGCAGACATCTCAAGGTTGGATATTCAATGCTTGTCAAGCCAAACAGATAATGCTGAGACTTTTACATGTTTTGTGGAAACATGTCGAGGGAAGATGAAAGATTGATGTTAGGAAACGTACATACGTGTAGTGTGTGTGTGTGTGTGTGTGTGTGTGAGTATAATTACCTAAATGTAATTATCTAAGTGTAGGTACAGGATGAGAGCTATGCTCCTGGTGTCCCGTCTTCCCAGTACTCTTTGTCGTATAACACTTTGAAACTACTGATGGTTTTGGCCTCCACCACCACCTCACTTAGCTTGTTCCAACCATCTACCACTCTGCAAAAGAAAACATTCTAATGTTTTTTTGGCACCTTTGTTTTCTTAGCTTGAATCTGTGTCCTCTTCTTCATGAAGTTACTGGTTTAAGGAATTCCTCCTTGTCAATTTGATTGATTTCATGTGTGTGTGTAATTACCTAAGTGTAGTTACAGGACGAGAGCTACGCTCGTGGTGTCCCGTCTTCCCAGCACTCTTTGTCATATAACGCTTTGAAACTATTGACGGTCTTTGCCTCCACCACCTTCTCACTTAACTTGTTCCAACCGTGTGTGCATGTGTGTGTAAGGGGGGGGGGAGGGGACTGGGAGGGAGGGTTGATGCAATTGTGCGTGTGTGGCAGGATGAGTGGGGTGAGGGGGTGGGATGAGTGGGGTAAGGGGGTGGCAGGCACCTGGGTGGTGGTAGTGGCGGAATCCTCCTCAGGCCGCTCCCACCAATATAGTGATTTCTCGCTCTGCAACAACGCAACAAGACTTTTAGTACAAGTAGCAGCAACAGCAGCAGCTGACGACAGAGTAAATACAATTAACAAGGAAGCACAACCAGCAAACATTAACAAATTAAGCAAAAAAACCAGCATTGAATGTAATGAAACTCCATATTCTGGGTGAGACCACAGAGGTTCCCTGGAGCTATACCGGGCTGATGTGTATATATTAGATTATGGCAACAGTCAATCAATGAAGTTCTTAGCCTACCAGTGACCAGGAGTCAGAACCTGGCCCCATCAGAGAGACACGAGGAACAGTGGCCTATAACAACACCCCCTATGTAGTTGGAAGCAGTCTGTGTCTGCCATCTTCCTGGTCAGGCAACCAGAAAGGTTGGAATCCCAAAACAAGCTACAAATGGATAAAAATTGCAAACTGAAAGCCGAACGAGCAGGCAGAACTTCCCAATCAGAAAACAAGCAAACAAGCATTACGTCACCACAGTCGCAGTGCCGCTGTCTGCGCAGATCCCGCTTTCCCGGGAGGGGGAAGGGGAAGCCCTAGACCTCCTGCTCCGGCTACTCAACCCCAGTTCAGAGGTCGAATATCAAAAACGCGAAAAAAAACACCGCCCGAAAGGAGGGAGGGATGCAGAGGAGCATCTGGGTCTCACCCAGAAAATGGCATTTCATTACATTCAACGCTGGTTTTTTGTGAAGAGCCCCTTCGGCTTCCCAGAGCTACCTAACCAAAGATAAAGTAAAAGAGGGACTTACCTGGGTGGCGGCGACCACTCGCTGCTAAACTTTAAATCAAGACAACTTGCTACAACCCAAGGCTACACAAGCCCGAGAAGGGCCAGGAACATTAACAAGGTACCATGTGGCCCGGACCTTGTTCAGCCTCCAAAAACACCGTGCCCGAACGTCAGCCCAGGACATACTAGTATTATCAGAAACAGCAGACAAAGCCGTGAACTTATGAATGTCGTGGGCACGGGAATAGACTGCAGGCTGGCTGGACCGAATAATCCTGAAGACGACCTGGGAGACCCACGCCCTGGAACAGGGAAAGAAGGGAAATCGTGTCAACCCAAAGTGCGTCATCTGCAACGGAGGCCGTGGTGAGCAAGTAATGGCAAAGAGCCACAACCAGACACAAAACATGATGCAATCCCCAGCCAAACCAATCAAGCATCAACAACCCAAGGACCCCTCCAGAAAGCATTCGTCTCATTCTTCATCAGAAAAGATGGAGACTGCATCAAACGAATAAAACAACCACCAGGACCGATAGAGCAGAAACCACTGCGCCGGAGGAAAGCATGAAGCTTCCCAACCTGACCCCTAGAGGCCAATGCCAAAAAGAAAAAGTGCCTTAGAAAAACAGTCATGAACCGAAAGGGCCATCACAAACCAAGGAGAAGAGCACCCGGTCCAATGACCAGGACGGCTCGGGCGACGCATGAGCATGCCAGAGGTGAAACAACGCCTGAGAATGCTTGTGGAATGGAGCAGAAGTTACATCCACCCCGAACACAAGCTGAAGTGCCTCCACCAGCGCCGCATGATGAGGCAACAGTATTTGGTATACAATGACAGTCCTGAAATAACCAAGAGAGAAAGGACAAAACAACCCAATCAGAAATCAAAGAATCTACCAAGAGTCAAGAAGTGCCGAAAGGACCGCTAGGAAACTTCATACTGCTGCCGAGACGAAACTTGCAGGTAGGACACCATCAACGAAGCCACCTAATCACCATACAAGTGGTGCTAAACCCGCGTCAAAAAGACCAGATGCATATATCGGAGGAGAAGATCGAACCAGCCACGTATCGGACCGGACCGATCTGCTGAAAGAGGCGGAGCCACAGGAAGACCTTTGGGTTTGGATACCGAGCAAGTAGTGCCTGAAATTAAGGCTGGGCCGACCACCAAGGGGCCAACAGGACTACTCACTCCTGGTAAGTCTTCAAGCGAGCTGGGACCTGGAGCAACAACCGAACCCAAGGGGAAGAGGTACAGGTAACCCCACCTCAACTGGCCCAGCCAAAAGGCATCAACCTCAACGGCCTCGCAGTCGGGGAAGGGCGCCGCATATACCGGAAGATGCCTCGACCAAGCCGATGCAAAGAGGTCCACCTCTGGGCGCATAAACGTCCAGCAGAGCCAATGGAACTAGTCGGCAGCGACCATCCATTCTGTGGACATGGGAATGAACTGGGACAGGCCGTCCACCAGGACATTGGACACCCCCCAGGATATGAACCGCCAGGATAGCCAAACCCCGAGAACTCAGCAGACGAGTCACCCGAAGCTACCAACCCCAATGAGCCAAGGACAGCATCGAGCCCCCCCCCCCCCCTCAGTTCAGGCAATGAATTACCGGGGAGCAGTCCGAATGGAGTAGAATAGTCGCTCCGTGAGCAACATGAACCCTCCGAAGCAAAAACCACACCGCTGCAAACTTCCCACCATGCTGTGAGCCCGATGGAAGGACGGATCCCACCAACCCTGGCCGGCCTGGTGAGCATTGGTCACAAAGCCCCAGCCGAGAGACGACGCATCCATGAACACGTCGAGCGAGGGCTCGGGTAGGCGCCATGGCACTGAACCCCGAAAAGCCCGAAGAGGAAGTCGGCGACGCAGCAGCCGACGCAAGGTCCCCGGGATCCGAATCTAGCGATTGCAAGAGCGGCGGAAAGGACATCCCTGAAGGAACCAAAACAGTCGCTGAAGCCAGATCCAACCCAATGGGTAAACCAGCACGGTGAAGTTCAGACTCCCGCACAACTGTTCAAACAACCAACGAGTGACCCTGGTGCCCTCCAAGAACAGCCGAAGGCCCGACTGCAACTGCAGCAATGTCGCTGGATGGAGAGACTAGGAAGAGGTCTGAGAGTCTGGGGGCTCCCCCTTCTCCCTCCCAAGGAGTGGGGAGCTGCACAGACAGCGGCGCAGTGGCTGTGGTGACATCATGCTTGTTTTGTTGTTTTCTGATTGGGGTGTTCTGCCTGCTCGTTCGGCTTTCGGTTTGCAATTTTTATCCAGCTGTAGTTTGTTTTGGGATTCCTATCTTTCTGGCTGCCTGACCTAGTAGATGGCATACAGACTGCTTCCAACTACATAGGGTGTCTATAGGTCATTGCTCTGCATGCCTCTCTAAGGGGGGCCAAATTCTGACTCATGGTCCCTGGTAGGCCAAGAACTCCATCGATTGACTGTTGCCACTGTTTAACATATATACTTCAATCCGGTATAGCTCTGGGGAGCTGAAGGGGCTCTCCACAGAAAATTATAATTAAAATAAAAACATAACCAAAGAAGCAAGAACAAATGATGCATAAAATCAGCAAAGTTATACACTACACCTAAATGACTATTTAAATAACAAAAAACAAGAATGTGGTAATAACAGTTTCTTACTAAAACATTTTAAATTATATGCATCAGTTATAAATATTAATAATTTAATCTTAAGAGGATAAGCAATTAAACATAGATTAAAACTATTGATTTATAACAATATCAAGTTAGCAGTTTAAGATTAATTTTGTTAGCACTTTTGTTAGAACAATAAGTTAGGTGTAAATGTTTGCAAGTATTGTGGGTGTTGCAAAGTCTTGGGCGAACCCAAAAATGTTGGGGAGAGTTTTGAGTCGAATATAGGCAAGATATCGCCAACTGGGTTCGATTAGGAGAGTTAAAAGTTACAGAACAATATTGTAGGTTGTTCAGCTATTAAATGAATTGGGTGGTTGGGAATGGGCAAGGCATGGAAGCTGGGAAAGATGATAGCGAGTAAGACAGCTTAGAGGTGGGCATGGATGCTAGAACGCACATAGAGCACTGAAAGGGTTGGGACTGATGCTCGGGTGGGTAGGGTGAGGCCTGAGGCCCCGCAGATACCGGTAATGCTGTGATCTGGTCGGCCTTCTCCGCCTCATCATCCTCCTCGTTTCCATCGTCTTCCTCATTCTCATCAGCGTTATCTTCAATTTCTGATTCATAAACCTGCAAGTTACAAGTGCATTTGCGGCTTCCAGATGATGATGTGCCTTAAAGTGATTTATATCAACACCATGTATACAGTTAACAAAATGTATTCCAAGGCACTATTGCTTCTCATGCGAGTGTAAAACATGCCTGAAATACGTTCCAAAACTTTTGCAACAAGGATTCAACAGGGATTTTGAATCACAAAAACTCTTGTGACCATGCTGGAGAAAGAAGCTCAAGCATGCTGTGAGCTGGCCAATTGATGGTTTCAATGTCCAACACATTGCATCTTGCATCTCTGACATACAGGAGAAACATGCAAGGTGCATTCTTGAGCCAACACTCAAACAGATGTATGTTGTATATATGGTGTATGCGAGGATGTGTCTTTCAAATGATGCTAACTCTTGTCACTCAGGTTTTTCAAAATTCTAGTTTTTATAAGATATCAGAGGATATTTACAGAGCTACAGAAAAGGATGGGTGGAACTTGCAGGTGGAACTGAGCCATCAGTAGTTCTGAATGACAAAAAAAGACACCATGCGCAGGTAGCAATAGATGCAGCAGATATACATCTCAGCATAGAGCCTCGTAAGGGATTTTCTACCATGATAAATATGTCTGAGGGGCCTCATCATGCTGGAATCAAGACAAGAGAGCAGCAACTTGCCACAATGATCTTACCACAGGGATATAGCGGTCAAATTCGTCTTTCAGTTTCTCTTCTTCGAGGATCTTGGACTCAAAGTTTGCATAACTGCTGTGTTTGGTTACCTGAATCTCTGGATCGCAAGAGAGAATATCTTGTGTACAAGTCTTCTGAAGACAAAAGTCAGTGCCATCTACATCCATCATGCTCAGAGGCTCTGGAACTATATCCTTCAGGAGCTGTGATGTCTTCTGTTGTTCAGTACATGGGTTTAACTGCAAGTCCTCTGGCAGGTGGTCGAGGGAACTCGAACTTTGCTCATTATTTTGAGACTTTAAGCTATTTACAATGTCATCCACATGCTCAGCAAAGTTTATGATTGAATTTTCAATCTCTATAGATTGAGCTTCATCTTTCGGAAATCCAGCATCCATCATTTCTTGTATGAATTGCGTCTTTGGGTGGGAAGTGTCTTGCTGCTCCTCTGGAGATTTTTCAGTAGATTCAGGAGAGATATTAATCTTTATCTCTTGTGATTGAGAGCCATCTGCTGATGACGTTACCTGCTCATCAACAGACTTTTCCTTAAAGGGAGGAAATGCAGTGCTGAGCAGTTCCTGGAGTTTGGACTTTGGAGGAGTTGCAGTGGCCGGGGTCTTTTTGGCCATGTCATGCTTGACCGGGTTTTGGCTGTCCTGGTTGAGATTAGTCGGGTCGGGCCTGAGCAGGTCAGGGCTGAAGGGGTCATGCCTTTCCGGATCAAGTCCAATCTGGTCGGGACTGACAGTGTCATGACAAGGCAGGTCTGAGCTTGGGGAGCTCTGGAGTTCTGTTGTCTGATGCTGCAAGAAATTTTCATTATTATTGGGAGTTTGTATACACCTACGTATGTGTGTGTGTGTCAAAGTAAGTTCATGTACATGTGTGTATATTAATGTGTGTGTGTGTGTTTATTTGTTACTCTTAATATAATTGAGATGTGATTGATAATATAAAGTGTTATATTTGTTAATGTACCTACTCTTGCTTTTGTGCTTTAGTGCAGGGTTATACAGGCAAGCTATAATTGGAATAAATATAATAATAATTATAAAGTAAAATAATTAAGACAGAAGCAAATACAAAACTAAAATCACTAGTTATGCCAAACATTGATTTAAGAAACACAGCTGAACAAGAACATATATCTGTTGAAACACCGTTAAACAAGGATACCATCTGCTGTGAAAGCATAAACAAATAGAACATCTACTGCTGCAGAAATATTGCATAGTTGTTGCTCTCACAATTATTTGGAGAACAAAATCATAACACGATTGTGGTAAACTTGGCAACGGGGTAAATTTGACGACAGGATAAACTTGCCAATGGATATGCTTGACAATAGAGTAAACTACCTGTCAGTAATTATGTCATGGGAGAAGATTTGTCATACTGCCATCAGTGACAGTCAGTGTTACCAAACATTTTGATTTTTTAGGTAATTGTGAAGCAAATTGGTTATTTAATGTACTACATTAATGTATGCAGGCGATGAGTCACAATAACGTGGCTAAAGTATGTTGACCAGACCACACACTAGAAGGTGAAGGGACGATGACGTTTCAGTCCGTCCTGGACCATTCTCAAGTCGATTGTACAATCACAATCACGATCGACTTGAGAATGGTCCAGGACGGACCAAAACGTCGTCGTCCCTTCACCTTCTAGTGTGTGGTCTGGTCAACATTAATGTATTATATACATTAATTTAAATAAAATATAATTTATTTTAATGTAAATTTATTTTTAAAGAAGTTACTGTATATTTCAGAAGATTGACATTTATTAGAGTATTGTTCATCTCGTGCACATTTAGTCATGTTGGTTGTGTTAGCTGGGTGCGTTAGCTAGTCGTGTTAGCTTGTCATAGTAGGTGGTTGTGCTGGTTGTTTGTGGTTGTGCTAACTGGTCATGCCAGTTGTGTCAGCTGGTCATGTTAATCTTTATCACTTGCTACCATCTCGATAAGTCTTATTAACTCTTTCCTGATAATCTTAACTACACTGTTATTGGATTTTGGAATTAATTCCTGTGACAGGTTTACCTCAAGCAGTTCCTCCAACAAGAATGGCCTTGTTACAACAATCAAGCCTTCACTCCAAAATATTACTAACCTAATATGAGAAGAATGTAAGAGCCATTTGGGAGATGTGAGTTTCAAATTAATTGCTTCGTTAAAATAAGAGACCCAAATGGTGTTAACGTAAATACTCTGTGAAACTTAAGAAAACAAATTGAATAGAGAGGATATAATTGAAAGATGCTGGCACCATGTACACCAGGCTTAAAAGGCTCATGGCATCTTGGAAGGCCTCCAGCAGTTTCTGAAAGAAATCTGAAGCAGTAAACTTGACTAGAGGTCTAACTGAGATTCAGAGATCAGCGGTAAATTGAGAGCAAGATAGAAGGATAAATCCCAACTTAAATACAATTTTTTTGCTTACATGTGTAAATGAGTGTGACACTTACTCTCAACTCCTACAAACCTCTTGCTTCCAATCTTTCAGGCTTTTTTGTTTTGTCCTTTCAATATTTGTTTCTTTTTCCTGAAATCACTCACACTCTCTCCATTTGTGGGTGGCTTCTCGGTGTTTCTCGTCTCTGGGGGTGACGAGAAGCTTCCCCAGCGGCTTCTACACGACCATAACAGTACCTCCCCACCACAATACTATCTCCTCCGCCACAACAGTTCCGCCCCACCACAGCCCCATGAGACAATACTCACCGGAGTGCTGGTTTGGGTAGTTGGTTTTGCTTTGATCACAGGTGGTGGTGGCTCCTCCTCCTGCAGTGAGTAAAGTAAAATGAAACATCACAGTCTTATCCCTTCTCCCACAAAACTTTATGCAGTAATTACCTTCCAACTACAGTATCTACATCTAGAGGGTCACGCCACTAGTTTACAGGCCAACCAGCATCATTACTTTTAAGTCTGAACATGGTTCAGTGTGTACATGTTCCTCTCAACTAGTCCACTGGTGTTTTGTTACTAAAAATAATTACTGGTCCATTAACAATTTTTTTAATTATTTATGGAATGCTGTATGCTGAAAAGAATTGCAAATACAATGACAAGAATATTCATGGACAAGTATTATTAAATATCTTTTATAATTCAAGAGGAATACAATGTATAATACAATTATTCAGAACAACTGCCATGACTAAAGTTTTCCTCCATGATAATTGAGCGTGTGGCCACTGAAAAAGCTAGGCAGAGAGAACTCTAATAGCCTGTGCTAGGATTCAAAGCATTTTTGTGTCCACTTACAAAACCTGTACATCTTTTCCCTTAATAATGCAGCTTAGTCTGTATTAAACAGTTTACAAGCTTAGAAACTTTGCAATACAATTTCATTATTGTTAGAGATAACCGTACGACACTTTAGAGTTCGTAAATGTAAGCCAAGCCACCATGACTGAAGAGAGATGTACAGATTTTGTGAGAGAACACACACACACACACACACACACACACACACACACACACACACACACACACAATATGCTTGATAAAGCCTGGCCCAGGGTCTTAATGGGTAAGATGGAGCACTGATCTGTACAGCCTCTGGTCGAGAGGTAAGTGTACAGAGCCCTTCTCACCTGGTCCACAGCATCCATGGTGAACATCTCAGAGGACTCACCCTGAGGCACCTGTGGGGATGAAGATAGACTAGAACACACCAGTAAGAAGCAGAGTAATTAAGCACATGTGGCCAGCTGGTTAGGGCTTAAGAGACTGGGGGATCTGCCAGAGATTATCACTTGATTTATCGTATAAATCTTAAATCGTCAGTATAATAATTTATAAGGTCCCAGAAGTAAGATACTGTACATGGTACTAATAGTAGAGTATCTTAGTTCTAGTAATAAGGTACATGGTCCCAGTACAGTAGTAAGATACCTAGTACCAGTAGCAAAGTATCTGGTCCCAGTATTGTATTAAGGTATCTGATACTATGAGGTAGACACCTAGCACTAGCAATGAGAATAAGTTATGAACATTTACTTCAAAGCCATAAAATAAACCAATAATGTACCATGAACTCACAAAAATTGAATAAATTACATAAATGAATATTGAGCATGATAGTGTGTGTGCGTGCACGCACGTCCAAGGATTCTAGACTCATGGGTTAGATCCCATTGTATAGCTTCCAGATCTATCCATAAATAAATTGATCACTTTAATTTAGGCTGTGAACAGTCGCAGATCCACCACTCCTCCTGCCCTGTTTCCTACATTGCCTTCAAGATATAAGTGTATTATGATCTGGTGATTTGCTGTGCCTCACTCTGGCTCATTAGTTAATTAGCATGTAAATAAGTTAATGAATACATATTAAATATAACAAATAAAAAAAAAGCTTTTGTGGCCAGTTAATTAGCAAACCTTCAAGCAAAGCTAGTAAATTGTGAAATAAATGAATATATGGCATAGAAAGCTTAGAAGTGAAGAAAAAATACTCGAGACACCTGTTGCACGATGCAAGATCTCGCAAGAGCAAAATAGCTTCCATGGTGTTTGGGCAAGGTTTGGAAATTGGCGTTCAGCATACTCCCCCCAGGTTTCTGATATTAAAACATGCACTCATCACCTCCCACGTGAACACAGACGCCAAGTATTATAGCCAAGGCATCAATGATACAAATGCTACCTCTACAAGGGACAGAGGTCAGCTTTCAAAAGGATCAAAGGTCAACTTTCACAAGGGGTCAAAAGGTCATTACACATGGTCAAATGTCAACTTTCACAAAGGAAAACACCAACACAATACTGTAATGCCAAATTAAGTGCCACAAGAGTTGAGAGTCAACTGGTAAAAGGTCAAATGTCAGCACTCATTATATTTAATAGTTAACTTTTGCAAAGGTTTAGTTTACTGCAGTTTACTATAATTAACTGCATAGTTTATTACAGTTTACTGTAGCTTACTGCATAGTTTAGTATAGTTTACTGCAATTTAGCTTACAACACTGTATAATTCACAGGTTAACCATAACAAAGGGTCAAGGTTCAACAGTCAAAAGGTTATGAAGGTCATCTGACCCGAGAACCATCCTGCTTACTACAGTTGACTGTCAAGCTAAAGAAAATGCAAAAGATCAGCTTTCACAGCGACGCAAGTGGTACAACACATCCCAGCGAGTGCAATATTCAAGAGATACATTATTTCGTTTTGCACGAAACACTGTGGTAAGTGACTTTGCAAGAGTAAAAACACCAATGTTATGTACTCTCACAAACCCAATGTACCTTCTTGCATATATATAAGTAAATAAAATAAAATTTAAATGCCAAATCAGCATTGGTTCAATGTTGATAGTGTTGAAATTAGATACTGTGCCCACTGGCATTGTACCTTTATAACTGCAGTATAGCCAACATGACTGTGCCTCCCCCCTAACAGACGAAAAAGGTTGAAGAGAGGATAGCCACTTAGAAACTTTGTTGAAATCCACTGTAACGAGGAATAGCAATGCTGAAATTAAGATGCCTAGAGTGAAAGCTTTACATCAGACACGGAAACTCTTCAGTGTCTTGTCAGTGTAATACAATGCCAAAGACATGACTACGATAAGCGAGTGATTATGCATTATTACCTTAATTCATCATGGATCTCTGTCCCCTCAACACTACAGGCATTAGCAGCAAATTCAAACTTAAAGTAATGTTTATGAAATTATCGAAATAATATTGATTAGCTGGTGAGCTGAGGCGTCAGTGTGTGGCGTGCACAGGCGAGAGCACCGAGCATCATCGTCACCACTTACAGACTCTTCATCATCTGACTCTTCATCTTCCTCCTCCTCCTCTTCAGACTCCTCCTCCTCTTCTGATTCTTCTTCCTCACATTCTTCTTCAGATTCCTCTGATTCTTCATCCTCATCTTTCTTGTCAATTATTTTTACCTCAGTCTTGGTAGTATTTGGTATCTACAAGAAATTACAGCAGCTGTATAAATCAGTTAGGCTAAATACAGAATCATCGCGTGATACTCCACATTACCTGTATTATGATTCTGGTAAAATGTTCATCTGTTGAGAACTAAGCAGTCTTGTGATCAGCCAACTTCAAATAATGTTACCGAGGAGAGACCGGTAAAAATAATTTTTAATTTCGGCAGTTTTCTTTCACATGACCCCATGTAATATAGTCTTTGAAGTCCACTCTGTGGCCTTCAATGTTTTGTTGTGTTGTCCTTAACAACTAAGTTGTTGTTCTTAAGGGTCTTTGTGATCCTCAAGGACATTGTCGTCCTTGAGATATGCTGCGTCATACTCGGTGAAACTAAGTGGTCCTCAAAGTCTACCATGTAACCTTAGGAGACAGTATAACTTTGTAGGCCTTAAGGTGCTCTTACATCATCCTCAAGGACACTACTGTAACATCTTCAAGACTGTGAACCTCAGAAGAACAACCGAGTCATCCTCCAGGTTCTCTGTAGCACCTTGCTACATCAACAGAGATTATAACATATTTCAGTACAAGAGGCAATGTATCTGGCAGCGGTATCAGGCATGAATGCCAGTGTTACGGAAAAATAAACACATTTGGTCCCAATAGTCATAAGTGCCATAGTGCCTGAAGAAAGAAAAATATTTAGTCATTCTATAGAATTTATAGACGAGAAATACAACCGAGAACAGAATGGTCGACAACGCTAAAGGTTTATACGAGTAAAATATTAGCATTATTTCATCATTATAATTTATCTAAAACAGTCTGCTGCTTGGTATGATACACACTGCTAGCACAGCTTGGCATTATTTGCAAGGAAAGGTAAAATTGTGAATAATATAAATAATATAATATATCTAATAATTAAAGACATCCGTTTAAAGACGAGGACCAGGTCACGACATTAAGAGTGTCACCTGTGTGTGTTATTACAGTTCTCTACCATATAAGCATGTTCACTAAGGAGGTCCAGATGATATTACTTCACTGTTCAGAGGTCCAAGGAGTGTTGTTACAGCTGTGACTCCAAATATAGTCAAATTACTGCTCTCATTCAGTGTGAAAAAATTGACAGCGACTTTTCTAAGTAAATCATAAACCAAAGTATAATATAGTTGAGATCCTTGCAGGTCAAGTTTCCATATGGCTGGAACGGCTTTAAAAGATCCCGAAATGGCATTGCGTCTAGTACTGCCACGAGTAACAACTCTGATAGGAAAAGAACTACAGGTATCTCAGAAATGCTTAAAAACATTCTTTGACTGCTTTAGTCCCATCTTGCAAGACCTTCAACCTGTTTAAAAAATATCTAGTGAAAAAGATTCTCGGATGATGACCTGGATGACTGAGCCACACCTGGAGTGACTGAAAGAATTAGGTTTATGTGAGGTAACATGCATCAAGAGGACTGGAAGAGTGGAGTTGGGAAGAAGCTGGCATGCATTAACATCATATTGTTGACATCACAAACAACTGGGTCACACCAAATGGTTCTGGAAAAGAAGAGGCCAAGATTTAACATGATAGAGGTACAGTATTGCAGGTGGTGATATTTTAGCATCAGTTGGGTATGATTGCAAGGGCGTGGGCTCTGAAACACAAGATATAACAGAAAGCTGCCATGGATAAAAAACTGGAATGGACCAACTGAAACTGGGAAGATCATTCAGGACGCATCTGTAACAGGTGGTGTGGTGGTGATCCTACTGGCCTGAAGAGATCTACATGGGATTTGTATAATTGATCTTCAACCCAAGGATCAGATTTAGGCTACAAGCCAAGAGTGGAGTCACTGGGTGGAGGGGAAGAGTCACTGGGTGGAGGGGAAGAGTCACTGGGTGGAGGGGAAGAGTCACTGGGTGGAGGGGAAGAGTCACTGGGTGGAAGGGAAGAGTCACTGGGTGGAGGGGAAGAGTCACTGGGTGGAAGGGAAGAGTCACTGGGTGGAAGGGAAGAGTCACTGGGTGGAAGGGAAGAGTCACTGGGTGGAAGGGAAGAGTCACTGGGTGGAAGGGAAGAGTCACTGGGTGGAAGGGAAGAGTCACTGGGTGGAAGGGAAGAGTCACTGGGTGGAAGGGAAGAGTCACTGGGTGAAGGGGGAAGTGAAGTCACTGTATGTAGGACTTACCCAGTGCTCGTCCGGCGTTCCCCACTGCTCGTCAACCATCGGGGATGAAGACTAAAGAGGAAACATCAAGAACATCAACGTCTTGCCACACTCTTATGAATACATCATTGCTCTCAAACTATCAAAAACCAACTAAGACTAAGTGAAGTCTTGACTCAAACATAAACAGTAATCTTAATGTTGAACACGGAGCAGCAGGTGTGGTCTTCTTATCTATTAGAAGCACCAAGGACTAGTTTTGACTCACTAAGGATTGTCAATGACAAAGAATGTCCGCAAAAACTTAATCTGACAATCCATACTTCAAAGTGATAGTGCATATACAACTATAAAATACGGACTATTGGACATCGATAGCAGTCCACATTTGGTACTGATGACCACTTGCCTCTATGTTGAGGCTAATATCATATTTAAAGGATAATGTCATCTGGTACCATGTCACTCTCGGCTCGGCTCATTACAACTTATTTACACACACACACACACTGAGTAAATAGTGCAGTTTGAGTGTGGGTGGGGGTGGGGGGGTGAGGGGAAGGTTAAATAGTTGATACTAGAATGTGTGTGTGCGCGAGAGTGGTTGGGGATGATGGGGGATTACAGAAGAGTACTGACCCTAGAGGCATCATCCACCTGTAGAAGAGCCACAGCTTGGACGCTGGCAGGGTTCTGGGGCTCCGAGCTAATGTTACTCTGATCCTGTGAGGTGATAAGTAGTGTCAGAGCCCCATGGGATTCAGGTGAATTGTGGGTGTTTGACACCGGTTAAAGTTACAGCTGACACCCGAAGTGTATTGTGGGTATCTGATATCCAAGTTCTAGCATTAACCGATATAAGTGTCAACAGCCGGAGCCTGGAGGAGGCGGAACACAGGATTGTGAGGCGTTAGAGCAACAAGTAAACACTGACGACAGTCAAAGAGAAGATGTGAAGCTTAACACCCAAAACCACCAAATCCATAAATATGAATTATATATTAATTGACAAAACTGAAGTATAGACATACTGTATATTAATACATACATTATACATATACACAGCCATCAATACATATGCATTAATATCCAAACATTAATAAAAAATACATAGAGTGATGTGTAATCATGGCCAAGTCAGTCTTATGAGCGTCCAGTAGGCCCATACCCACCTTGCTCAGGTCATCTCGGTTGGGTGTCGCTGGCTTGTTGCTGTACTGGAGGAGAACAGACACAAATTTAATACTTACAACAACATTTACATGTATTCTATCACATTTTGAAATACTGTACTAGTGACAGCATATTCATAATATGGTAATATAAAGCTATGGATGTTCTGTTAGACATCACTCGAGTGGGTGCTTGCACATTGGCATGGTGTGGAGTGTCCCCTGGTGGGATGGGGGAAAGATTATGGGTACTGGATTCACCGGTGCCAGAGCATTGCCTCACTGCACCAGCGTTTGGGTATGGTAACACTAAGTGCTGGCAATGTTACACTGGTGCCAGGTCTTGGCAACACTGGATAAGACTCCATTGGGTTAGGTACATTGGCTGCCAGATCATTAAAGCCATACAATATAAAAAAATTATTATTATTAATATATATAATATAATATAATATAATATAATATAATATATATATATTAGGTAGAAATAATATATTTCTACCCTCCAAGTGTATTTTAATCTTAAATATGCTTAATTAAGGAATAAACTCTTATACACGATGAAAAATACAGCTCTTGGTGTATAAATTACCAGAGTCCACGAATAAATGAATTGGGCTCTTCTTCAACACATTAAGTTTTGTACCCACAAGTTGGAGATGTTTTTAGGCATTAGACAAAAAAAAAAATGCATTAATTTTGAACTAGTTAATGCGATTTTTCTCATAATTTTTGCTAGGAGGGAGAAGAGATAAGCATCTGGAGATCAGTTCAGCCTGTCAGTGTTTAAGTCAGTGATTGCTTGCAACTGCATAATCAGGCAATGAGTCACAATAACGTGGCTGAAGTATGTTGACCAGATTACACACTAGAAAGTGCAGGGACGACAACGTTTCAATCCGTCCTAGACCATTCTCAAATCGATTACAATCGACTTGAGAATGGTCCAGGACGGACCAAAACATCGTCGTCCCTTCACTTTCTAGTGTGTGGTCTAGTCAACTGCATAAAGTTGCAACACATGCAGTAGTGAGACCATGTGTTACTGGTTACTGCATGATGTTGCAACACATGCAGTAGTGAGATCATGTGTTCCTGGTTACTGCACAACATTGCACCACTTGCAGCTTACACTAGTAACTTAGTGATTAGCACTTACTATTAACTAGTTAAGACTCCTCAGTCTGTTATTCTTAGCAGATTACTGTATTATTATTATTATTGCTGTTATTACCATTTTAATATTAATGTTTAACTGTTTTAGAGTCTCTCTTTAAATGTGGTAAACAAAAAAATAAGGCATAAGAAGCAGATATCAAATATGGGGGACAATCGTGAACTTAAGATATCACAAGACGTTAGTGTTTGATTCCTTCCTACTGAGCAAGCCATTCAGCCTGTTACTGTTTTTGTCATGTGGCGTTATACGTTATAAAGCGTGTGGCGACTGGTCATGTTGGCGGTACACCGTCACGAAGCTTAAGTGGACACAATCAAGTGATACATACTCGCTCCTTAAGTCTGTCATCTAATTTTTTATTATCTTGCAAGTTGAACTTGTCTCTGGCATTGGAGCTTGACGGCTGTGTTTTGGCCTTGTTTGCTCTATCCAGTTCTTCTTTTCGTTTAGCGGCATCATCTCTCTCTTTCATGTCTGTTGGGTGTAGCTTTGTCCTAGCATTAGCAAGTAGTTCCTTTAATGGGTCAGTTTTCTCAATTTTCTGTCCAAGCTCTTTCTTGGGCCCTCGTGGTTCGATGAGCTCTCTTTCGTTCGGGGCAATTCGTACGTGTTTCACTTGTTTTTCCTTATTTTCTACATCTTGTTTGGGTTGTGCATCAGTCTTTCCTGCTCCAGGTTTCACTACCTCCTCATTCTCCTGCTTAGGTTTCAGAGTCAGGCTTTGCTTTCTAAGTTTTGGATCAGTTTCATCTTTTATCTTTGATTCCCACTTGTTCCTAAGGTCATTCAGCTTTAGCTTCTCAGACGAAGCATCAGAATCTTTATCATCACTTGGCGGCACCTTGGCTGGCGCATCCGATGGCTTCCTCGACCTCAGTTGAACGCCAAAAACACTGGCTCGATCTTGCGGGGTATCGCTGTCTTCTGTGCTTGTTTTCCTGGGTACTTGTTTGTCCTTAACTTGTGTGTCTTGCTGCTTCTCTCCTTTGTCTCTCTCTCGCTGCTTCTTCTGTAATTCCTCCTTTTCCTTATCTCTACTTTGCAATTCTTCTTTCGCCTTCAATTCCTGTCTCTTTTTTAACTCTTCTTGCTCTTTCTCTTGTTGTTTCTTTCGTAATTCTTCTCTCTCATTCTCTTGTCGTTTCCTTCGTAATTCTTCTCGCTCTTTCTCTTGTTGTTTCTTTAGTAATTCTTCTCGCTCTTTTTCTTGTTGTTTCCTTCGTAATTCTTCTCGCTCTTTTTCTTTCTGTCTTTTTCGTAATTCCTCTCGCTCTTTCTCTTGTTGTTTCCTTAGTAATTCTTCCTTCTCTTTCTCTTGCTGTTTCCTTCGTAATTCCTCTCGCTCTTTCTCTTGCTGTTTCCTTCGTAATTCTTCCTTCTCTTTCTCTTGCTGTTTCCTCCGTAATTCTTCCTTCTCTTTCTCTTGCTGTTTCCTTTGCAATTCTTTCTCTTGCTGTTTCTTTAGCAATTCTTCTCTCTCTTTTATATTCTGTCTCCTACGCATTTCCTCCTTTTCTTTTTCTTCCTTCCTTTTCCGTAACTCCTCTCTCTCTTTCTCTTGTTGTTTCTTCCTTAGTTCTTCTCTCTCTTTCTCTTGTTGCCGCCTTTTTAATTCCTCTTTTTCTCTTTCTTGTTGCTTTCTCAGTTCCTCTTTCTCTCTCTCATCTTTTATCCTTTGTAACGATTCCTTCTCTTTCATTTCCCGTCTCTTTCGTAACTCGTCTTCCTTTTCTTTTTCTTGTTTCCTTCGTATCTCCTCCTGTTCTCTTTCCCGTTCCTGCCTTCTCAGCTCATCTCTCTTGTTCCTCAGCTCTTCTCTCTTTTCTTTTTCTAGTCGATTTTGCATTTCTACTTTCTTGAGTCTCTCCAGCATATCCTCGTTCATATTCTGCACAAATGGGGACTCCTCCACAATTGCCTTCTTGCGGGGCGGCTCTTGCAGTCTCTTTCTCTCCGATTGTTCTCTTCCTTCACATTTGTTTTTGCTGCTTGAGTCATTCTCCTCCTCCGCTTGTGGGATATCCAGCTTAATGATCCTCTCTCGCCCAAGTCTCCTGCCTGCTCTGTTCCTCGAGTCCTCCTCGAGGGGTTCCACAGGTCTAGGGGTTCGGACGCGCGCTTCAAAGGGTTCGCTGTTCCGGACGCCATCTTCCTGGGATCGTTTTCTCAGGGTTGGTTGCGATGGTTGGTTAGCCCGTTGGGAGTGGGCCACAGGTGGAGTGGGAGGGCACTGTGGGTGGAGTGGTTACACCTCATGAACATATGCACACACGGGAAACAAAATAGAACAGCCGTAGTATAAAAAAGTCACTGTCGGGTTTTGAGCGCTCTGAACATACTTTCTTCACTGTCAAGCTATAAGCACCTTGAACTCAACACATATTAAAAGAGCCCATCATCAAAACAATGGCCATATGCTCTTTAATCCAGCTGTAAAACCCTCTGTTAATGAACAAACTTTATTCACATGGCTCACAACTGGCGATCTAAATTTTCTCAAACAGTGCTATTCATAATTTAATAATTTAATAATTATGACCATTTGAATTACACTTCTATAAATGATTCAATCATGTACTACAAATACAAATAACTGGCAAAGAACCTAAACACCTAACCTTACACCTACGCCTTACACCAAATTCTAATACATACTGTACTGTATATATCTATGAGAAAATATAAATTTTTAATACAGGTACACAGTCCATTAAAGTTTATGAATGCGTCTTTGTGATCATTCACAGCTTGAACGAACATAGCCTGAGGATGGGTTGAATGTGTGAGGACAGTTGTTGTCAGAGTGCTCAGCAAAACAAAATTTATATATACTGTATATATAAAAAAAAGAATAAAAGTGATATCAAACACCTGTTGCACCAAAACACTGTCGCAGGTGACAACAGCTCCAGGTGAATGGGTTGGGATTTATAGTTCCTTGGGTGCTGATATATTCTAGATACTTTTCTAAAATGTGTATGTTTGGGTGTGAATGTATATAATACTGTAAACAAACTCTATAAACTAAAAATACTAATCTCCACAAGCACCTTCGTGCTGATCGAACCACAAACCTGCTCACATTTTGGTAAACAGTAACCAGCTATTCAAAGAACTTCCAGTATATGTAATAGACATGATGACCAAACCATACATCAGAAAGTGAGGAAACAACAACATTTCTTATATGTAGTATAGATGAATCTTGCCAAAGCTTTTGATAAGGTACCACATGAAAGGCTGGCAAGGAAAGTACAAACTCACAAAATAAGTGGTAGAATACTAGAATGGATAAAACAAAGATTAAAGCAGAGAAAGCAAAGTGATGTCCTAAATGGAAATGTAGAAATGTATCTGAATGGAGAAATGTAGAGTGGGTGGGGGGGTTCCACACAGTTCCATTTTGGGGCCAACTCTTTTTGTCGTACACAAATGACAGATGAGAATATTACAAACCACATTATCAAATTTGCAGATGATACTAAGATTTATTGTCAAGTAGGAAGTGAGGATAACACTGAGACCTTACAAGGAGATCTATATGAATTCCAAATGTGGTCAGATGACTGGTAATTGCATTTTAATATAGAACAAGACCTTGCATGCGAGCCATAACTGTGTGCATCACAACTACCAAATCAACATCATTACCTTACACCAAATTGATGAAGAAAAGGACCTTGAAGTCAGAAGCCACTAATCATTGAAAGTTGCACAAGTGGAAACTGCAGTAAAAAAAAAAAATTATGAATAGTCAAATGAAGCTTTGACTTAAAGGAAAAAAAGGTAGTGATACAACTGTATAAATCTCTGGTGCACCCCCCCACTTGGATTATTGTATCCAAGCATGGAGACGTCATCTTCAGAAGAACATAACTACTTTGGAGAAAGTTTAACACTGGGTGACAAATCATTCCTAGACTAAGTCGACTCTCGTACCAGGAATGGTTGAAGGCCACAAGGCTAACAGCACTGCAAATCAAAATGGTTTCCGGAACTGAAAGACATGAGCAAGAAGAAGAGGTTAGAGGAATTAAATATGCCGCAACTAGAAGATAGAAGAAAAAAAAAAGAGGCAATAAGATCACTATGTACAAAATAGTAATGGAAAGTGACAAACTTGATAAGGAAGTATTCCTGAACTTCAAGAACAAAAGGTCAAAGATTTAAGCTAACTAAACAAAGTTGCCCAAGAAATAAAAGAAAATTAACTTTCGCAAACAGTGAACAGTAGACAGTTGGAACAAGTTGAGTGAGAAAGTAGTGGAGGCCAAAACCAACACTAGTTTCAAAGCTTTATATGACAGTGCGGGGAAGACAGGACACCATGAGCGTAGCTATCATTTTATAACTACACTTCGGTAATTGCACACACACACACACACACACACACACACACACACACACACACACACACACACACACACACACACACACACACAGAGACAACCAACAACACAGCCACTTTTTTTTTTTTTTTTTACAATTCCATAAAGGCATCAAGTTTCCAGCTAGTAATATAAATAGCTAAGTGTGTGTTAACTTCAAGAATTCCAACATTGTGGGAGTAATCAAGATACAAGTTTTCTTAAGTTGACTGATGTTAAGAAAACAAAGTTTAAAAGTTTTTGGTTTAGAAATTGTTGTTAATGTTTTACTTTAAATTGACCTTTAGTCTTTAGGATACTCCCACGAGGGGGGAGGGGAGAGGTATGTATGAAGCAGGGAGGGGAAGGGGAGTTAGTGCCTGGCCTTGACCCAGCTGCAGGGTTGGCAGAGTGCCTGGCCTTGACCCAGCTGCAGAGTTGGCACAGTGCCTGGCCTTGACCCTGCTGCAGGGTTGGCAGAGTGCCTGGCCTTGACCCAGCTGCAGGGTTGGCACAGTGCCTGGCCTTGACCCTGCTGCAGGGTTGGCAGAGTGCCTGGCCTTGACCCAGCTGCAGGGTTGGCAGAGTGCCTGGCCTTGACCCAGCTGCAGGGTTGGCAGAGTGCCTGGCCTTGACCCTGCTGCAGGGTTGGCAGAGTGCCTGGCCTTGACCCTGCTGCTGGGTTGGCACAGTGCCTGGCCTTGACCCAGCTGCAGGGTTGGCAGAGTGCCTGGCCTTGACCCTGCTGCAGGGTTGGCACAGTGCCTGGCCTTGACCCTGCTGCAGGGTTGGCACAGTGCCTGGCCTTGACCCAGCTGCAGGGTTGGCACAGTGCCTAGCCTTGACCCAGCTGCAGGGTTGGCAGAGTGCCTGGCCTTGACCCTGCTGCAGGGTTGGCAGAGTGCCTGGTCTTGACCCTGCTGCAGGGTTGGCAGAGTGCCTGGCCTTGACCCTGCTGCTGGGTTGGCAGAGTGCCTGGCCTTGACCCTGCTGCAGGGTTGGCAGAGTGCCTGGCCTTGACCCAGCTGCAGGGTTGGCAGAGTGCCTGGCCTTGACCCTGCTGCAGGGTTGGCAGAGTGCCTGGCCTTGACCCTGCTGCTGGGTTGGCACAGTGCCTGGCCTTGACCCTGCTGCAGGGTTGGCAGAGTGCCTGGCCTTGACCCTGCTGCAGGGTTGGAGTTTCTTGCGAATTTTTTCTTTATTTTGTTAAAATTTGAAGAAATGTTTAATTTACATCCTTGACTGAGGTAAATGTCACAACCAGTAAGGGATGAAGGTCACAGCTGCTAGAATATAACACAGAGTAGCTATCCAGTACCTACTTATTTTGTACCATCTTCAGCTTCATGTTAAACAACTTAACTCTTCTATAAACATCAAGCTATTTACACAATGTTTGAAACACATTTTTCTTGTATTCAGGATATTGTGTACATATGAGTACACTAAGTTTACTAATAAAATACAAGTACAGACTGTATTTGAAGTGTCAATAATAAGGCTGGAGGATATTAACCACGAGAGTATCTCGACATTAACAATCAAGTCACATCAAGTCTGCCCGAAACGCTTTGCGTAATAGTGGCTTTAGGCATTGTATGTACTAGCTCTATCTATTAAGCCAACAAACTTTGTAAAATCTCTTTATGTATGTATCTTACCTAAATAAAAATTATTATTATTATTATTATACATGTGACGCATTTTAGCAACGTGTTCAAGACGTCACAGAAAAGACAATGGCGTACAATGCCTTGGTCTTTACCCAATCGTCTCTGAAACTTTCCAGTCTTGATACACAAATGGCTTTCTGACCTTCACCCCTTTGTGGGTAATGACTCATGGGCTGTCTAAAAGTAATAACTACTCTAAAACTGAACATTACTTTCAAAGAACACTGAAAACACAGCAACAAGGAACGTCCACAGTAATACGAGTGAAAGTAACGTGAATTCTTAAGAATGTGTTGAGCTGAAACACATTAAACTGGGCATGAGATAAGTTTTGCTATGTCTTCAGCCCACAGTGAAGCATATAACAGCCCACAGTGAAGTATATGACAGCCCATTGTGAAGTATATAACAGCTCACTGTGAAGTATATAACAGCTCACTGTAAAGTATATAACAGCTCACAGTGAAGTATATAACAGCTCACTGTGAAGTATATAACAGCTCACAGTGAAGCATATAACAGCCCACAGTGAGGCATATAACAGCCCACAGTGAAGCATATAACAGCTCACTGTGAAGTATATAACAGCCCACAGTGAAGCATATAACAGCCCACAGTGAAGCATATAACAGCCCACAGTGAAGCATATAACAGCCCACAGTGAAGCATATAACAGCCCACAGTGAAGTATATAACAGCCCACAGTGAAGTATATAACAGCTCACTGTGAAGTATATAACAGCTCACTGTGAAGTATATAACAGCTCACTGTGAAGTATATAACAGCTCACTGTGAAGTATATAACAGCTCACTGTGAAGTATATAACAGCTCACTGTGAAGTATATAACAGCTCACTGTGAAGTATATAACAGCTCACTGTGAAGTATATAACAGCTCACTGTGAAGTATATAACAGCTCACAGTGAAGTATATAACAGCTCACAGTGAAGTATATAACAGCTCACTGTGAAGTATATAACAGCTCACTGTGAAGTATATAACAGCTCACTGTGAAGTATATAAATACTGTACTGTATTAAAATAAAACATTCTTTACCATATTTGAATGATATTTACATAATTTATATGATTAATGAACATTATATATTGATTATTTTGAGATAAAATTGTAAAAAATCAAAACAAAATATTGCAAATAAAGGTCATTTACAATAAATTCTTAAGGTCTTCAGGGTGTTAATAAATGTAAGATTGTTTCAGCCATATCAAAGAAACATTATTCATTTTCCTGTCTTTGAATGGTGGCAAGTTTGACACAAATAACATGGAATATATGCAATGCTCACCATCGTGCTTTACAACTCTTCTTAAATGATCAGAAAATACAAAAATGTCTTTCAAGAACAGCAGTGCTTACCTGTTGTTGTTGTTGTTGTCTTTGTTCCGGTGTCATGGGGGGAGCTGGTGTCCACGTCTGCAATATCATATAGTATCATAAGCAACATATAACATCATGCAATATCATACAATAGGCTTTTTCAACTGACTAGCTATACTATTTGCATTGCAGACTAATAAGAAAAAGATGTTCCCCTATATGTATGACAAGAAAAGTCACTCGAATGACACACAAACTCGGAGGAAAAAGTTGACAGAAGTCGAGTGTTTTGAACACTGGCGCTCTACCTACCTCTTCAAGGGGAGTGGAGTGAAGAATGACTTGCTTGGCATTCAGTAAACCAACATGATATATATAATGCATGCGTTCTTAGGCTGACCTTTATATTAGGTTCCTAGTCCCCACTGTTTCACTGGCACCCGCTGGATTGACACCGTCACTTAGAGCTAAATGCTTATATGTCACTTAAAACTAAACCAGTGAGCGACATCTTCGTGAAGAGAGACTGTGTCATGAGAAGGGGTTTGTAGATAAGGGTTCTACAGACTTTATTCTAACGATACAGTTCGATTCTATTAAATACCATCACAACCCTAGTCTGACACTGTCTGACATGTAGTATACCATCATGACCCCTAGTCTGACGTGTAATATACCGTCACGACCTTAGTCTGACACTGACATGTTATATAAATCAAGGCAACAGGTCGGCTAATTCAGTGATTTTGACTTGGTCAACATGTACAACATTAACTTAAGAAAATTCTTTATAGTTTATCAAATATGCAATAAATAAATAAATTAAAAATTTACGTGTTAAGTGTGACTGGAGGATCTCCCCATTACCTATCTTGGCCCAGTCTAGTTTATACAATGACTGTGGACTTCCCTGTTACTTGTTATTTTGACCCAGTCTGGGGGCTAGATTTATAAACCATTTACACAACCACTTATGAAACCTGTACATATTTCCTCAATCATGATGGCTTTGTTTACGTTTAGTAAAAAGTTCATGAACTTTAAAGCTCTATGAGGCTGTTAACAACAATAATAACCCTGGATTGTTTACTTTCCAAGCTCCTAAACTGTTTATTAAATGTAAACAAAGGTGGCATGATGGAGGAAACATGTAGAGGTTTTCTACTGTGTAAGTGCTTCATCAATCCTGGCCGTGTTTCACTCAATGATAATGAGATCATTTTACCTGAAATGCTGTGTATCTTAGTAGCTTCAGGCATTTTATATACAATGGAACCTCTATTAACGAGTTTAATCCGTTCTGGCACCGAGTTCGTTATCTGGAAAACTCGTCTTAAGAAACAAATTTCCCCATTTAAAATAAAGGAAATAAATTTAATCCGTTCCACTCCCAAAAACATCCATACTTGTATGACATTTTTTTATGTAAATATAATACTGCACATGTAATTATAAATGTTTTGTTATACTGTTTTAATGTTTACCTTATGAAGAGTAGTTGCTGGCTTGAGGGAGACGATGGGGAGGTGGGAAGGAGGAGAGGGGTTATGGTGTGGAAGGAGAATCCACCTTTGAGTCAGGCGGATTCTCTCTTCTTGGGAATTTCACCCAAATTTCATTTCAAATGTCACACAGAGCACAAGGATGCGTTAGACTAGCACCAAATAAAAAACTACGTCGATTGCACTCGTGTCAACAACACAATGGTCTTACCACGAAGATACAATACAATGCCTTTCTCCCAAATAGGCTATGTGGCTATTAGAGAAAACGGAAATTTCATGGCAAACATGTTTATACTATCCCCAAATCGATCGGATAAGAATTAGATTTTATAGAAATATTTGCTCAAATGACACTTGAGCGCGGTGTTTGGGTGCATTCAAGAGAAAAAAGTGTGTCACGTTCAAGCGACATATACCTGCGAAAGTGATAGCACTTTCACAAAGTGTTATCACAAAGTGATAAATTAATTAAACATTTTCACACACCGGGTTGTCACTGCTTTATCAGAGCAGCTTTTCCAAGAACGCGTTCACCTTTTCAAACATTCCCAACACTTCCCTGATCTCAGTGGAAGAGGCAACATCCTCCCTTACCTCCTTATTCCCTTACTAATGGTGTAAATTGTTGATGAGGACCTGCCATACTCCCTTGTGAGATCAGTCACACAGACACCACACTCATGCTTTGCTATAATTTCCTTCTTCAAATCCACAGTAATTGTGTCTTCCTCTTGAAAACACTATCTTTAGCAAGCAGCTTCTTTGGCGACATCGTGTGTTACAAATTGTAGTCACAAAACCACTAAAAACACAAAGAAAAGCGCAAATAAATCCAAAGGAATGCTTGTCGTGTGCGATACAACAACAACACTGGCGTCGGAGGCTTCCAAGAATTTGCGAGAACCTGCGAGACGCTAGGAAGCACCATGTGGTTTTGCTCGTTAATAGAGGTGAAGCTCGTCAATAGAGACAAATTTGCTGCGAGTGGCTCGCTCGTTACTGGAAATGCTCGTTAATAGAGCCGCTCGTTAATCGAGGTTCCACTGTACTAGCTTTGTCTAGAAATCCAACATTCTGTTTGTAATTCATTTTGTATGTATGTAATTTTACCTAAATAAGAATTATTATTATTATTATTATTATTATTATTATTATTATTATTATTATTATAATAATGCTATATGCAAATCGGCTGTATTAATCTGATTGGGTTCTGTGTTTTTTGTTTAACCTTGTCAGAGTGGAAAACCCAACTTCACAATTATAACTGATCCCTATAGAGAGCAACAAACAACACTCGTTTTAAGATTAGATATTCATATGAAAATGCTGACAAATTTTGTGATTTTTGCTGTGTTTTTAATGTATTGCTTACAAAAGAGATGGAGCAGCTTATTTTTTTATTTGTTCACATGCTGGACCAACCGGGCTGTGGTGGATATGTGGGCCTGCGGACTGCTCCAAGCAACAGCCTGGTGGACCAAATTTTCACAAGTCAAGCCTGGCCTCGGGCCAGGCTTGGGGAGTAGAAGAACTCTTAGAACCCCATCAAGTAGGTATCAAGCAGGTTAGTTTAAACCCTATGATAAATTCAGGCAGCTCAAAACCAAATGGACATTTTACCCAGTATTTTTCTTTCTCATTTCCAACTTGTCTTGAAGAAAGTAGTGATGAGAACTGGCAGGCAAAGTGGGAGGGGGTGTAACTGTATGGCTCCTTGCATCTTGCCCTGTCTTTCTTCAGTGATGCTATTTTCTTCAATGTATTGCAACAGAGTTAGCAACACGTAATAGTTCAGGTGGTCATCTTGGTGAGGCTTGATAGAGTAGTAAGGGTTTTTGTAATGCTTTGATTTCCTCAGAGTCAGAACATATAATCTTTTTCTTGTAGTTTCAAATTAAGTTCATTTAGGCATGACAAGATATGATACAGTGTATCCTCATTATCCAATTGTCATTACTAAATAAATCTACTAAATCAAATTGTTGTTTCCAGAAAACAAAAAATTATTATTATGCATTCTTCCTTGATGGACTCTTATAATGACTGCTCCATCACACAGAAACCCTCTGTGTGGTACAAAATATGGGAATAATGAGCACCATTTCTAAACATATCCTTTCAAATAGCAGAGTGAGCTTCCTTAATGATATTAATCACTTTAATGACCTCTTCCAGAACCACATTTAAAATTATCAGGGATACCCTTGGAAGCCAAAGCTTCAATATTTTTGTCAACCACACAATTTCTCCAACAATATTTGCAGAGCCATTACTTTTAAGTCTTTTGCAATTACACCAATCAAATCTATTTCCCAACTACATACTTATTCAGCATTCTGAACATGCCTGATACTGTTGTTTTACAAACATCAGACAACACGGTAAATTTTTAAGAAAAACAAGAAAATTCTCTCGACACATTTGTAAAGAAGGTAATATTAAGGTGACAAAGTGTGTCAGTAAGGTACCAAATCTTTAGTACTTTTTGACCTTGTGACCCAGTGATAAGCATCACGCAACCTAATAATGATGGGTCGTGACCCGTACTTTGAAGAACCCTGCTCTGGACGACACACCCACCTAGCTCTGGACGACACACCCACCTAGCTCTGGACGACACACCCACCTAGCTCTGGACGACACACCCACCTAGCTCTGGACGACACACCCACCTAGGTCTGGACGACACACCCACCTAAATCTGGACGACACACCCACCTAGATCTGGACGACACACCCACCTAGGTCTGGACGACACACCCACCTAGGTCTGGACGACACACTCACCTAGGTCTGGACGACACACCCACCTAGATCTGGACGACACACCCACCTAGATCTGGACGACACGCTTAACTCATACACACACTTTAAGAACAATCTTCGGCAGATTTACCAAGAGAGACTGATCTGAAATTATTCTCTTGGCTTTAGCAAGAATGGTGTCTTCTCCACCCTTCCCCCCTTCATTCTGAAAGTGCTGTGTTGTTGAACATGGCAGGAGAGGGGGGGATGGATATGCATGTCCCATGCACACACAGTTTACTGAGCCCAATAACCAGACCACATTCTTATTATATCTGTGAAAGTTGCTCAACATAGCTTTGAAGGGGGAACTTGCTATAGTTTAGAAAACTATAACTATAGAAAACTAAAAACTAAACTAAGCTAAATAAAAAAAAATAAACTAAACTATAACTTAGAAAAGTGCTCATTATAGCTTGAAAGAATAACATAGCTTTGAAAAACACAAAAATAAGAACAAAAACTAACATTACCTATACACTGGAAGCAGGAGATAATTGCACTTTCCTGAACAAAAGCTACTCATGGCAAAGGCTCATAATGGCTATCAAAACTTTATACATAAGAGAAGAGGGAAATATGAGAGGGAATATGAGTGGCCGCACAAGCAGCCACAAGAAGCCAACAAATGACCCAACAATACTCACGAGAGTGGAAGTATGGCGGGCCTGAGGAGCCGCTGGAGAGCCTGGACTATCAGTCTGCAAAGTGAGGTTAATTTACATCATCTGAGGTCAACTCGGGTTATCACAGGCCGTCACATGGGTCGTGATAGGGAGTCAGGAGGAAAGAATAAGTTACCGATTAGTGTCATTTGAGAATTGTGTGGCAGCTGTGACAATTTTTAGTTCAGATGGGAAACATTTGGTAAAGTCAACAGGAGGGTTTCCGAGTCCTGGACTGACATTGTTTTAATAGGCGACATGACAAGTTAAGATGACCTGATAGTTTGGAAACAAATTCATTTCTTCATTGCACACCAAAATACTGTAATAGCCGTGTTCATTAATTCATAAATACTATTGATAAAAAACAAGGCGAGGAGATACTTACGTCCTTGACAGTGACAAAGAGCTCATATGGGAAGTGCATGCACAGTCATAAAGGGTAACCAGTGGCTCTCATCATTAGCAACCACTTGTATTAAAAGACAACTACTGAACGGAAAAAGGATTTGACAGACGTATATTGCAGAGTATGTGCAAGCATGATAAAAGCAACTTTGAGTCAAGTTATTCTTCATCATAATTACCTTTCATTTTGACCTAGCAGAGTAATAGATATATATCTACATATTATTGAGTAGCAATACAGACGAAGATGACTAGTTTAGTCTCAAGCCACCTGAGGACTGAGAGGGAGGCAGAAGAGGAGTCAGCAGTCCACCTCTCCTGACGAAGGTGTGCAGAGAGGGAAGGCTGGGAAAACATGCCAAGCTGTCAGAGATGGGCAGATACATTCAGTAGATCAAATAAAGCAGCCTGCAAAAACAATAGCAAAGAGTGCATTAATGTAGGTCAGATTTGTAGAGGGTATAGGACACAAGCCACAAGCATCCCATAGCAAGGTTGGGTCTTGACAAAGGGCTGATGCAGCAAATGCCATAGGGGAAACTCGGCTCAAAACAGACCAGCAAAGTGTGTATGTGGAGAGGTATTATTACCTGTAAAGAAGAAAGCTGTCATGCAAGTTTTCTCCATGATAAGAACACAAAAATGGAGGAGAAAAAAAATTGAGATTGTGAATATAAGCGTTAGTCTCGGTGGGCAAAGACAGAGGCAAGGTTGACTGCAAGCCACACCATAGACCACATAGACTGGGCCCAGCCACATCACACAGGGCTACAGACCACAGTACACAACAGGCTGCAGTCATCAGGAAAGCTGAAATGTTGGAAGAGTAGCAGAAGGGTCTAGAAGGAGGGGGGGGGGGCAGGAGCTTACCCTAGGCTGGCTGTCTCTCCGCCACGGAGTCGGACTCTCATTCTGAAAGACAACAGTGTTCTTGAGACTTCTGCATAAGACAGTAAATTCACATGTTCACAAGTAATGTTTCTGGAGAAAATGAAGTTCAAAAGATGTTAAATGTACAAGATGTTGAATAACATAAAAGTCACAACGTAACACACACTCCGTGGACCAGTGGACCTTACTAAAGACACTTGACCTTTGCTGATGAGGACAGGCTGTAAAACAGTCAAGTCAGATCTTAGTACATCTTAACCAAATTGTGCATCACTCGGTACAATTTAAACTTCGAACTGAAAGTAGCATGTCACTGTGAATATTTGCATGAGCCAGGATTTATCAAGTGTTTAGTCAATCACTTACGGCCCAACCACTTGGGCTGGACGGTAGAGCGACAGCCTCGCTTCTTACAAGTCAGAGTTCAATCCCCAACTAAACAAGTGGTTGGGTACCATTCCTTCCCTCCGTCCTATCCCAGATCCTGATCCTCATATCTCCTCCAGGTGCTGTTTAGTCTGAATGGCTTAGTGTTTTCTCCTTATCTTACCTCAACCACTTACGAAACCTGTACATGTATCCTTAATCATAGCATTTTTTTTTTACAGCTATTTAACAGTTTACAAGCTTAGAAACTTCACAACCCAAGGTTATCAGTGTAATAACACTGTAGTGCTCTGAAGCTCGCTCATAAACTGTTAAAATAAATGTACCGCTATGACTGAAGAAAGATGTAGAGGTTTTGAAAGTAGCTGCATAAATCCTTGCTGAATTCTGGCCCTTGTAGCCTAACCTAGATGTGCTAACCTATCTGTATTAACCTGATTTACCCGAAGGCCACTAACACTAGTAGCCTTGGCGAGGACAAGAAGCTGGTGGCTTGAAGGACCTCCCATTTGCCTTGATGATCCTCTCCAGGTGGATTTTAAAACTAAACGCAGTTTTGGCACTTTTGGCTTTGGCAGGTAGGTTATAATGATTATAACCATTAACCAATGGTTATATATATTAATAATGGGTCAATAACCCTATGGATGAAAAAGAACCTCTTGTTCTCAGTCATACAATGTGGCTTGTTGAGCATAAAACAATTGCTCCTTGTTTGTGTTCCATCTGACCTTTTGAAGAAATTGTCAGGATCAACATCCTCCAACTTGTTCAGTATTTTAAAAGTTCAATGGAGATTTGCCCCATCATGCCTGGTTGGCAGTGTTGTTAGGCCAAGATGTAGACCTAACAAGATCTAGAATTCCTACAATATCTGTAGACTTCCAGAGTCTGCAGTCTGCTATGCCCCGCCTTTTGATCATTAGCGGTTCAGTGCAATGACTCTTATTCATTAGTTTTCTTAACTTACAGTATATACATTTAATAATGATAATAATCCTGTGTATTAAATTAGCCTCGACAACTTCCTCATCTAGTTCATTCCATATATTTACACCTCTTAGACTGAAGACACGCACATCTGCGTCTCTAGTTATGTCTTGTGCTGCTGTTCCTCATTTAGTCTGGTTTGGTGTTGGGCATAATGCCTATAATCCTATAGAGGGATATTAAGGCAACCACAATTACTTAGTGACCAGTGAGAATACTTAAGTTCCCCCTACTATGTTCAGGACTAAAGCAAATTGTGTATATAGAGTACACTGATTAGCTAGCAGCATCTCTAAATTATATATAATATATAAATATATAAATAATATATGCAAACAAGCTTGAATGGTCCCCAAGCCAATATGCAACTGAAAACTCCACACCCCAGAAAGATTTGAACTCAGACAGGCAGGAGCACTATGCAACATGGCATACCTGGTTCCTTAACCACTCGACCACCGTGACTATACAAAAGTCATTGGTAGCTGAGGCTATATCCCCAATGACCCGACAGCACTTGGTGGTAAGCTTAGGCATAGATATTTCATCGAATCACCTCACTTTGTGGGGCCACGTGAGCAACACAAATGCGAACGATTCCATCGAATGCGAATGAAACGAATCCTGGGTTCGAATCCTTCTGGGGTGTGGCATTTTCAGTTGCATATTGGCTTGGGGACCATTCAAGCTTGTTGCATTTGTGTTACTCACGTGGCCCCACAAAGTGAGGTGATTCAATGAAATATCTATGCCTAAGCTTACCACCAAGTGCTGTCGGGTCATTGGGGATATAGCCTTGGCTACCAATGACTTTTGTATAGTCACGGTGGTCGAGCGGTTAGGGACCAGGTACGCTATGTTGCATAATGCTCCTGGCTGTCTGGGTTCAAATCCTTCTGGGGTGTGGAGTTTTCCACATACATTTTTTTTACGTATATAGTAATATATTATTTATTTATTTTATATATATATATATATATATATATATATATATATATATATATATATATATATATATATATAACACATATATATATATATATATATATATATATATATATATATATACATACATATACACATCCTTCGACCTTATTTTGAAGTGTTTCTCAATCTTCTTGGACAGTTTCCATTAGGATCCTTTACATTGTTATATTGTCTGCAATTTCCTTCTTTCCTCTCTTGTGGCGGGGTCCAGTTCCCTCAGCCTTTCTTCATACCTCAGTCCCTTCAACTTTTTTTTTTTTTTTTTTTTTTTTTTGAGATATATACAAGAGTTGTTACATTCTTGTAGAGCCACTAGTACGCGTAGCGTTTCGGGCAAGTCCTTAATCCTATGGTCCCTGGAATACGATCCCCTGCCGCGAAGAATCGTTTTTTCATCCAAGTACACATTTTACTGTTGCGTTAAACAGAGGCTACAGTTAAGGAATTGCGCCCAGTAAATCCTCCCCGGCCAGGATACGAACCCATGACATAGCGCTCGCGGAACGCCAGGCGAGTGTCTTACCACTACACCACGGGGACTGCAACTTAGGAACGAGACCTGTCACATATATTTAGACATTTTTCAAACCCCCCTTTTGCATTTCTTTAGGTAGGGGGTTCCATGCCGGGGACAGCATACTCAAGAGTGGGTCTCTCTTACAATGTATACAGAGTTCAGAAGTGTCATTTGTCGAAGTTAGCAGTCTCCGTGGTGTAGTGGTAAGACACTCGCCTGGCGTTCCGCGAGCGCTATGTCATGGGTTCGTATCCTGGCCGGGGAGGATTTACTGGGCGCAATTCCTTAACTGTAGCCTCTGTTTAACCCAACAGTAAAATGTGTACTTGGATGAAAAAACGATTCTTCGCGGCAGGGGATCGTATTCCAGGGACCATAGGATTAAGGACTTGCCCGAAACGCTACGCTCTCCCTCCTCTCTCCTCCTTGCCCGAAACGCTACGCGTACTAGTGGCTGTACAAGAATGTAACAACTCTTGTATATATCTCAAAAAGTTCCTGAAGGTTGTGCGGATGTTTGCCATTTTAGAATATGCCGCCGATGTTATTCTGTTGCTGTGTGCTTCTGATGTTAGATTAAGAGCTATTTGCTTTCTCAACTCTTTCTTTGGAAAATTGGAAAGTTGCCTTCTCTTCGTCGTGTGCTGTATTTGAGGCCGTCTTACTCCTATTTCTATCCTAATAACCTTGCATATGTAAATATTAGCATGTCTTAGAGCCTCTACCAGCTTGTCCTAGAGCCTCTACCAGCTTGTCCTAGAGCCTCTACCAGCTTGTCCTAGAGCCTCTACCAGCTTGTCCTAGAGCCTCTACCAGCTTGTCCTAGAGCCTCTACCAGCTTGCCATAAAGGCTCTACCAGCTTGCCATAAAGCCTCTACCAGCTTGTCTTAGAGCCTCTACCAGCTTGTCTTAGAGCCTCTACCAGCTTGTCTTAGAGCCTCTACCAGCTTGTCTTAGAGCCTCTACCAGCTTGTCCTAAAGCCTCTACCAGCTTGCCATAAAGCCTCTACCAGCTTGTCCTAAAGCCTCTACCAGCTTGCCATAAAGCCTCTACCAGCTTGCCATAAAGCCTCTACCAGCTTGCCATAAAGCCTCTACCAGCTTGCCATAAAGCCTCTACCAGCTTGTAAAGCCTTCACCAACATGTTGTAAAGCCTCAACCAGCCAGTCTTAAAGCCCCCACCAGCATGCCATAAAGCCTCAACCAGCTAGTCTTAAAGCCTCCACCAGCATGCCATAAAGCCTCCACCAGCATTTCATAAAGCCTCCACCAGCATGTCATAAAGCCTCCACCAGCATGTCATAAAGCCTCCACCAGCATGTCGTAAAGCCTCCACCAGCATGTCGTAAAGCCTCCACCAGCATGTCGTAAAGCCTCCACCAGCATGTCGTAAAGCCTCCACCAGCATGTCGTAAAGCCTCCACCAGCATGTCATAAAGCCTCCACCAGCATGCCATAAAGCCTCCACCAGCATGTCATAAAGCCTCCACCAGCATGTCGTAAAGCCTCCACCAGCATGTCGTAAAGCCTCCACCAGCATGTCATAAAGCCTCCACCAGCATGTCGTAAAGCCTCCACCAGCATGTCATAAAGCCTCCACCAGCATGTCATAAAGCCTCCACCAGCATGCCATAAAGCATGTCATAAAGCCTCCACCAGCATGTCATAAAGCCTCCACCAGCATGCCATAAAGCCTCCACCAGCATAAAGTCGTAAAGCCTCCACCAGCATGTCATAAAGCCTCCACCAGCATGTCATAAAGCCTCCACCAGCATGTCATAAAGCCTCCACCAGCATGTCATAAAGCCTCCACCAGCATGCCATAAAGCCTCCACCAGCATGCCATCCAGCATGTCGTAAAGCCTCCACCAGCATGTCAGCCTCCACCAGCATGCCATAAAGCCTCCACCAGCATGCCATAAAGCCTCCACAGCATAAAGCCTCCACCAGCATAAAGCCTCCACCAGCATGTCGTAAAGCCTCCACCAGCATGTCGTAAAGCCTCCACCAGCATGTCATAAAGCCTCCACCAGCATGCCATAAAGCCTCCACCAGCATGCCATAAAGCCTCCACCAGCATGCCATAAAGCCTCCACCAGCATGTCATAAAGCCTCCACCAGCATGTCATAAAGCCTCCACCAGCATGCCATAAAGCCTCCACCAGCATGTCGTAAAGCCTCCACCAGCATGTCGTAAAGCCTCCACCAGCATGCCTCCACCAGCATAAAGCCTCCACCAGCATGTCATAAAGCCTCCACCAGCATGTCATAAAGCCTCCACCAGCATGTCATAAAGCCTCCACCAGCATGTCATAAAGCCTCCACCAGCATGCCTCCACCAGCATAAAGCCTCCACCAGCATGCCATAAAGCCTCCACCAGCATGTCATAAAGCCCCCACCAGCATGCCATAAAGCCTCCACCAGCATGTCATAAAGCCCCCACCAGCATGCCATAAAGCCTCCACCAGCATGTCATAAAGCCTCCACCAGCCAGTCTTAAAGCAGCAGCTCTGACGAACCAATCACTCTGAAATTGCAGAGTTGGGCCTTAATATGTCTTAAGATATGCTATAGGCCCAGAGGAAGTGTCCTTACCTTCAGGCTGTCCTTCCTGAGGGTGTCTGAAGGGTTCTGGAACAAGAAATAGGCGAATGTTGAACGGAGAAAAGAACAATCATGCCAGATGTTTTTTTTTTTTACCACAGACGTGGCCACATATTTACAATGCTAACCAGCATATATACATTTTCTTCTGTCCTCCATGGACAGGGTTAGAGATGTGTTAAACATATAGTTCAGGGGTTTATTGAACATTCAACCACAGAAGGTGATTCGGTGCTTTTAAAATGCTAAGCTAACCTACATACGTAAATACATAGATTCACAGATTTACGTATGCCAGATGGTTTGTTTGTGTGTACTCGCCTAGTTGCGTTTGCGGGGGTTGAGCTTTGGCTCTTTGGTCCCGCCTCTCAACTGTCAATCAACTGGTGTACAGGTTTCTTGAGCCTATTGGCCTCTATCATATCTACACTTGAAACTGTGTATGGAGGTCTGCCTCCACCTCATCACTGACTTATGCATTCCATTTGTTAATTACTCTGACATTGACAAAAATCTTTGTAACGTCACTGTGGCTCATTTGGGAATTACCTTTTCCACCTGTGTCCCCTTGTTCGTGTTCACCCTGTCAATTCCTCTGAGAATTTTGTAGGTGGTGATCATATCTCCCCCTTACTCTTGTGTCTTCCAGGGACGTGAGGTTTAGCTCCCGTGGCCTTTCTAAATATGAAAGTTTAACTAGGTATGAACTCCAGACTGGAGCTGCATACTCCAGGATTGGTCTGATATACGTGGCATACAAGGTCCTGAACCATTCCTTACACAAGTTTCTAAAGGCAGCTCTTATGTTGGCCAATCTAACATATGCCGCTGATGATATCCTTTTGATATCGGCTTCTGGGGACAGGTTCGGTGTGATATCAACCCCCAGATCTTTTTCTCTATTTGACTCTTGTAGGATATCACCTCCCAGATGGTACCTTATGTTCAGCCTCCTGCTCCCTTCGCTTAATTTCATTACTTTACACTTTCCCGAGTTAAACTTTAGTAGCCATTTTCTAGACCATTCCACCAGTTTGTCCAGGTCGTCCTGTAGTATCTATCTTCATCTGTTTTGATTCGCCTCATAATTTTTGCATCAGCGAACATTGATGGTATGTGTGTGTGTGTAGGCTTACTAATGACCTCAGACTACATCTCACTCACTCACTCACACACACACACAGGGGCCTGTGACTGAGTTGATAGCGCTCAGGACTCGTAATCCTAGGGACCGGGGTTCGATCCCCGGCGATGGCGGAAACAAATGGGCAAAGTTTCTTTCACCCTGATGCCACTGTTACCTAGTGTGTACTCGCCTATTTGTGCTTGCGGGGGTTGAGCTTTGGCTCTTTGGTCCCGCCTCTCAACCGTCAATCTACTGGTGTACAGGTTCCTGAGCCTACTGGGCTCTATCATATCTACATTTGAAACTGTGTATGGAGTCAGCCTCCACCACATCACTGCTTAATGCATTCCATCTGTTAACTATTCTGACACTGAAAAAGTTCCTTCTAACGTCCCTGTGGCTCATGTGGGTACTCAGTTTCCACCTGTGTCCCCTTGTTCGCGTCCCACCAGTGTTGAATAGTTTATCAATATTTACCTGGTCGATTTCCCCTGAGGATTTTGTAGGTTGTGATCATGTCTCCCCTTACTTTCTGTCTTCCAGTGTCTTAAGGTGCATTTCCCGCAGCCTTTCCTCGTAACTCATGCCTCTTAGTTCTGGGACTAGTCTAGTGGCATACCTTTGAACTTTTTCCAGCTTCGTCTTGTGCTTGACAAGGTACGGGCTCCATGCTGGGGCCGCATACTCCAGGATTGGTCTTACATATGTGGTGTACAAGATTCTGAATGATTCCTTACACAGGTTCCTGAACGCTGTTCTGATGTTAGCGTGTTAGCGAAAAAATATCCTCGCATATGCCGCAGACGTTATTCTTTTTATGTGGGCTTCAGGAGACAGGTTTGGTGTGATATCAACTCCTAGATCTTTCTCTCTGTCTGTTTCATTAAGTACTTCATCTCCTATTCTGTATCCTGTGTCCTTTCCACTGCCTAGTTTCATTACTTGTGTGTGTGTGTGTGTGTGTGTGTGTGTGTGTGTGTGTGTGTGTGTGTGTGTGTGTGTGTGCGCGCGCGTGTACGCGCGCGTGCGTGCGTGCGTGCGGTAAAAAATATCCGTTGATTGACAGTTGAGAAGCGAGCCGAAAGAGCAGAGCTCAACCCCCGCAAGCACAATTAGGTGAATACTAGGTGAATACACCCCCCAAGAGTTTACTTTTAGTCCTAAACTACAATAACGGATTAAAGTATACGTGGTGGCAGGGATTTAAACACACGATTAATATCCAGGATCCACCACTACTAGCAACAGAAGCTGCTCATTGTAAATGGGTTTAAATAGTGTTTGTATCATCTGTTATTTAGTGAAGAGCTACGCCCAGTGTGTAAACAAAGTCTCCGTGGCCGAGTAGCTTACCGTAGTAGCTTACTGGACTCTTACCTTGATGAGGTTGTTCTGGGGTTCGGGCGGAGGGGCGGGCATGGGTGGGGGCGTAGAGGGCACGGACTGGGGCGTGGTGGGGGTGGAGGGCGTGCCCTGTTCCCACTGTCCGGACCAGCGTCCGGGCCGCCTCCAGCCCTCACCCTGCCACTCACAGTCAGCTCCCACGCTGCCTGGACTCACAGACCCCGACGACTCCCGCCTTGCCTGGCCCTTAGGCGGTCTGTGGAGAGAAGGTGGTCACTATAAGGGGTATTGGTGCTCGTGTGGACACTATAGGGTGTACTGGTGCTCGTGTGGACACTATAGGGTGTACTGGTGCTCGTGTGGTCACTATAGGGGGTACTGGTGCTCGTGTGGTCACTATAGGGGGTACTGGTGCTCGTGTGGACACTATAGGGTGTACTGGTGCTCGTGTGGTCACTATAGGGTGTACTGGTGCTCGTGTGGACACTATAGGGTGTACTGGTGCTCGTGTGGACACTATAGGGTGTACTGGTGCTCGTGTGGACACTATAGGGTGTACTGGTGCTCGTGTGGACACTATAGGGTGTACTGGTGCTCGTGTGGACACTATAGGGTGTACTGGTGCTCGTGTGGACACTATAGGGTGTACTGGTGCTCGTGTGGACACTATAGGGTGTACTGGTGCTCGTGTGGACACTATAGGGTGTACTGCTGCTCGTGTGGACACTATAGGGTGTACTGCTGCTCGTGTGGACACTATAGGGTGTACTGCTGCTCGTGTGGACACTATAGGGTGTACTGCTGCTCGTGTGGACACTATAGGGTGTACTGGTGCTCGTGTGGTCACTATAGGGTGTACTGGTGCTCGTGTGGACACTGTAGGGTGTACTGCTGCTCGTGTGGACACTATAGGGTGTACTGGGGCTCGTGTGGTCACTATAGGGTGTACTGGTGCTCGTGTGGACACTATAGGGTGTACTGGTGCTCGTGTGGACACTATAGGGTGTACTGGTGCTCGTGTGGACACTATAGGGGGTACTGGTGCTCGTGTGGTCACTATAGGGTGTACTGGTGCTCGTGTACGATGTGCGTGGTGCTTCAGGTGTAGGTTGGCCGCATGCACATGGCTGTGTGTACTCTCGTAGTGTTGTGTGCAACACACACACACACACACGCACACGCACACACACGTATAGTAATGTACACATCCCTAACTTTATCAATACATACAGTCATGTCCTACATTGTCAATGGATATTTTGTCGTAAAACATTTGGTATGTGTTGGTTCCCTTCTCAGGAGACCTTGCACCACACACCACTTGGTATCTTCAACTAACAATACCCACTTAACTCTGGCTATATATGACTTGATATCATGATAATGATATCATGATATGATAACTATGATATCATGAGTTGATGATAACTCGATATAAAGTTCACTGTGTACCTACGAGATGATGATGTCCTCTATGTCCTATTTCAAATGAATTAACATGTATTAAATTTATTAAAAATTTTAATCATATTATTTAGAAAATCAATAATATTATAATTACAGAAAATATATATTAATCCACAAGAACAATCAAAGTGGTTTATCAACAATCAACAATCAGGAAAATATAAAGCAAACACTCTTGGAAGAACATGCCGGAAATGGTCTGAATATAATTAGAAGAAAACGGGGGGGGGGGGGCAGGGGGGGGCAGGGGGGGGGCAGGGGGGAGGGGTGAATCAAGGGGGGGGAGAGTGAGGGGGGAGGGAAAGGGGGGGGGGAGAGTGAGGGAGGAGAGAGAGACAATGAGGGGAAGACGGTGAAGGGGAAACTACCCATTGCGATATATATCCCAAACCACAACAGTTCTCTTGACTGGACGGGTCTGAAGGCCATCTTATATCCGACTGCTGCAAAATAATCTATATTATTTATAATTCTTCGTTAAATGAGAATTTAATGTCGACATTGAGCGCAGAGTTACAAGTTACTCCAAGCGGGAAGGGAAGAGATGATGACGTAGACGAATCAAACGACAGATCTGATTGGCCATGCCAGGTGACGTCATCAAAACTGCGAATCAAACGACAAATCTGATTGGCCATGCCAGTTGACGTCATCAAAACTGCGAATCAAACGACAAATCTGATTGGCCATGCCAAATGACGTCATCAAAAGGGCGAATCAAACGACAAATCTGATTGGCCATGCCAGGTGACGTCATCAAAAGGGCGAATCAAACTACACAATCTGATTGGCCATGCCAGTTGACGTCATCAAAAGGGCGAATCAAACGACAGATCTGATTGGCCATGCCAGTTGACGTCATCAAAAGGGCGAATCAAACGACAGATCTGATTGGCCATGCCAGTTGACGTCATCAAAAGGGCGAATCAAACGACAAATCTGATTGGCCATGCCAAATGACGTCATCAAAAGGGCGAATCAAACGACAAATCTGATTGGCCACGCCAAATGACGTCATCAAGATGGCGGCCACACCAGCGGCCAGCTGCCACGGGATTATCAGTAAATAACGACACAAAACATGCAACACAAAAATCGTGGGTTAAACTGTTGCAACAAGAACACAATGGTTATCTTGAGGTTATCTTGAGATGATTTCGGGGCTTTCAGTGTCCCCGCGGCCCGGTCCTCGACCAGGCCTCCACCCCAAGGAAGCTGCCCGTGACAGCTGACTAACTCCCAGGTACCTATTTACTGCTAGGTAACAGGGGCATTCAGGGTGAAAGAAACTTTGCCCATTTGTTTCTGCCTGGTGCGGGAATCGAACCCGCGCCACAGAATTACGAGTCCTGCGCGCTATCCACCAGGCTACGAGGCCCCCTGGAGAGGAGGTGGTCAGCCTTCTCACGAGGTGAGGAGGCTGACAACACTCCAGGGGGGGGGGGTAACTCAAAGCACCACACTGGCCAAAAACCCACGAGTAAGCCACGGGCAAACCACGGGCAAACCAAGAGTAAAAGTCATAGTCAATGATTCGATTCACGACATTTGGTCGTCCAGACACGTGTTGGTAAGGACGAGGCAAGTAGCGGACACGTGAGGACACATGTGAGACACGTATAGGACACATGGGGGAACGAAAACAAAACAGGAAGCAACCCTTGGGTACTATCTCAGGCAGAGGCCGTCGACAGCTTGGCTACACAGCCAGTGGTGGACGTATGACAGCTTGGTACACTGCCAGTGGTGGACGGAACACAGGTTGGTACATTAAAAAATGTACATATGGCCGGGGAAGGTGTACAAGACAAAAAATATCTTCAATATTCCTTCGAAAATGATAGAAAACATTGACCAAGATCTACCCCACAAAGCCTGAATCAATGTATATATGTATATATAAAAATACATAAATATATATATATATATAATGGGTATAAGGGGGAATAGGCTGATGGGGGACATATCGACCAGGGGGACACTAGGCAAGGGAAACCCCTATATATAACAGGGGAAGATAATGGGTTCACACCGAACTAGGGGAAGGAGGGTCACTGAACTAAGGGGAAAGAGAGGTCCCATGCTGAGTTAAATTGTATAATTACGTGGTCAATTTCTTTAAATAGGCCTTCAGCTTCTTTTTCGATGGCATTGTGTCTATCTGAAAGCACGAGATGCGAGTTAGGTTTGGGGAGAGGTCGCCACCACCACCTTCCCTCCATGTGTTCTATCCTGGAGGGAAGTGGGGGACCTTGTGTTGCTGCTGCTGTTGTTGCTCAGTTACTGTAGTCTCCAGGGAACACTGCAGGCCATGTTATTGTATATGTGGAGGACCTCGTCGTACACACACACACACACACACACACACACACACACACACACACACACACACACACACACACACACACACACACACACAGGGACCTCCGTGTCCATGGAGGACCTCGTGGCACACACACACACAGGGACCTCCGTGTCCATGGAGGACCTCGTGGCACACACACACACACACACAGGGACCTCCGTGTCCATGGAGGACCTCGTGGTACACACACACACACACACACACACACACACCCACACACACACACACAGGGACCTCCGTGTCCATGGAGGACCTCGTGGCACACACACACACACACACACACACCCACACACACACACACAGGGACCTCCGTGTCCATGGAGGCACACACACACACACTGTGTGCACACTGTGGCACACACACTGTGTGCACACTGTGTGTACAATTAGGTGAGTACACACACACACAGGGACCTCCGTGTCCATGGAGGACCTCGTGGCACACACACTGGAGGACCTCGTGGTACACACACACACACTGTGTGCACACTGTGTGTACAATTAGGTGAGTACACACACACACCAGGACCTCCGTGTCCATGGAGGACCATGGAGGACCTCGTGGTCGTGGTGGCACACACACACACACCCACACACACACACACACAGGACCTCCGTGTCCACACACACACACACACTGTGTGCACACTGTGTGTACACACACACACAGGGACCTCCGTGTCCATGGAGGACCTCGTGGTACACACACACCAGGACCTCCGTGTCCATGGAGGACCTCGTGGCACACACACACACACTGTGTGCACACTGTGTGTACAATTAGGTGAGTACACACACACACAGGGACCTCCGTGTCCATGGAGGACACACACACACACCCCCACACACACACACACACCAGGACCTCCGTGTCCATGGAGGACCTCGTGGCACACACACACACACACTGTGTGCACACTGTGTGTACAATTAGGTGAGTACACACACACACCAGGACCTCCGTGTCCATGGAGGACCTCGTGGCACACACACACACACTGTGTGCACACTGTGTGTACAATTAGGTGAGTACACACACACCAGGACCTCCGTGTCCATGGAGGACCTCGTGGCACACACACACACACTGTGTGCACACTGTGTGTACAGTACACACACACCAGGACCTCCGTGTCCATGGAGGACCTCAATTAGGTGAGTACACACACACAGGACCTCCGTGTCCATGGAGGACCTCGTGGTACACACACACACACACACACACACACACACACCAGGACCTCCGTGTCCATGGAGGACCTCGTGGCACACACACACACACACACACACACACACCAGGACCTCCGTGTCCATGGAGGACCTCGTGGTACACACACACACACACACACACACACACACACACACACACACACACACACACACACACACACACACACACAGGGACCTCCGTGTCCATGGAGGACCTCGTGGTACACACACACCCACACACACACACACACACACACCAGGACCTCCGTGTCCATGGAGGACCTCGTGGCACACACACACACACTGTGTGCACACTGTGTGTACAATTAGGTGAGTACACACACACCAGGACCTCCGTGTCCATGGAGGACACAGTAACCTTGGCGACGGAGGTGCTGGAAAACCTAAAGCGAGAGAGTTCACACAACATAAACAGAGAAGAGCTCGTCAAGCACTTGTACCAGACGTGTAGAGAGACAAAATAGCATCGTGAGTGGGAAACAAGTACTTGATATTCAATATTTTGAAAGCGATAACTTTCATATTTAGAATTTGCAATTGAGTGATTTTGTTTACTAGAGAGATATCAATGCGTCCTTCACAATTTGTTTTTTAAATTCGTATAAATGTGCTGGGTGGGGGGGGGGGGGGTTGAGGCGTGTACATCAATGTGTACACGTGTTCGTCATGTAGTGAATGTTGATGTCTGTGAAGAATGAGCAACACAAAGTCTGAGTGTGTTGGTAAATTAAGCACGAATTCGCTAAGTTGTAATTTATGTAAGAGCGATATAAATACACGTGCACCCAGGAAGCGATTAACACACACACACACACACACACACACACACACACCGCTCAGCTGGGATGGTGAATGTTCATCATTAACCGTGATGAGTGTGTGTGTGTGTGTGTGTGTGTGTGTGTGTGTGTGTGTGTGTGTCTTGGCCCACTCCCAAACTCGGCCAGCGCCGCCACCACCTGCTTCACTGAACGAGTCATCAAACACAAGAGAGAAAGAATTTAGCTGCTGGTGCAGATCCCACAAGTGCACCAGCCCGGGGGTCCAAGAGCCTCTTCTTCTCAACCTTACTATAGAATCAACAAGACAAAAGCAGCATGTTTTGTTTTGATTTTGCTGTCAGCTGTTCGCATTACACAGCCGATTTACTTGAGACAAGATCTCTCTCTGATAATGTTCACTTTCCGCCACTCGACGAGCAAACGAAGTAGCAACAGAAGAGCTCCTTCGTATCTTCACGATCAAAAACTATAAATTATCTTGACAAGTCTGAATGTATCAAGAGAGAGAGACCATGACCATCAGGTTTTCTGTAGTCACACACGCGTAAAACAGAGCACCGCTCACACTCAGGGGGGCAGACTCGTGTAAACTGGATCTGAATACAGCTTTCGTCAATCCAACATAAGTTACGTAGCATACAGCCAATATCCAGGGATGGAGGGTGTAAGGAGCAGGCGGAGTGTAGAGATCAGGTGTAGAGGTAAGACTTGCTGCTTTCTCCACTCCACTACAAGTAATATGAATAATTTAATATTCTGTACATACACTGCAGTATGTATAATTTTGTTTATGTAACATGGCGCTCGTAGCTTAGATTATACGCGTTTAAAGCTGTATTTCTCACTTGAGAAAAAAATATCTAAGATTCACTAATTTTCTCGTTATGACAAACGGAACCATCCATTTCACTGATAAGAAAAGTTAAGGAAAAGATTTGTATTCCTAGAGAGTTGAGGTCAGATAAAGAGTTCTTTGTTTTATCAGTGAAACGAAACCGTATATTTGATAAATGTATAACCTCGAACTACGAATGATAATGATGTAGACAGGTGTTAGATAACAGATGTTGGATGACAGGTGCTAGACAAGTGTTAGGTCACATGATGACCAACCCCACACATCGGAAGACGGGAGAAACTACGACGTTTCGGTCCGTCCTGGACCATTTATCAAGTCGTGTGTGTGCCTTGATAATGGTCTCCCGATATACAAGACCTGATAATGGTCCAGGATGGACAGAAACGTCGTCGTCTCTCCATCTTCTGACGTCCAACCACTTGGGCTGGACGGTAGAGCAACGGTCTCGCTTAATGCAGGTCGGCGTTCAATCCCCGACCGTCCAAGTGGTTGGACACCATCCCTTCACCCCCGTCCCATCCCAAATCCTTATCCCGACCCCTTCCAAGTGCTATATAGTCGTAATAACTTGGCGCTTTCCCCTTAATAATTCACTCCGTCTTCTGACGTGTGGTCTGGTCATCATATCTTCAGCCACGTTATTCCGACTCATCGTCTGCAAGATTGGTGAAAGTTGATGAATTTATATATGATCAGCTAGAGGCAAATAGTCGGAGATGGATGGTTAGGTTATGAATACAAGATGATCAATATGACAAGAACAACAGCGGTTTTTTGTTTTGTTTTTGCACGGATATTCCTGCGCGGGCCCTGAGCCCGTGACCGGCGCCCTGGGCCCGTGACCGGCGCCCTGGGCCCGTGACCGGCGCCCTGGGCCCGTGACCGGCGCCCTGGGCCCGTGACCGGCGCCCTGGGCCCGTGACCGGCGCCCTAAATGTTACTTTAACAGCACCATTAATGGCACAGCCCGTCCTCCCAATAGCACGTCGTATTTTGACGTAGGCTTTACCGGAGGCCAAAATTTGTCGTATTAGAAAATGGTCGCGGCTCGGGAAATTGACATATGTCCCGTTTTCTGTTTTGAGTCCTCTGGTAGGTTAGGATAAGGGCACTTTACTACGACAGTTTCTTTACGTTGGGAACGCTGGCAAGAACGGTCTGGGGTGGTGACAACAGCGAGGATAGTGCCAACAATGAAAGCAATGTGTCAACAATGCTAGCAATGGTGTTAACAATGACAACAATGATTGTGCCAACAATGGTGCCAACAGTGCCAGTGATGATGGTGCCAACAATGACACTGAGTAGGCTGCCAACAATGGTGCCAACAGTGCCAGTGATGATGGTGCCAACAATGACACTGAGGAGGCTGCCAACAATGGTGCCAACAGTGCCAGTGATGATGGTGCCAACAATGACACTGAGGAGGCTGCCAACAATAAGGCTAAACAAAAATAAAAATCAAGAAAATCAGAATAATCCCCAAAAGTACCGAGTAAGTGAACCGCGGCGGGTGATCACCGTAGACTTTACCTCGGGTCGGCCGGCCGGCCCAAGCAGCCGGCGGGGCGCTGCCACACAACACCGCCACAGGAACGACTGATTGATGAAGATTAAGCCACCCATAAGGTGGCACGGGCATGAATAGCCCGTAAGTGGTGGCCCTTTGGAGCCATTACCAGTATCATTAGCTGATACTGGAGACCTGTGGAGGTGCGACTGCACCCTACCGAGAGGCCGTGACCTCTGGCCATAGGAAACGGAAACAGACCTACTAACAACAATCGAAATATTTGCGACAAAACACAAGCAGTCATTATTTTGCAATATTGCAAACTGTTTATTCTGATACAAATAGTACTAATACAACAACGATTAATGCAATTAAACCACTATTGCTATCTTCTTGAGGTTATCTTGAGATG